TTTGAGGCTAGAAGCGCTCGCAGTGAGCGTTTTTCTTCTACCACGTCACGTGGCTGCGCTTGTCTAGGCCTCTTGCCAAGCCAGCAAGGGCGTGGAAGGGTTGCGAGCATCATTGGTCATCGGCCCTAGAGAATGAAGACTGTCCGCTGATCCTAGCGCGTTTTGAGGCTAGAAGCGTTCGCAGTGAGCGTTTTTCTTCCACCAAGTTATGTGGCTGCGCTTTTCTAGGCCTCTTGCCAAGCCAGCAAGGGCGTGGAAGGGTTGCGAGCATCATTGGTCATCTGCCCTTGAGAATGAAGAGCGCCCGCTGCACTTTCTCCACATGTGCGGATCCTAGCGCGTTTTGAGGTTAGAAGCGCTCGCAGTGAGCGTTTTTATTCTACCAGGTCACGTGGCTGCGCTTGTCTAGGCCTCTTGCCAACCAGCAAGGGGGTGGAAGGGTTGCGAGCATCATTGGTCATCGGCCCTTGAGAATGAAGAGCGCCCGCTGCACTTCCTGCATATGTGCGGATCCTTGCGTGTTTTGAGGCTAGAAGCGCTCGCTGTGAGCGTTTTTCTTCTACCAGATCACGTGGCTGCGCTTGTCTAGGCCTCTTGCCAAGCCAGCAAGGGCGTGGAAGGGTTGCGAGCATCATTGGTCATCTGCCCTTGAGAATGAAGAGCGCCCGCTGCACTTTCTCCACATGTGCGGATCCTAGCGCGTTTTGAGGTTAGAAGCGCTCGCAGTGAGCGTTTTTATTCTACCAGGTCACGTGGCTGCGCTTGTCTAGGCCTCTTGCCAACCAGCAAGGGCGTGGAAGGGTTGCGAGCATCATTGGTCATCAGCCCTTGAGAATGAAGAGCGCCCGCTGCACTTCCTCCACTTGTGCGGATCCTAGCGCGTTTTGAGGATAGAAGCGCTCGCTGTGAGCGTTTTTCTTCTACCACGTCACGTGGCTGCGCTTGTCTAAGCCTCTTGCCAAGCCAGCAAGGGCGTGGAAGGGTTGCGAGCATCATTGGTCATCGGCCCTTGAGAATGAAGAGCGCCCGCTGCACTTCCTGCACATGTGCGGATCCTAGCGCGTTTTGAGGCTAGAAGCGCTCGCAGTGAGCGGTTTTCTTTTACCACGTCACGTGGCTGCGCTTGTCTAGGCCTCTTGCCAAGCCAGCAACGGCGTGGAAGGGTTGCGAGCATCATTGGTTATCGGCCCTTGAGAATGAAGAGCGCCCGCTGCACTTCCTCCACATGTGCGGATCCTAGCGCGTTTTGAGGCTAGAAGCGCTCGCAGTGAACGTTTTTCTTCTACCAGGTCACGTGGCTGCGCTTGTCTAGGCCTCTTGCCAAGCCAGCAACGGCGTGGAAGGGTTGCGGGCATCATTGGTCATCAGCCCTTGAGAATGAAGAGCGCCCGCTGCACTTCTTGCACATGTGCGGATCCTAGCGCGTTTTGAGGCTAGAAGCGCTCGCAGTGAGCGTTTTTCTTCTACCACGTCACGTGGCTGCGCTTGTCTAGGCCTCTTGCCAAGCCAGCAAGGGCGTGGAAGGGTTGCGAGCATCATTGGTCATCGGCCCTTGAGAATGAAGAGCACCCGCTGCACTTCCTCCACATGTGCGGACCCTAGCGTGTTTTGAGGCTAGAAGCGCTCGCAGTGAGCGTTTTTCTTCTACTAGGTCTCAAGGCTGCGCTTTTCTAGGCCTCTTGCCAAGCCAGCAAGGGCGTGGAAGGGTTGCGAGCATCATTGGTTATCGGCCCTTGAGAATGAAGAGCGTCCGCTGCACTTCCTCTACATGTGCGGATCCTAGCGCGTTTTGAGGTTAGAAGCGCTCGCAGTGAGCGCTTTTCTTCTACCAGGTCACGTGGCTGCGCTTGTCTAGACCTCTTGCCAAGCCAACAAGTGTGTGGAAGGGTTGCGAGCATCATTGGTTATCGGCCCTTGAGAATGAAGAGCGTCCGCTGATCCTAGCGCGTTTTGAGGCTAGAAGCGTTCGCAGTGAGCGTTTTTCTTCCACCAAGTTATGTGGCTGCGCTTTTCTAGGCCTCTTGCCAAGCCAGCAAGGGCGTGGAAGGGTTGCGAGCATCATTGGTCATCTGCCCTTGAGAATGAAGAGCGCCCGCTGCACTTTCTCCACATGTGCGGATCCTAGCGCGTTTTGAGGTTAGAAGCGCTCGCAGTGAGCGTTTTTATTCTACCAGGTCACGTGGCTGCGCTTGTCTAGGCCTCTTGCCAACCAGCAAGGGGGTGGAAGGGTTGCGAGCATCATTGGTCATCGGCCCTTGAGAATGAAGAGCGCCCGCTGCACTTCCTGCATATGTGCGGATCCTTGCGTGTTTTGAGGCTAGAAGCGCTCGCTGTGAGCGTTTTTCTTCTACCAGGTCACGTGGCTGCGCTTGTCTAGGCCTCTTGCCAAGCCAGCAAGGGCGTGGAAGGGTTGCGAGCATCATTGGTCATCTGCCCTTGAGAATGAAGAGCGCCCGCTGCACTTTCTCCACATGTGCGGATCCTAGCGCGTTTTGAGGTTAGAAGCGCTCGCAGTGAGCGTTTTTATTCTACCATGTCACGTGGCTGCGCTTGTCTAGGCCTCTTGCCAACCAGCAAGGGCGTGGAAGGGTTGCGAGCATCATTGGTCATCAGCCCTTGAGAATGAAGAGCGCCCGCTGCACTTCCTCCACTTGTGCGGATCCTAGCGCGTTTTGAGGATAGAAGCGCTCGCTGTGAGCGTTTTTCTTCTACCACGTCACGTGGCTGCGCTTGTCTAAGCCTCTTGCCAAGCCAGCAAGGGCGTGGAAGGGTTGCGAGCATCATTGGTCATCGGCCCTTGAGAATGAAGAGCGCCCGCTGCACTTCCTGCACATGTGCGGATCCTAGCGCGTTTTGAGGCTAGAAGCGCTCGCAGTGAGCGGTTTTCTTTTACCAGGTCACGTGGCTGCGCTTGTCTAGGCCTCTTGCCAAGCCAGCAAGGGCGTGGAAGGGTTGCGAGCATCATTGGTCATCGGCCCTTGAGAATGAAGAGCACCCGCTGCACTTCCTCCACATGTGCAGATCCTAGCGTGTTTTGAGGCTAGAAGCGCTCGCAGTGAGCGTTTTTCTTCTACTAGGTCTCAAGGCTGCGCTTTTCTAGGCCTCTTGCCAAGCCAGCAAGGGCGTGGAAGGGTTGCGAGCATCATTGGTTATCGGCCCTTGAGAATGAAGAGCGTCCGCTGCACTTCCTCTACATGTGCGGATCCTAGCGCGTTTTGAGGTTAGAAGCGCTCGCAGTGAGCGCTTTTCTTCTACCAGGTCACGTGGCTGCGCTTGTCTAGACCTCTTGCCAAGCCAACAAGTGTGTGGAAGGGTTGCGAGCATCATTGGTTATCGGCCCTTGAGAATGAAGAGCGTCCGCTGATCCTAGCGCGTTTTGAGGCTAGAAGCGTTCGCAGTGAGCGTTTTTCTTCCACCAAGTTATGTGGCTGCGCTTTTCTAGGCCTCTTGCCAAGCCAGCAAGGGCGTGGAAGGGTTGCGAGCATCATTGGTCATCTGCCCTTGAGAATGAAGAGCGCCCGCTGCACTTTCTCCACATGTGCGGATCCTAGCGCGTTTTGAGGTTAGAAGCGCTCGCAGTGAGCGTTTTTATTCTACCAGGTCACGTGGCTGCGCTTGTCTAGGCCTCTTGCCAACCAGCAAGGGGGTGGAAGGGTTGCGAGCATCATTGGTCATCGGCCCTTGAGAATGAAGAGCGCCCGCTGCACTTCCTGCATATGTGCGGATCCTTGCGTGTTTTGAGGCTAGAAGCGCTCGCTGTGAGCGTTTTTCTTCTACCAGGTCACGTGGCTGCGCTTGTCTAGGCCTCTTGCCAAGCCAGCAAGGGCGTGGAAGGGTTGCGAGCATCATTGGTCATCTGCCCTTGAGAATGAAGAGCGCCCGCTGCACTTTCTCCACATGTGCGGATCCTAGCGCGTTTTGAGGTTAGAAGCGCTCGCAGTGAGCGTTTTTATTCTACCAGGTCACGTGGCTGCGCTTGTCTAGGCCTCTTGCCAACCAGCAAGGGCGTGGAAGGGTTGCGAGCATCATTGGTCATCAGCCCTTGAGAATGAAGAGCGCCCGCTGCACTTCCTCCACTTGTGCGGATCCTAGCGCGTTTTGAGGATAGAAGCGCTCGCTGTGAGCGTTTTTCTTCTACCACGTCACGTGGCTGCGCTTGTCTAGGCCTCTTGCCAACCAGCAAGGGGGTGGAAGGGTTGCGAGCATCATTGGTCATCGGCCCTTGAGAATGAAGAGCGCCCGCTGCACTTCCTCCACATGTGCGGATCCTAGCGCGTTTTGAGGCTAGAAGCACTCGCAGTGAGCGTTTTTCTTCCACCAAGTCACGTGGCTGCGCTTGTCTAGGCCTCTTGCCAAGCAAGCAAGGGCGTGGAAGGGTTGCGAGCATCATTGGTCATCGGCCCTTGAGAATGAAGAGCGCCCGTTGCACTTCCTCCACATGTGCGGATCCTAGCGCGTTTTGAGGCTAGAAGCGCTTGTTCTGAGCGTTTTTCTTCTACCAGGTTATGTGGCTGCGCTTGTCTAGGCCTCTTGCCAAGCCAGCAAGGGCGTGGAAGGGTTGCGAGCATCATTGGTCATCGGCCCTTGAGAATGGAGAGCGCTCGCTGCACTTCCTCCACATGTGCGGATCCTAGCACGTTTTGAGGCTAGAAGCGCTCGTTCTGAGCGTTTTTCTTCTACCAGGTCACGTGGCTGCGCTTGTCTAGGCCTCTTGCCAAGCTAGCAAGGGCGTGGAAGGGTTGCGAGCATCATTGGTCATCGGCCCTTGAGAATGAAGAGCGCCCGCTGCACTTCCTGCACATGTGCGGATCCTAGTGCGTTTTGAGGCTAGAAGCGCTCGCAGTGAGCGTTTTTCTTCTACTGGGTGTGGCGTTACACTAATCAGTTTGCATTCAACCTATGCCAATACTGTAGAATAGCCTTATTTAGATTTGGAAGGCTGATTGAGGGCCCACAGCTGACCATCTACGATTCAGAGGAATTCTGAGTGGTATCACATCCTACAATTCAGCCCTTTGAACGGTCTTGCTGCCAGCAGCAGTCCCATTGGTTCTGTCTGCTGTACACACTCCACACGCCTTCCTGCACGCCCCAACAAACCTCTTCCCCCCAACCATATACTTGCTGTTCTTCTCGCACTCCCCCGCCGCCGCCCATTCCGCACACATGCCATTCGTATCCGCACACACATTCGGATCCCCCTCATCCCCACGCACATCAAACTCCCTCACGTCGATCCACTTAGGTGCAGACCATTTCACCCCCTCAACCACCGGGCACGCATAATGCATACTCGCCTCATCCGGCGTCCCATCCGGATTCATACTGAAAAACAGAAGTGCATCCCCTTTTACAGGCTTGACTGCCAGGTAACCCTTGGCACAATCAGACCAGGAGTGGTCTTTCGGAGTGGGGTCAGGCACATTGGAGAAGACTGTTTCGCCTCCAAGGGTGACGTTGCTGAGGTACATGAGCACGGTGGCCAGCCGCTGGCCTCCCTGCAGCGTCTCGGGTGGATCGGAGAAATAGTCGTGGTGGGGGACGTAATTCTGCCCCATGTTGTATCGCAGCACCTGATGAAGGGGGGGAGGGCGGGAGGTGAAGGGAGAGGATGAGCGGATGAAGGGGTGGGATGAATGGGCGGGTCAGGGAAATAGTTTTAGTGAGGGACATACTTCTGCCCCACGTATCTTATCTCAGCACCTGATGAAGGAGGGGGAGAGGGAGGAGGGGGGAGGGGAAATGATGAGTGGATGAAGGGGGTGGAATAGATGGGCGGGTTGGGGAAGTAACCATGGCAGGGCATTGATGGAGTGGGTGGTTGAGGGAGGATCCATCACCTGTGCTCGATCTGGCCAAATTATTCCTTCCTCTTGCCGCTCATTCACCGCAACCTACCTTCTCCCACCCAAACTCCTTCCATGGTTCTCTCTCCTGCCCGCCGCTCACACCTGCAGCGTCTCTCGCTCTCCCGCCCACCGCTCACCTGCAGCGCCTCTCGTCTCACCTGCAGCGCCTCCTGGTGCGACACGGGCAGGTGCGTCCACGCCTCGATGCGGCGCTCGACGCGCGCAATGACGTCGTCCGCGCCCTTGTCGATGAACGTCCCGAAACTCGTGCGAATGTTGCTCACCTCGCTGTCGTTGCTCGCCGCCGCGATCACCGTCGATCTGAGGGAGGGTTGAGTGGGAAATGAGAACGCACGGAGGAGGCAAGAGGGAGAAACTGAGACCTCCCAGCCCGCATGGTGCTGCTACCGCAGTGCGGCTTTCGCGGTGTGGCTATCGCGGTGCCGCCATTGCATACTGAGCGCATGTGTGCGGATCCTTCCGCGTTTTGGGGCTAAAAGCGCTCATTTCGAGCGTTTTTTTTCTTCCGCCGGGTCATGTGGCTGCGCTTGTCTGGGCCTATTACCAAGCCAGCAAGGGCGTGGGAGGGTTGCGAGCATCATCGGTCATCGACGCTCGCGAATGAAGAGCGCCCGCTGCACTTCTTGCACATGTGCGGATCCTTCCGCGTTTTGGGGCTGGAAGCGCTCGTTCCGAGCGTTTTTCTTCCGCCGGGTCACGTGGCTGCGCTTGTCTGGTCCCCCACTTTCCATCCCTCATCTCCCACTTCCCATCTCCCACCTTCCATCTCCCACCTCCTATCTCCCATCCCCCATCTCCCATCTCCTATCTCCCACTTTCCATCTTTCATCTCCCATCTCCTATCTCCCATCTCCCATCTTTCTTCTGGTGGCACTAAGGGCGTGTCAATGCTGCACCGAAACTGTGCTTGACGGCAGATGGTTCTAGTCTGCTCGCGCTGGTGCGCGAAGGAATTCCTCTTGACGTAACTGGTCTTTATGAATCAGGTCGGAGGAACGCATCACCTATACGGTGGTGATGCCTCTCATCTGCTGCGTGCAGTCCCTGACGGAGCTGAGAAATGTCATAATGAAGCAACATTACGCTTCAAAAATAAGAGGAAAAAGCTTTACGAATGGACACTCTTGTAACGAAGATGCAGGGACTACTGTCCAGGTTCACGACATGAGCAGATGCAACTGATGCGGTTTTGGAGTCGGAGGGGCCTTGCTGGAAATCTACAACAGAAACTTCTAATGCCCGCGTATACTCGAGGTAATGGCATGACAGCTGATGTCTGGGCGGCGTCCTAGAAAAGGAGGGAATCCTCTAGCTGCACAACATAACCAAGCTCATACGTGATGTGGTGCAACAGATAATTTGGACTCAGATTGCCGAGATTGGATGATTCACGTACAAATATTCTTGTGTAGCGGTACAGCCATCATAATTTACGCTGTGTATATATCATGTACCCATCTTCAAATCGCCTTCCCTTAGCGAGTTTCCTTGTAGAAACCACATTCCAGTGTATAATTGTTGCGATGAGGATCTGCCTGCGGCTAACAGCTACTTCACTCATTCCATGGCTGCCCGTCAGTCCAACATCGGAAGTCCAACAGAAGGAATCAGCGACGAGAAAAGCGGTTCCCTGATTACAGACGAATCTCCGCGACCAACTGAATTCGCATTTGCGTAACTATATACCTCCAAGCGACTGAATAAGCATTTCATTGACATGAGCCGGCATTTTAGAGATCAGGGTTTCGGTTCGTAACGTCGACGACGCGTAATAGCGACGACGCTTAACAGTCTTATAACAGCGATCAAGCAACCATGTGACCATGTAACAGTCTTATTTCAGCGACCATGTGTTGTCATTGAATCGAGTCAAGCTCTTGTCAAAGAATCAGTCCATTAAAATAACAGCGGCCACGCATGACAGCGATCAAGCATCTCAGGTGACTTTTGAGTCGACTCAAAAGTCAGCACGCATGACAGCGATCAAGCATCTCAGCACATTGTGATCGCCGTCTCGCACACCAGATTCAGAGCGACCTTCCCCGGACACGTGGCGATCAATCCACTGACAGCACACGTGACGATCAATCCACTGACAGCACACGTGACGATCAATCCACTGACAGCACACGTGGCGATCAATGCACTGACAGCACACGTGGCGATCAATGCACTGACAGCACACGTGGCGAGCAATCCACTGTGTAGCAGATGTGGCGACGAGGCTTAGATCCGCTGAGGAAGCTGACACGTGGCGATCTGAGATGCGCGGAACAGATTGCAAGATGGCGAGGTAACGACCCGGCTGTATGTGCGAGTCACTTGAGTCTCGTGCAGGCATGCGTCGCTTCAGCTCTCGCTCCCTCCGTTCCTTCTGCTCTTCCTCCTCATTTACCATCAGCAGCAGCACCAGTAGCAGCACCAGCAGCGGCAGGACGAGTAGCAACTCCAGCAATTACAACTCCCAGCAGCTTCCGTGCCTACACTAACGGTCCTGCCGAACCTGCTCGGCTGGCTCGGTTCGAACCAGCCTCCGAATCCAGGCTGACAGCAGCAGCAGTGGCAGCAGTAGCAGCCGCGGCCTTGGGATTGTCGGCAGTGCACGCAGCAGAAGCACCAGAGGGGGACAGCAGCAGCGCTGGTGTGGGTTCAGGGCGAGAGGGATCCGCGTGTGATGCTGCAGCACGGCCAGTGCAATGGGCTGTAGGAAGGGGAGAGGGAGGTGAGGGGCCGGCACTGGGTAACAAGCACACGGCACGCTGGCGGGTGTTCACAGACCGAGGCAGGGAGCTCTTCTCGCAGGTAAAGTGAGTGAGTCGGTTTTTTTTCACGCGTGATGTTGTCTCTTTGAGTGACGCCTTTGCCTTTCATTCCAGTCCACCACACACCACGACCCACTTTCCACCCCTCCCTCTCTTCCTCCTCCCCCCCAGGGTCGTCTGAGGGATGCAGAGCGGTACCTGCAGCGGGCTATAGAGGAGGCGAAGGCGGGCTTTGGGCCGTCTGACCCCCACGTTGCATCCAGCTGCAATAACCTGGTGGGTCGAAGGAGGGGAGAAGGGGTTGAAAAGGGGGAGAAGGGGTGGTGAGGTGCTTTGGGCCGTCTGACCCCCACGTTGCTTCCAGCTGCAATAACCTGGTGTGGTGAAGGAACGAGGGGAGGGGGTTGGGGGGAAGGGGAGAGGATGGTGGGGGAAGGAAGGTAGATGGGGAGGGTGATAACGGGGGTGGGGATGTGGCGTGCAGCTGCAGTATCATCATGTCCCCTCCTCCCTCTCTCTCCTTCCCTGCACACCAGGCAGAGCTATACCGAGTAATGGGGGAGTGGGAGGCGGCAGAGCGTTTGTTCCAAGAGGCTGCAGAGCGGTTGAGAGCGGTGGAAATGCGTCTGCCACTAGCAGCCACCCTGCATAACTTGGGAGGGCTGTACCTGCAGCAGGCTCAGCTGGGGCAGGCTCAACTGGGGCCGGCTCAACTGGAGAAGGCTCGTATATGCTATGAGGTTGGTTGCAAGCAGACGTAGGTTTTGGCATAGTGCGCACTCCTTTCAAAAATAAGAAGGTTCAATGCAAGATCCGTCTTTCGTTGCCCTCTCTTATCACAGTAAGCTGTGCTCTCGGTTCCCGTGCTGTCTTCACGTATCGTGGCATGTGATGGCAATCTGTGGGTGGGGATTATGGGCGATGGATGGACCTTTCCACTGCACCCATCGCCTCAACATTCAACATCCCCTCCTGCACTCCGCAGGAGGCTCTCAAGGTGTGTTGCTGCTGGGTCAACGAGTCACGTTTTCTGCATTTCAGTTTCTGAGCTATGCTGCTTGTTTCGTATGCTGCGGTTCTCCTCGTGCTTCCTATCCTCATGCGCCCTTCTGCGTCCCACCTCGTTTGTACTTCACCACCCTCCCTGGTGTTGCCTCAACCCATATAGCTCAAAGCGAAGGAGCTGGGCGACTCTCACCCAGATTATGCCAACACCATGTTCCACCTTGCAGAGGTAAGGTGAGGGGACACACAGAGGGCCAAGGGGTAGGTGACTCATCTCACCATTTGCGTCGACTCACAAGTCGCTTGGGGCCCCAAGCGACTCACAAGAAATAAGGCCTCATCCAGATTTTGGTCTGTCCGCACCTCACGCCGCTCGTGCTTCCGGAGTGTCCCGTCACGTGAAAAAAGAAGTGTTTTGAGACGTCTCAAAACACTTCTTTTTTCGCGCCGACGTGAAGGTGGTGTGACGGGACACTCAGGGGGCTCATGTGACTCAACTTCTGAGTCGACTTAGAAACCACCTCGTTTGAAAGGGTGATTTATTTACCTCTGTTTTTATGTGAAATGAAGAAATCCATTCCCTGATGCTGCCCCTGTGTGGCTGCTGCTGCGCCCTCCAGGTTTTTCGTCGGTTGGGGCAGCGAGAGGAGGCACAGGCACTTCTGCAAGGCTCCGTGAAAATCCTGGAGGTACGGGATGGCGATTGTAGAGGATGGGGCGTGATTGTGCTGATAGTGCTGATAGTGCTGTGGCCAGCATGATTGTGGTGGTATAAGGCTCCGTGAAAATCCTGGAGGTACGGGATGGCGATTGTAGAGGATGGGGCGTGATTGTGCTGATAGTGCTGTGGCCAGCATGATTGTGGTGGTATAAGGCTCCGTGAAAATCCTGGAGGTACGGGATGGCGATTGTAGAGGATGGGGCGTGATTGTGCTGATAGTGCTGATAGTGCTGTGGCCAGCATGATTGTGGTGGTATAAGGCTCCGTGAAAATCCTGGAGGTATGGGATGGCGATTGTAGAGGATGGAGCGTGATTGTGCTGATAGTGCTGTGGCCAGCATGATTGTGGTGGTATAAGGCTCCGTGAAAATCCTGGAGGTATGGGGTGGCGATTGTAGAGGATGGGGCGTGACCTGATAGTCCTGTGGCCAGCATGGTTGTGGTGGTATAAGGCCATGCAGAATGACGTGGACAGACGTTCGCCTGGGCTTGCTAGCATGTCATGTCTGCATGCACCAGAATCGCTCCCCACACAATGCATGGCAGTTCGATTGCTAGCTGTGCATGTGCTGATCAGCACATTTTGTACATTCGTGCTTGCTGGTTTGGGCAGGGCAGTGCGGGCAGTCGAGGAACAACAGCAATGGCTCGCCGTATGATGCTGCTGGCACAGGTGGGATGAGTGCATGCCTGGGTCGGTTAGCAACTAGGGGTGAGAGACGAATAGTGAGGGCAGTGCAGTGCGGGCAGTCGAGGAACAACAGCAATGGCACGGCATATGATCTTGCTGGCACAGGTGGGGTGGTGGCTGGCTTGCTGAGCAACTAGGGGGGAGACGAGTAGCGTGATGTGAGCAGGGTAGAGCCGTTGGTGACTTTTGAGTCGACTCAAAAGTCAGGTGGGGTGGTGGATGGCTCGCTCAGCAGCCAGGGGCGAGACGAGTTGTGTGAGCAGTGCAGTGCAGTGCCATCTGTGAACGTCCACTGGATCTCTTGGCCGATGCTTGTGCAGTCAGCTCATTCGAATCAGATTTCAGAACTTTCAAAAGTCGTTCACACTTCTCTGTTTCTCTCTGCTGTTGACGTTAACAGATGCTTGTGCAGTCAGCATCAACACCAGCAGCCACCCTCCCCGCATCTTCGGCTACCAACGATCATCAGGGGCAGCAGGGGCAGAAGCAGCAAGGGGACAGCGGCAGCAGTACAGAAGGAGACATGGAGTTGCTGAGGGAGGCTGAGAGGCTGCAGAGACGAGCCATCCATGCGGTTGAGATGGGTGAGGTGAGTCGACAATATGTGGTGGAGATGGGTGAGGTGAGTCGACGCCAATCTTTACATGCTCGCCCTGCGCTGCATTCTCTGCATTGCAGGGCACAGAGGCACGCTTACAACCTCCCCCCGTCCCCCCTCTCTCTCCATACACTGCTGTTTGTCTTCCTGACACCACACTCTGCATCTCTCTCTTGCAGGGCACAGAGGCACCGGCACTGGCAGGCATGCTCGCATCGCTGGCTGCCACTCTTGAGAAGCAAGGCCGGTTGGAGGAGGCACGGGAAGCTCTTCTCAGGTGATGTTCAATTCACCTTTGAGAATTCTCAAATGTCCTGGGATGCTCTGTTGCCTTTGAGGTGAAGTTGTTTGCTTTTCCTTGCTACCATACCATACCCATCCAGTTGCCCGCTTTCCTCCCACCCATGCTCATGCTCCTCTTCCTTGTCTATGCTCCTGTTTTGCGTCCATATCTCCTTTCCCAATTCTCCCTTCCCCCCTTCGTCTGCAGGTCTCTCCATCTGAGGCGCGATGCACTTGGTTCAGACCATTTCCTTGTGAGCGAGCTTTCCAGAGAGGGAGCAAGTTGAGGGAGGGAGGGAGAGAGGGAGGGAGTTGAGAGAAGGGAAAGTGATACTTAGTGAGGCTGCAAAGCCGGTCGCTCCATTTGAGGCAAGCTGTTGTTGGCTTGGAGCAATCCTTGTGAGTGAGCTCTTAACGAGCGAGTAAGAAGGGCGAGGGAGGGGAGAGAGGGAGGGGAGGGATAGGAAGTAGGGCCGAGGAATTTGTTTAGCATGCTGATATGGCTGATACACAGTTTAGATTAGGATTGTCTGTTTGGATTGAATAGCATGCGTTTGTCGAACCTTCTTGGCGCCCTTCAGGTTCAACTCCCCGCATCCACCCATCCACCCATCCTCCCATCTACACCTTCAGGTAGCCAGCACGCTCACGCCCCTCGCTGCAGTCACACTCAAGATGCTGAGTCGCTCACAACAGCTTTCCACAGGTGCTGTTCTGAACACCGGCTGAAAGGAAAACACGTGCTGAATGGCAAACACCTGCTTTAATGCACCAAGGAGATTCAATTCTGCAATGGACAACTCATTGATGATCTCCTCCTTTCATTTGCAGATGCAGAAGCGGCCAATGGAGATCAAACAAAGGATGGCAAGAAGAAGCAGCAGCTTGAGGAGGCACTCCGTGACCTGCACTGTGCTGTCAGGTGCCCTTCTTCTCTCTGACCAAGCATGTATATGTCTCACTCAAAGTGCTCACCCATAGTGCTCTCACATGTCAACCACCTTAATAGATGACACTGCTCGTCTTAATAGAGTCAACCACCTTCATCTGCAGCAGCCATTGCTCATTCCTCAGTCGCTGCCTGTCCTCCTTCTTTTTCCTTGTGTGGCTGTGTCGCAACCCCTCTGTCTCCCTCAATTCTCACTGGTCCATCAGAGTCGCTCGCAAGGCATGGCAGCAAGCAGCAGGGGAACTGACAACAGCAGCAGCAGCTGGCGATGCAGGAGGCAGGAGGGGAGATCGGGTGCAGAGGAACAAGAGCAGGAACGCACCGCCCCCACCCGCGTGCCTCACTCTACTCGTGAGTGGAGGCCCCCATGTCTCTCCTACCAACGTGATGAATGGATACACGCCCTTCTTTGACTGCCGAAGAAACGTGTACAGCAGATTCCTCTGACAACACCGGTGTCTCTTTGACTCTCTCTCTCTCTCCCTCTCTCCCTTCTACCTACTTCCGGCACCCCCCTTCCCATCCCTGCAGGTACAATCTCTGGCAACATCAGTACAGGCCTCCCTCACTGCCCTGCTATCTGCATCCTTCTACAATGTCAGTCCTGGCCTCTCACACTCACTGCCTATCCATGCCTTACACTCGTTTGACTCTGTTTATCCATGCCTGCCGTCCACTGTTACTGTTTGGCATCAGTCAAACAAAACAAGTGCTTGCGTTTTGCTCCTCATTCTCATTGTTCTCGTTGCTCCAACTGTTCATCCCCACCAGCAGAGGCAGCAACTGTTGCAGCAAGCAGCATCTGCTCTCAAGGAAATTCTGCACACGCTCTCCAATGTAAGCTGCTTTCAAAACTTTCAAAAATGTGTTTTCTTCTTAGGTGCCTCAAAACTTTTGAGGCGCGTTTAAAAGGAGCTTCTGCACATGCTCTCCAATGTAAGATGTTGCCCCTCAAGTCAGTGCTAGATTGATTGACACACATGTATTGCTCTATGGGTGGAAATTCTCAATACTGACCTTGCTCTCAAGAAGCTGTGCACTGGCGGTGCTGCTCTTTGCACTGTGAGATCCTGCTCTGTCTCTGCTGCTGAGACAAGTGCTATCATGCAGCACGCACTCACACACAAGCCCACTTCGCCCTCTCACCCCCTTCCCCGCCCCCACCCCTCCCATACAGGAGCCAGCACGAGCCCTTGTGAGAGCCAACCACAGCGTGCAAATTGCCTGCTTGTCCACCGTCCAGCACCTCTTTGCATTCCTCCGCAACCAGCTCAGCCCCATCCCCCCTCCCCGCTTTCCCCTCCCTTCCCCCTCCCCGCCCTTTCGCCACAGGAGCCAGCACACGCCCTTGTGAGTTCCAACCATGGCGTGCGAATCGCCTGCCTGTCTGCCCTCCAGCACCTCTCTGGATTTCTTCAAGACCAGCTCACATGCACCACTGCTTGTGGGGAGGCAGTGGGTCATGGTGCAGAAGAGAAGGCATGTGTGCAGAGTGGTGGAGAGAGGTTGAGAGGGAGCAGGAAGGGGTCGACAGGGGTACGAGAGGGTGGCAGTGGAAGCAGTAGAGGACGTGAAGGTGAGGAAAGAAGGGAAAGTAAAGATCGAGGTGAAGAAGGCAATGTGGAGCTGAAGAGACTGGCTAAGCAGGTGGACTTGCTTATCACATCATTGGCTAGATGATATGTGTAATGTGAACAAACTATATAATGTACCAAATATCATTGGATAGAATGTCTCAAATGTAGAACACGTCGGAGACTTGGGCAAATCAAGAATGTACTTCGGTGCGGCGCGGTGGAGTAGGAGAAAGACGCGATACTTCGGTTTGATTCACACCACTCCATTTTTCCTTGAAGGGAACCAGTCTCCCGACCTGGTCTAGCATAGCGCAGACTAGCTCCTAGGGTCCAGTTGATTGTTCTGACTGCAGTCAATCACCAGTCACTGCTATCTTTAGTCTCGTCTGTTCGCAGTCACGCTTCCACATTCACGCGCTCCTCCTTTGCCGATCGCTCTCCTCCGCTTGCCTCCTTCATTCCATAGTGCGCTCCAAATTCACGGGCTGTCGATCACGCGGGCTACGCTAAACGACCTTCACTGCGATTATGTTTCGAGGAGTGTTCGGCCGGTATGCAGCCCGTGAAGCCTTTAAAACAAAAAAAAACCGGGCCTACCATGATTCCCCACTGTTAATATCCTTGTTCCTCCTCTCACTGTGTCTTATTTCCTCTTCCAGCCATCTCTCGTTCGCCGTCATATTCTACTTAGCTCCGTCGATCCATAAAAATAAAAAGCCATTAGCTCTTAACGAACTTCCGATTTCCGTTGCCTCCCCACACTCGCTACCCTCAATTTCCCCCAACCCGTTCTATCCCTTCCCCCAGCGCGCCTGACCCTCCGCCAAGCCAACCGACCCCCCCTCAACCTCCCCCGGCGCACACCAACCCGCTATCCGCGCATTCGTACCCTTCCCCCTCCCCCAACGCGCCCGGCTCCGCGGAAGCCGCCGCCGCCGCTGCTGCCGCCGCGGCTGCTGCTGCAGGTCCGCCGCAATATCAAGAAGCGAGAGATGTGGGGAGGGCCGGCAGCGGCGGTGGCAGGGGAGGGGGGAGCTACGGCGGAGGGGGAAGTTACGGGGGAGGGGGGGATCAAAGGGGACCTGCGGGAAGGGGTGGGGGAAGAGGGGGGAGTTTAGGGGGAGAAGGAGAGATGAGGGGGATGGGGGGGTATTCAGGTGGGCTCCCACCTATGGGTATGGCACAGGGGGGCATGGGAGGGGTGCAGCAGCAACTGTTACCCGTGCTTGAAAGCAAGAGGTGAGGGATGTGAGGGGGTGAAAGAAGAGAGGAGGTAGAGAACAAGCGAGTCGAAATGTTTTGCAGTTTCGGCTAGAGTGGAATGGCGATTCTTTCAGGTGCTGATGGCTTCAGTGCTTTCACTCTCTTTGAGATTCGCAGTGCAATATAATTTTCTGACCTGTTCTGGCCAAATCCCCCCCCCACTACATCTGCTCCTGTTTTTTTCCTTAAAGCCCGGAGGAGCTTTTCAAGCTTCTGACAGACCCCAAGGCGTACCAGCTGTTGCTGGAGGAGATGCCTCAGCTCAAGGAAATGACCAAGGTACGATATATTGCGTGCACAGTGTTGTGAGGTGGTGTATGGTGGTGTGAGGCAGTGTGTGGCCGTCCAAATCAAAAGAGACATGCACTTATGCAGCTTCTTGTATGCTCCTCTTTCGTTTTCTTTCCGTGTCAACCATCAACTTGCGTGCCGCCTTTTCCTGCTTTCACACCCTCCCTTTGTTAATCTACTCACGTGCGCCCTACACTAACGTGCCTTTTCACTCCAGGTGGTTGACGATTTAAAGAAGGGCAATGAGGAACTCGCAAGTGAGTCGCCATTCCGCCCTGGCCTCATACCCACATGCACATTCCACCGTCTCCGATACACCTGGATCCTCTCTCAACCTGCCTGCACGCATCTATTTGCCTGTTGACATTTGAGTCCTCTCAGGAGACAGCTGTACTGTCACGGTTCATGTAACATCGGTTCGCTTTCATTATTGCTCATTTGCGCCTGGTTGGGTACTGTTATTTGTTCTGCAGGGTCGACGCTGGCAATGGAAGCTGACATGGCAGAGTTGAGAACGCAGGTACACATCAATGGTGACACCCAAGCCGCGTAGCTTATACTGTTAACTTTTAAGCTTCCCATCGCCAACCTTTAAGCCTCTTTCTGCTGCTTGTTTTCTGTTTCGCCTGTCACTGTAATGGTTTTTTTGTGTCCCTCTTTTTTCATCCCTGCACAGTGTCGCATCATCAGGGGCACAGAGCTGGCTTCTTTGGAAGAAAGGTTGGCGCAGCTGGTGGGGCAGCAGAGGGCACTCACGGACAAATGGAGCCCTGGAGCCCTCGTGCAGCAGCTAAAAGGTAGACACGAGTAATGGAATTTTGTGTACGTGTTTGTTAGTCCAGGGCCTCAGTATGTCGCCAGGTTGCCACACTGACGTACCATGTGAGACTGGGATCAGTTCTCTGCTTTGTGGTGCTCAAGCATGCGATTTTTCTTCCCTTCTTTCGTTCCGTTTTCCTCTCTTGAGAAGATAAAGCGGAGGAAGTGAATCGGGAGGCAGAGGATTTGAGGAGCAGGTTTCTTGCAGGGGAGGTGGAGTTGAGTCAACTTATGCGGGAGTATCGGAAGAAAAAGGAGCTGTACCACCGGCGCATGCAGACTTGCTATGCTGCTTTGTCCACCCTTACGCTGGATCACCGCGTGGCTTAGCTCAGGCAGGAGGAAAGGATTAAAATTTCCAATGGTTTTGTCATTGGTGGAAGCTAATGATGTGAAAATGAAATGTGCATTTTAATTTTCAAAATGGAACCGAGCTGGGTATGGGTGTACACCGGAGTTTTATCGAGGCATTTGAAGTGCAACAGATTTCGTAAAAGGTTCGCGAAGGAATGGTTGGTGGGAAGGCCCTCGGCAATCACAGGGGCCTACTTTGTTCGTCCCTCCAGTTGTCTGTTCACGTCTGTTCCTCCTGGACCTACACATAGCCCGGCCTTATTGTTGATAATTATGCGAGGGTAAATCTATGGGAAAGTCTATCCCAGCTCCTGACTTTCAGTTTTTTCTCATATTTAGCCCTATGTTTACTCAAAAAGCACCACTTTCCATTATTTCTCTCACGCGAGGCCCAAAGTATGTTCAAAACTGGTCCTGCGGGGCGAAGTTTTCGACACGTGTCGTTTTGTTACCAGCTGACGCACTTCCACTCTGAACTAACCGTTTGTCAGGGCAATTTTCGCGCCGGAAAAGTTTTTACGGGACAAAAAAACATAAAACCCCTAAAGGACCATTACACATTTTCGGGAGGGAGCAACCCTAAACACGGGACCTGCTAGGTGTTTAGGGTTGATCCCTCCCGCGAATGTGTCCTGGTTCTCTAGGGGTTTTATGTTTTTTGCCCCCGTCCAAATTTTCCATGCGTGGAAGTTCGTCAGATGGTGTAACAAGAGGACACGTGTCGAAAAAATCGCCCCGCAGGACCACTTTTGAACATACTTTGGGCCTCGCGTGAGAGAAATTCTAGAAAGTGGTGCTTTTTGAGTAAACCTAGGGCTGAATATGAGAGAAATCTGAAAGTCAGGAGCGGGGATATACTTTCCCTAAATCTATGGTTAGGGGCCCGGAAATCACAAAGCGGCTTTATTCATGTCTGGGACGCAATAAGTGTCGACATTATCTGCCGGTGATCGGTTCGTCGTCGCGTCTCCCGGCCATAGAGTTCTAGGCTTCCTCGCATTCCTTCTCACGGAATACCAGGATGGTCAGTAAGCCATTTCGTCAGCTGTGGTTGTTTCTGGCTTCAAGGCTTTTGTCAGAAACGACTGTCGATTCTCTCGTTCGGCATGCCACCACAGTGACACGGTTTCGTATATTTCATCATGATAGCTGCGATTTATTCCTACCTTGATCATGAATCAAAATGCCACTCTACGCTGCTGCTGCTTCATCCCTGCTCTGGATTTATGCATTCCGGCATTCGACTTGATGAAACCATTCTCGCTTGAGGGTCCTTACAGGAAGTTTGCGTTTGATTCCCTTCGCAGTTGAACCCTAAAAGCCGTCATTTTTCGCTGCGGTAACTTTCCCTTACGGTGAATTTCCACAGGAAAGTCGCTTGCGACTGCTGACGACCGCTTTCGTCATCTTCCTCCTCGCTTCGCCGGACTTCGCCAGCGCCGAAGTGAAAACCGCGAAGGACTCGAAGAAGAAAGATCAAGACGAAGGGTCAAGCGATGATGCATCCTCGTTAGAAGACAGAATTTTAGATGCGGAGCTCACGCAAGGCGACATTCTCAAGCAAGGTGCGCCATCCCTAGGGTTTGTCACAGTCACATTCTCCTGAGATTGGTTTTACATACCTCTTGTCATGCGGATCATATGAATCATATGTCGTGGCATGGTGCACGTGTGGGGTGGCTGGGTGGGGTGCATGCATGCACGTGGATGCATCCTGCAGGGCCATGCGCGGACGAGGCAAGCCGGTTTTGTGCTGACGTGGAGGTGGGCAACCGCACCATGGAGCGGTGTCTTACCATGCAATACACGCTGCTGCAACTCGCGTCCACCACTGATGGCAAGTACTCACCACTTCCTGTCTCATCGTGAATCATCAGTCATTCTCGTTGAGTTGACTTAGGAGGTGGGAAATCAAATCGCACAATGGAGCGGTGTCTCACCATGCAGTACACGCTGCTGCAACTCGCGTCCACCACTGATGGCAAGTACTAGAGCCTGTCTCTTAATCCAATACACGTTATGGCAGCCACCGTCGTGCATCATCCAACCCCGTTCCCTTTTTCACCGCTCCTCTCAACCCCACTTTAAAACCCCCCCACAACTCCCCTTTCCCCCCCTCTCGCTCAGTGCTTTTCCAATTTCTCCGAGTTTAATGCCCTGCCCCTTTTCTTTTGTCGTATGCTTTGACCTTGATTGCGCAGGCATGCTTGACACATAGCCCATCGTTTTGTCCCCTGATTCCTGCCTTTGCTGCCCCTGATGCCTTGCTTGTCTTCCGTCCCGCTTCTCTCCCCTCCCTCACTCGCCCTCACAGCCAACCTCACGGATAACTTTTCCGACAAGTGTTTGGACGACATCCGCAACTTCAAGATTCAAGTCTACAAAAACATCTCCATCGACAAGGACTGGAGTGAGTAAATCCATTCCATCCCTCCCTATTCTATGCTGGCTGTCCCCTCACTGGGCCCTCACATGCAGACCTCGTCCCCCTCCCAACCTTTCTTGCTCCCCGCTCATCCCTGTTCTCCTCTGGCCGTTTCATGACGCCCAACTCCCTTCCCACCACTCCTCATCTTCAACCCTGCCCTCCCTTTTCACCTTCGTTCATTCCTCACCTCCTCCTCTCCACTTACTCACCCTCCCTGCCAGTGGAGGACGTGGCGTCCTTCTGTGACGACAAGTTCCTCTATCCTTGTGTGACGTCAAACCTGATGTCAAACCTGACTGACGTCAAACCTGACGTCAAACCTGACCTCAAACTTGACGTCAAACCTGACCTCAAACCTGACGTCAAATTTGACGTCCTGACCTCCAATTTGATTTCAAACCTGATGTCAAACCTGCCGTTCTGACCTCCCAACCTGATCTCAAACCTGACGTCAAACCTGACGTCAAACCTGACGTCAAACCTGACGTCAAACCTAATGTCAAACCTGACTAACGTCAAACCTGATCGCAAACCTGACCTCGAACCTGACATCCTGACCTCCAACCTAATCTCAAACCTGACGTCAAACCTGACCTCAAACCTGACCTCAAACCTGACGTCAAACCTGACGTCAAACCTGACGTCAAACCTGATCTCAAACCTGACCTCAAACCTGACATCAAACCTGACCTCCAACCTAATCTCAAACCTGACGTCAAACCTGACGTCAAACCTGACGTCAAACCTGACCTCAAACCTGATCTCAAACCTGAGCTCAAACCTGACGTCAAACCTGACGTCAAACCTGACCTCAAACCTGACATCAAACCTGACGTCAAACCTGACGTCAAACCTGAACTTAAACTTGATCTCGAACCTGATCTCAAACCTGATCTCAAACCTGACGTCAAACCTGACGTCAAACCTGACCTCAAACCTGACGTCAAACCTGACCTCAAACCTGACGTCAAACCTAATGCCAAACCTGACGCCAAACCTGACCTCATACATGATCTCAAACCTAACGTCAAACCTGACCTCAAACCTGATCTCAAACCTGACGTCAAACCTGACCTCAAACTTGACCTCAAACCTGATGTCAAACCTGACGTCAAACCTGACGTCAAACCTGATCTCAAACCTGACGTCAAACCTGACCTCAAACTTGACCTCAAACCTGATGTCAAACCTGACGTCAAACCTGACGTCAAACCTGACCTCAAACCTGACCTCAAACCTGACCTCAAACTTTACCTCAAACCTGACCTCCAAACTATCCTCAAACCTGACCTCAAACCTGACCTCAAACCTGACCTCAAACCTGACCTCAAACCTGATCTCAAACTTGACCTAAAGCCTGACGTCAAACCTGACTGACGTCAAATCCAGGGTTCAAAAAAACGACCGTTTTATTGAAATTTTACCGTAAAAAACGGTACCGTAAAAAACGGTCGTAAAAAACGGTTTAAAACGGTTCCAGGAGGTGTTTCCTCTTAACTAACAAAACTGCCACTTAGTGGGACCAAATTGAACCTGAAACACAGCAGCATGAAGGGGACGGACCCCTTCTTGCATGTATGCGCTTGTTGCCATGATTGAAAATGTTTTTGACCTTGTTTTTCTCTTTTTTTTTCTTGGTGAACAGAGTTCTCTAACAAAAAAACGGCCTTTTTTTTGAAAAATCACCGTAAAAAACGACCGTAAAAAACGGACCGTATTTTACGAAAACCGTAATTTTGAACCTTGGTCAAATCTGACCTCAAACCTGACGTCAAACCTGACGTCAAACCTGACCTCAAACCTTACGTCAGACCTGACCTCAAACCTGACCTCAAACCTGACGTCAAACCTGACGTCAAACCTGACCTCAAACCTGACCTCAAACCTTACCTAAAACCTGACGTCAAACTTGACGTCAAACCTGACTGACGTCAAACCTGACCTCAAACCTGACGTCAAACCTGACGTCAAACCTGACCTCAAACCTGACCTCAATTCTGACGTCAAACCTGACCTCAAACTTGACGTCAAACCTGATGTCAAACCTGACGTCAAACCTGACCTCAAACCTGACGTCAAACCTGACGTCAAACCTTACTTCAAATCTGACCTCAAACCTAACCTCAAACCTGACATCAAACCTGACCTCAAACCTGACCTCAAACCTGATGTCAAAACTTACCTCAATCCTTACCTCAATCCTGACCTCAAACCTGACCTCAAACCTGACGTCAAACCTGACCTCAAACCTGACGTCAAACCTGACGTCAAACCTGACCTCAAACCTGACGTCAAACCTGACCTCAAACTTGACCTCAAACCTGATGTCAAACCTGACGTCAAACCTGACGTCAAACCTGACCTCAAACCTGACCTCAAACCTGACCTCAAACCTGATCTCAAACCTGATGTCAAACCTGACGTCAAACCTGACGTCAAACCTGACCTCAAACCTGACCTCAAACCTGACCTCAAACCTGACGTCAAACCTGACCTCAAACCTGACGTCAAACCTGACTGACCTCAATCCTGACCTCAAACCTGACGTCAAACCTGACCTCAAACTTGACCTCAAACCTGACGTCAAACCTGACGTCAAACCTGACCTCAAACCTGACGTCAAACCTGACCTCAAACCTGACGTCAAACCTGACCTCAAACCTGACCTCAAACCTGACCTCAAACCTGACGTCAAACCTGACCTCAAACCTGACGTCAAACCTGACGTCAAACCTATGTCAGAATATTATGCTCTAGCCTGCAGTGGGGTGCTCTATAGCGAGTACAACCCTTCTAGGGTTAGCTATTTGTACCACCATTGTTGCTAGTGCAACCCCTCCTTTCTTCATTCTTACTTTCTACAGCTAGTTCTGACATGCTATCAGAGCAGGTCGACCCTCCTGGGTCGATCCTGTGGGTGGGCCCGCCACCTAATGCTTCCGCTGCTGTCCTGCTTATCGCGCGCCTCGGGCGCGCGACGTTTTCTGCCTACTGCGCGCTCGCAAGGCGCGGCGTTTTTAGGGTTTCGGCGGTTTTCATCCCGCCGTGCGCTCGGGGCGCGCGGCGGTTTTCTGCCCGCCGTGCGCCCCGAGGCGCGCGGCGGTTTCCCACCGTCGAAGTGCCCCCCGTCGCCCGTCGAAGCGCCCTCCCCCCGTCGCCCGTCGAAGCGCCCCCGTCGCCCGTCGGAGCGCCCCCCGTCGCCCGCCAAAACGCCCCCGTCGCCCGTCGAAGCGCCCTGGGACCCGCGCGCGGCCCGTACGGGCTGCGCCAGGCCCGCGCGCGGCCCGTACGGGCTGCGCCAGGCCCGCGCGCGGCCCGTACGGGCTGCGCCAGGCCAGCGCGCGGCGCGGGCAGCCTGCGCGCGCCTCGTCCGTCCCCCTCTCGCCGTCGTCCTCCGCGCTCCTGCCCCTATCCCACCCGTTTTAGGGTTTGGGGATGTGGAGTGTGGGGGTGGCGGGTGTGGGGGTGCCGGTTGTGTGCCCCGTCCCCTCCTTCTCCTCCTCCTCCGTCTCCCGCTGCTGCAGCTGCCGCTCAGGGGGGTGGTTGTGTGGGGAGCCGAAGGAGTGGTCCTAGGGGGGTGAAGGGGGAGTGGAGCTAGGGGCGCAGCAGGGGGTGTGTGTCGAGGGGTGTGGGACTGTTGGGGGAGGTTGAGCGGAGGTTGCCGTCGTGTCGTACGCAGCGCCTGTACTCCGGGGCACTCATTCCCGGTAGCTCAGAGAGCCGGTTGCGCCGTCGCCTGTGGGTCCGTTGCTCCTGCCGCGCATATTAGCCGCGGAGCCTGTTACTCCTGTACTCCGGGGCACTCATTCCCGGTAGCCACGTTGTCGCACCAGAGCCGTCTGTTGCCCGTGTGTCTGCATCTTCAGTCGTCGCCTCCTATCTACTCTCCTCTCACCAGCCCTCCTCCTCCTCACTTGCCCCCTGTGACTGCCTCTAGCTTTGCTCATAATTGTGAACCTTAAACTATTGCTTCTTGCTTGTGCTCAGAATGTGTGGTGACATCGTGATCCACCCTGAGCTTGTACTACTTTGCTTGCTCTGCTGATTACACCCCACTTTGACTATGGGGGTGTGTCAGAATATTATGCTCTAGCCTGCAGTGGGGTGCTCTATAGCGAGTACAACCCTTCTAGGGTTAGCTATTTGTACCACCATTGTTGCTAGTGCAACCCCTCCTTTCTTCATTCTTACTTTCTACAGCTAGTTCTGACAACCTAACCTCAAACCTGACGTCAAACCTGACGTCAAACCTGACGTCAAACCTGACCTCAAACCTGACCTCAAACCTGACCTCAAACCTGATGTCAAACCTGACGTCAAACCTGACCTCAAACTTGACCTCAAACCTGACCTCAAACTTGACCTCAAACCTGATCTCAAACCTGATGTCAAACCTGACGTCAAACCTGACCTCAAACCTGACCTCAAACCTGACGTCAAACCTGACGTCAAACCTGACCTCAAACCTGACCTCAAACCTGACCTCAAACCTGATGTCAAACCTGACCTCAAACCTGACCTCAAACCTGACCTCAAACCTGACCTCAAACCTGACCTCAAACCTGACGTCAAACCTGACCTCAAACCTGACGTCAAACCTGACGTCAAACCTGACGTCAAACCTGACCTCAAACCTGACCTCAAACCTGATGTCAAACCTGACCTCAAACCTGACCTCAAACCTGATCTCAAACCTGATGTCAAACCTTACCTCAAACCTGACCTCAAACCTAACCTCAAACCTGACGTCAAACCTGACCTCAAACCTGACGTCAAACCTGACGTCAAACCTGACCTCAAACCTGACGTCAAACCTGACGTCAAACCTGACGTCAAACCTGACCTCAAACCTGACCTCAAACCTGATGTCAAACCTGACCTCAAACCTGACCTCAAACCTGACCTCAAACCTGACCTCAAACCTGATGTCAAACCTGACGTCAAACCTGACGTCAAACCTGACCTCAAACCTGACCTCAAACCTGATCTCAAACCTGACGTCAAACCTTCCCAACTCCCTTCCAACCACTCCTCATCTTCAACCCTGCCCTCCCTTTTCACCTTCGTTCATTCCTCACCTCCTCCTCTCCACTTACTCACCCTCCCTGCCAGTGGAGGACGTGGCGTCCTTGTGTGACGACAAGTTCCTCTATCCTTGTGTGACGTCAAACCTGATGTCAAACCTGACTGACGTCAAACCTGACGTCAAACCTGACCTCAAACCTGACCTCAAACCTGATGTCAAACCTGACCTCAAACCTGACCTCAAACCTGACCTCAAACCTGATGTCAAACCTGACCTCAAACCTGATCTCAAACCTGACCTCAAACCTGACGTCAAACCTGACCTCAAACCTGACCTCAAACCTGACCTCAAACCTGATCTCAAACCTGATGTCAAACCTTACCTCAAACCTAATCTCAAACCTGACCTCAAACCTGACGTCAAACCTGACCTTAGGGTTGAGCACGGGCCGGGCCGGGCCGGGCCTGGCCCGGCCCGACTCGGGCCGAATGACCAAGACCCTGGCCCGAGCCCGCCCATTTTGTACTCGGGCCAGGGTAGCCCGACCCGGGCCAAGCAAGGCCCGACCCGGACCGGGCCCGGCCCGGCCCGGGTGCACTTCCGATATAGTCACACATGATTTTCGAAAACGGAATGCCTTAAATCTTAACCTGATCTAAGCTAAAACGCACTATTTCGCCACCCTTTCATATAACCGTTACTTTAAAACGGTTAACTAACACTAAGTTAAGAAAACAGGCTAGGTGAGATCTAAATACATGGCGAGAGGCTAGGGGTAAGCTTGCGTTAGATCTTGCGCAAAGTTTCGCGCAGCTCAAATTTGACCCCCGCGACATTTGCTGGGAGGGTCAAATCCCCGCGTGATTGAGATTTGACGAAATTGACTCAAATCTCAAATTATGCCAGCAAAATACAACAGAAACCGGATTTCACCGCACTGAATCTAGAATTTCCAACCAGTCCATCAAATTCCAACCCAGGTCGACTAGATCTGGCCGCATTTATTGGCCTGAGATCTAGTCGACAGGGTATCAACTCATAGGGTTTACTCGACCAGCACATTATTAGCTTAAAAGTAGAGTTCACTAAGCGAATTGCCGGGGGGGAAATAGGCGGGCCAGAACAGCCCGAACCGGGCCGCGCTTCGACACGGGCCGGGCCGGCCCGGCCCGAAATTGGCGGGCCAAAGTCGGGCCGCCGACGGCCCGCCGGGCAGGGCCGGCCCGGCCCGCTACGGGTCGAAACCCAAAATCTGAGGCCCGGCCCGGGGCAATTCCGGGCCGGCCCGACCCGGGCCGGGCCCAGCCCGGATTTATGCTCATCCCTACCTGACCTCACACCTGACCTCAAACCTGACCTCAAACCTGATCTCAAACCTGATGTCAAACCTGACGTCAAACCTGACGTCAAACCTGACCTCAAACCTGATCTCAAACCTGACGTCAAACCTTCCCAACTCCCTTCCCACCACTCCTCATCTTCAACCCTGCCCTCTCTTTTCACCTTCGTTCATTCCTCACCTCCTCCTCTCCACTTACTCACCCTCCCTGCCAGTCGAGGACGTGGCGTCCTTGTGTGACGACAAGTTCCTCTACCCTACTGCATGTTCGGCAGGCACTCACCCAATAATCCCGACCCATCCCCACACCCTTGTCCTCCCCTCCCTCACCCCAATGGCAGTGGATCGCAAGGAGGATGTGACGTCCTTCTGTGACGACAAGTTCCTCTCCCCCTCCTGTTCACCACTGCACGTTCAACATGCTCTCAGTCGTTACTCCTGCATCTCCCCCCCCCCCACACACACACTCACCCTCCACGGCAGTGGAGGACTGCAAGGAGGACGTGGCATCCTCTCCCGCCTCTTTCCCACCTCTCTCCACACTCCAACACACCCCACCCCTTCCCCCCTTCCCCATGCCTGTCATGCCAGTGGAGGACTGCAAGGAGGACGTGGCGTCCTTCTGTGACAACAAGTTCCTCTACCCCTCCTGTACTGCTGCACTGCGTGTTCAAAGGGCTCTGTATCCCCCCACTCCTTGCCCCCCCATCCCCCATACTTACTTCGGCAGTGGAGGACTGCAAGGAGGACGTGGCGTCTTTCTGTGACGACAAGTTCCTCTACCCCGGAGTTGGCAGTGTGCTCGCATGCCTACGGTGAGTGCGTATGTCTGAGTGTACGTGCATGTGTGCGTCTGTGCACGCGCGTGTGTATGTGCGGTGTGGAGCGGGGGTGGGGGTCGGGGAGGGGAATGGGGGGGCTGTCCCACTTCCCCGCTTTCTGCCATGCTCTCCCCATCATCACGCACAACCATCCTCCCCACCTTCCTCTCTTGCCGCCCTCCATCCTCCTCATGACTGCAGGCGGGCAAAAGACGAGTGAGCGCCTGTTTTGATCTGTGCATGTTTGAGGCACAGAGAGACGCAGCAGCTGAATCCCCTCCAACCCCTCCCTCTCTCTCCTCTTGCCATGCTCAATTCTTCCTTGTACCCCCTCGTCTATCCCCAAACATTTGCAGGGAGGCGAAGGCGAGTGAGCGCCTATCAGACCTGTGGAAGAACCGTGTGTTTGAGGCGCAGAGGGATGCAGCAGACGACATATCTTCCCCCATCACCCCTTCCCTTTCCTCCGGTTCTTGATGCTCTTTCATCCCGCGATTCCAGGGAGGCAAAGGCGAGCGAGCGGCTGTCAGATATGTGCAAGAACCGCGTGTTTGAGGCGCAGAGGGACGCGGCAGCAGACATGGCGTTTGACCCGCAGCTCAACCAGACGTGCGCTGCTGACGCCCAGCGGCTCTGCAAAGGCGTGCCCGCTGGGGAGGGGCGCGTGCAGGACTGCCTGGTGAGTGCACCACCTGTGATTGGGTGTGACTGTTGCAGAAACTCTTGGCACTAGCTCAACCCGTCCACGTCTGCTTTCCCCCAACCTAAATTTGCCCCCTCCATTTCCCCACTCCGTCTGTGTGACTGACCCGTTCCTCCCGCATTCCTCCACCACTCCTCGCCATTCCGTCTGCCCTCTGCCAGCGCCAGCAGTGCACGGGTCTGAGGTGGAACTGCATGTCTGATTTCTTAGTTGACTTTAAAATCCCCCCATTCCACCTTCTTTCCTCCGCCATTTCCCCACTCCTCGCGATTCCATCTGCCCTCTGCCAGCGTCAGCAGTGCACGAGTCTGAGTTGGGACTGCATGTCTGAGCTGATTTCTTAGTTGACTCTAAAATCCCCCCATTCCAACCCCCTTCCTCTGCCATTTCCCCACTCCTCGCCATTCTCTGTGGCCTCTTTCAGCGTCAGCAGCGCACGGGTCTGAGTTGGGACTGCATGTCGGAGGTGCATTTGAAGTCGACTCTAACCCCCCCCTTCCACCACCCTTCCTCCGCCATTTCCTCATGCACCCGTTGTTCCTCCTTCCTTCCACCAGCGCCAGCAGCGCACGGGTCTCAGCTGGGACTGCATGTCGGAGCTGTTCCGGCAGGAGGTGGAGGGGTCAGGAGATATCCGCCTCAACGTGCGCCTCTTCAAAGGTGAGCTTTGTAGTGCGTCTGCCCTTCTCAAGGTGAGCAGCAACAGCAGCAGCGTGAGTGAGGTGAAGTGCATCAAGCAGCGCACGGGTCTCAGCTGGGACTACATGTCGGAGCTGTTCCGGCAGGAGGTGGAGGGGTCAGGGGACATCCGCCTCAACGTGCGCCTCTTCAAAGGTGAGCGGTGAGCAGCAGCAGCAGCAGCAGCAGCAGCAGTAAATAAGTGGCATGTCTCGCCTCAAGCAACCCACCAGCCTCTGCTGTCGCCCTTCACCCGCTTCCTCTCCCTTTCCCTCCACCTATCCCCTTCCCTCCTTCCCTCCCTCCCTCACTCCCTCCCTCCTCCCCCTTACTCTCCTTCTCCCCCCATGCGCCAGCATGTCTGCAGGACAAGCGGCGCTTCTGCCCTGATGTGCCACCTGGTGACGCACGGGTGAAGGACTGCCTGGAGGAGCACCGGCTGGAGGCCGACTTCTCCAAGGGCTGGTGAGGAGAGCACGGAAGGTGGAGAAGGGAAGAGTGGACAGGGGCATGGGCAGGGATGAGAGGGAGGGAGGTGCGGGGGGCGTTGGGAACGTTTCTTCACATGCTGGTTCTGTGTGCTAGATGTTGCGTTTTTCTGCATGCTCGCTGTCTGGGCTTTGCACTGTGATTTTGTGATGCGGCGTTATGGTGTGACGTGGCGTGGTTTGACATGGCATGGTGTGATGTGGCATGGTGTGCCATGGCATGGTGTGACGTGGCATGGTGTGACGTGGCATGGTGCGACATGGCATGGTGTGACGTGGCATGGTGTGACGTGGCATGGTGTGACATGGCAGCAAGGTGGAGTTTGACAAAATGATGGAACGGCGTGCATCGGACTTTAGGCTGGACTATAACCTGCAGAAGTACTGCCACAAGGACATTGTGGAGGTACGCACCTCTCATCACCTCTCATCACACACGCTCATTTCACTCACCGCACACCTCTCACCACACCTCCCGTTTGCCGCCCTCTTGCCTCCCTCCCGCCCTCATGCAGACGTGCTACCAGGACGCAGCGGACATGACAGGGGCGGGCGGCAGTTCAGACGCCAAGGTGATTCAGTGCCTGCAGGACTACAGGGACGAGCTCAAGGACCCACGCTGCAGGCAGCAGGTGAGAGACGGTGTGGTGCGGTGGAGTGGGATGGGTTGGGTTGGGGTTGGGTTGGGCGGGCTGGGATGGGGTTGGGCTTGGGGGGGCTGGGATGGAAGCTAGTGCTTGAGTCGATTCACGCCATGGAAGTGTGGGGTTAGAGGGCTAGGTCTCATATTACTATCACCTCAGCAAATCCTTCCGCAGAACCTCCTGCTACGCTTTCCCTTTCCATGTGTCCGTTTCCCAATGGGTTGTGCCTCCTCCCCTTTCACGCATCAACTCACAGGTGCATATGCTTACCAAGAGAGCAGCAGAGGACATTCGCTTCGACCGCGCTCTGGTTGAAGCATGCAAAGGTATGGTCCTGGGATGTATGTAAGTGTGGCATCGGCATGCGTTAGCGGCTCTTTTTTCTGCCTAGAAAGGGACTATTCTTCTTGTCGGTAAGCTAAGGTCTAGACCACGCACTCTTTCAGCAAAGCATGCAAAGGCATGGCACTGGCGTTAGGCAGTTGCATCGTGCAGCAGTGCTCAAGGGGCAGGGTCGCGTGTTCATGAGCTTACAGGAGTCCCGCCCAGGCCCTGTGCTTCCCTCTTTCCCCCCTCTCTGCCCTCCTTGAATGACAGGTGACTGGCAGGCGCACTGTGCGGCAGTGCCCATGGGACAGGGAAGGGTGTTCATGTGCCAGTAGTTGGACTACCACCTCATTCCCAAAAATTCCCCTCTCCCCCTATTCCGCCATACACCCACTCCCTTCCCCCTCTTCCCCATATGACTGGCAGGAGTACTGTGCGTCAGTGCCCAAGGGGCAGGGAAGAAGGGTGTTCATGTGTCTGCCTGCAGGACTCTCTCCTAGTCTAGTCCCTCACATTCCCCGTCCCCTACCTATCACCCCCACACGACAGATGACTGGCAGGAGCACTGTGCGTCAGTGCCTAAGGGGCAGGGAAGGGTGTTCATGTGTCTGCAGGACAACCGGGGGAAGCTCAAGGGGCCTTGCAAAGAGGCGCTCTTTAGGGAGGTGCGATGCGGTGCAGGCTGGTTGGGTGCGGTAGAGGGCAATTGAAGGGTGGGGTAAGACGCGGCTCGTTCAGTTCAGTGTGGGATCATCTTTTCGTCAGTGTGGGACCCTCCTCTCTTCGCCGTGCCCCTCGCTCCCCACTTCCTCCTTGGTTGCTTAGAGTAGCAGATGCATTTGTTAGATGAAAATCGCTTCAAGGTTTTATCTTAAGTCCCTAATCAATGGGGTCTTGTTGTTCCCCTCCCTTGCCCCCTCCCATCCTTCCCTCCTGCCTGCAAGCAGGAGGTGCGGTTCGCAGAGGACATAGACTTCAAGTTTGTTTTGAGGCGCCCGAATAACAGCTGCTCTGCTATTCCCCTTCGCCTGCCCCCCTCTGCTCCTCCCCTGGTTGTGAGCAGGAGGTGCGGTTTGCAGAGGACATGGACTTCAAGTTTGCCATCCGCAAGGCGTGCTCTGATGAGCTGGGGAAGAATCTTTCAGCTTCCTAAGTCACTGCCTTCCCACTTGTCTTCCTCCCATTCACCCCTCTCTCCCTCCCTGCTCGCAGGAGGTGCGGTTCGCAGAGGACATAGACTTTAAGTTTGCCATCCGCAAGGCATGCTCTGACGAGCTGCAGCGCCTCTGCAAAGGTGGGTGGATTTTGATGCATGCACCTAGAAGGGTGTGCAAAGGTGGGTGGATTTTGATGCATGCACCTAGAAGGGTGTGCAAAGGTGGGTGGGTGGGTCACGCTAGCAAGTCGACCTCTCATATTAAATTAGTCAACCACAATGCAATGACAAGTTCTTGTATTTTTTTTTCTTCTTCTTTGTGTTTTTTCCTTTGTTCCACTCCTCTCCCATCACGCACAGACAACGAGGATGCAATGGGATGTCTCCTCACTCCGCCCTTTGTTCCACTTCCTCCCCCATCGTGTGTTCCTTCCTCCCCTACCACCACCCACGAGCAGACAAGGAGGACGCGATGGCATGTCTGCAGGAGCACATGGGGGATGCGGACATGACATGAGCTGTTTTATCCCCACCTCACCTTTGTCCCTTCCCCTCTCCCATCACGCTCTCCTCCCCTACCACCACCCACGAGCAGACAAGGAGGACGCGATGGCATGTCTGCAGGAGCACATGGGGGATGCGGACATGACATGAGCTGTTTTATCCCCACCTCACCTTTGTCCCTTCCCCTCTCCCATCACGCTCTCCTCCCCTACCACCACCCACGAGCAGACAAGGAGGATGCGATGGCATGTCTGCAGGAGCACATGGGGGATGCGGACATGACATGAGCTGTTTTATCCCCACCTCACCTTTGTCCCTTCCCCTCTCCCATCACGCTCTCCTCCCCTACCACCACCCACGAGCAGACAAGGAGGATGCGATGGCATGTCTGCAGGAGCACATGGGGGATGCGGACATGACATGAGCTGTTTTATCCCCACCTCACCTTTGTCCCTTCCCCTCTCCCATCACGCTCTCCTCCCCTACCACCACCCACGAGCAGACAAGGAGGACGCGATGGCATGTCTGCAGGAGCACATGGGGGATGCGGACATGAGCAAGGGGTGCAGTGAGGAGGTGAAGAACGACCAGCAGCACTCCGCAGAGGGTGAGCTGGTCTGCCAGCAGTCGGTGTGGTGTGGTGTGGTGTGGTGTGGTGTGGTGTGGTGTGGTGTGGTGTGGTGTGGTGTGGTGTGGTGTGGTGTGGTGTATTGAGGGGAGGAGTGGCAAGCAGCAGGGTGCAAGCACATGGGGGATGCGGACATGAGCAAGGGGTGCAGTGAGGAGGTGAAGAGCGACCAGCAGCACGCCGCAGAGGGTGAGCTGGTCTGCCAGTAGTCGGTGTGGTGTGGTGTAGTGTCGTGTGGTGTGGTGTAGTGTGGTGTGGTGTGGGGAGGAGTGGCATGCAGCAGGGTGCAAGCATGTGGGGGATGCGGACATGAGCAAGGGGTGCAGCGAGGAAGTGAAGAGCGACCAGCAGCACGCTGCAGAGGGTGAGAGGGTTGGGAGCACCCGGGGTGGGTAGGGAGCACACAGGGTGGCACAAGGCAGGGGCTTGGGTACTGAGGGCAGACATGAGCAAGGGGTGCAGCGAGGAGGTGAGGAGCGACCAGCAGCACGTTGCAGAGGGCGAGTTAATAGAGATTCGGGCTTCTAACTGCCTCGCTTTTGCGACTCCCTTCCCTCTCCCTCACTCTCACCCTCACTTTCGCTCTCAGTCCATCCCTTGTCGCGACCATTTGTCCCTCCCTCTGACATCCCCCAAACCCCGAACTTTCCAACCCCCCCCCCCCGCCAGACTACCGACTCAACTTCCGCCTCGCTAGAGAGTGCTTCGCTGACGTGCAGAAGCTCTGCATGCACGCCTGCGACGAGTCCGCCCTCCTCCCCTCCTCCTCCGACTCTTCTTCCTCATCCTCCTCTCCCGCCTCTCTGCCGGTGACATGTGGCGGGGCCACGCTGAGGTGTCTCACCGGTGCTGTCAGCAACATCTCATCTGCCACGTGTCGCGACGAGGTGTTCCACTTCCAGAAACAGGAGGTCGCTGACGTGGCGCTCGATGTGCCCCTGCAGGTGACGTGGCAGTGTTGTTGTGGCTTTCAGATGTAGAATGATGTAGCATGTTTACCCATGTTGTGTCATGTGTTCCTTCATTCCTGTCGTTTTCTTCCTGGCTGTCCAAACCCTTGGCTGTCTAGATTGTGTTTTACGAATATATCCCCGCTTCCCTTACTTGGTTCTTTCAGGTGGCGTGCAGGGAGGATGTGAAGGAGAGGTGTGGGGGAGAGCGGGACCACAGCAAGGCGCTGGCGTGCCTGAGGCAGAACAGAGACGCGCTGTCAGAGGGTTGCAAGGAGGAGGAGCTGCGGTTTAGTGAGATGGAGGTGGGTTGAAATCTGATTGAGTGTTTGAGCGAGCCGTGGGAGTTGTGTGAGGTTCTTGCTGTTAGATGGGTGCAAGGAGGAGGAGTTGCGGTTCAATGAGATGGTGGCCGGTTCAAATGGGTGTTGGATCAGAGCTTGAGAATTGTGTAAGGTACTTGGAACTGCACCAGGTCTCACATCCCCCCTCCTCGCCTCACACACCCTCGCCTCACCTCAACCGCCCCCCTTTCCTCTGCTGCTGACACTCACCCCTCCCCACTAACCTCCCTCATTCCCCTCCCTCCCTTCGTCCCCCCTCCCCCTTTTCAACCAGGCGTCTGACATCCGTCTCACCCCCACGCTCATGAGCGCCTGTGGCTTGGAGCTGCACCAGTTCCCACCTCCCCCCACTCCACTCGTCACACATCCTCTCCCCCCTCTCCTTGCAACCAGGCGTCTGACATCCGCCTCACCCCCACGCTCATGAACGCCTGTGGCTTGGAGCTGCACCAGTTCTGCCGGAAAGTGCCGCCCGCTGCCGGCCAGGCCTTCCGGTGCCTGCAGCTGCACGTGCAGGAGGTACGGTGGTGTTCTGGCTGGCTGCTTGCCGCCCAGGGAAGAGGTAAGGACCGTCCGGTACAGACATGCATGCGCATGTGCGATGTGATTAATACTTGCCGGCCGCAGGTATGGTAGTCAGCCGCAGAGCCATGCACTCACGATCCTTTCATCCCATAACCATTCCAAACGCCTCCAGCCCATTTCCACCCCTCCTTTTCCCAGCATGAGTGCAGCCTGTCGTTTCAAATTGGATCTGCAAACAACACACCAGTCCAAGTACTACAAGCTGGACGCAGCAGTGAAGCAGCAGTGTGGGGAGGTCATGGATCGGCTGTGCCCCTCTCAACCCTTTACAACCCCTTCCCTTCCCACCTACCCGTCCACCACCCAACCAGCCAGGGATGAGTGTTGCATGCAGATCAGAGGTTGATCTGCAGACAACCCGGCAGTCCAAGTACTACAAGCTGGACGCGGCAGTGAGGCAGCAGTGTGGGGAGGACGTGGAGCAGAGTGCGTTTTTAACCCTTTCCAACACCTTCGTACCCCTTCCAACCCCATCCCACCTACCCGTTTACCACCCAACCAGCCGGGCATGAGCGTGGCCTGTCGCTCAGAAGTGGACCTACAAACAACCCGGCAGTCCAAGTACTACAAGCTGGACGCGGCAGTGAAGCATCAGTGTCAATGCCCCTGCGCTGTGCCGCTTTCAACTCCTTTCTACTGTTCCCCACCAGCCTGGCATGAGCGTGGCCTGCAGATCGGAAGTAGACCTGCAGACAACCCGGCAGTCCAAGTACTACAAGCTGGACGCGGCAGTGGGGCAGCAGTGTGGGGAGGACGTGGAGCGGCTGTGCAAGGTGGTGGATGAGGGCAGGGAGGGGCACGCACTCGTGCTCAAGTGCCTGGTGGACTACCAGGCTGACCTCTCAGCTAGCTGCCACACAGAGGTAGGTGGTGCAGTGCTGCACTGCACCCACAGAGGTGAGTAGGTGCAGTGAAGCAGCAGTGTGGGGAGGACGTGGAGCGGCTGTGCAAGGTGGTGGACGAGGGGCGGGAGGGCCATGCACTCGTGCTCAAATGCCTGGTGGATTATCAAAACGACCTCTCTGCCAGCTGCCACACAGAGGTGGGTGGGAATGCAGTCCTTGCTTGCATGGCACAAAAGCAGCCTGGTTACGGCAGTCAGCCTGCCTCAATTAGTGCGTGCGTTTCCTTCCATCAGAGTCATAAATATCCACTACTTGGAATTCGTTAGGTTTTCACCGAATTCCTTCCACCATTGCTTTCGGTTTAATCCTCTCCCCTTCTCCCACCCTCCCCCTCCCCCCACCCCCCCTCCCCTCAGGTGGCGTATGCAGTGCGCATGGCCCTGTGGATGTACCACCGTGGATTGGACCTCACCAAGGGCTGCGATGCAATCATCGACTCCCGCTGCGCCAACTACACCAGCACCAGCAGCAGCGGCAGTAACCGCAGAGCCAGCGTGTCAGGGGCAGTGGTGGGGCAGTACGCGCAGTGCCTCATGGATCAGCCTAAGGAGGCGCTGGGGAACGAGTGTCAGCCGCTCGTGGCTCTGGTGGTGAAGGAGGGCGGGCATGTGGGGGGGGAGATCAGCAGCGAGTTGCTGCAAGAAACCCTGAACAAGATCGCCCTGGTGAGTGGGGAGGGGGGATGGGGGGAGAGGGGGAGAGGGGGAGAGGGGGAGAGGGGGAGAGGGGGAGAGAGGGGGTCTTATGGGTCGACTCAGAAGCCATGTTGGGGGAGAGGTCAGCAATGAGCTGCTTCAAGAGACTCTTAATAAGATCGCCCTGGTGAGTGGGGGCAGTGGGGAAGGGAGGTTTGTGGGCAGTAAAGCAGGACTGGGGAGGTGGGATTGAGGGGGGGAAGGACGGTGAGAGGATGGTGTGATTTGCATGAAGATTGAGTAGCTTAGTGCTTATCTTCTTGGTGGCTCTTATTTGCATTGTTTATTCTTCCTGTACACTGCTAGCTGTCTCGCTCAACCCTTGGCGTCTTCGTTCCTCTGCTCCCAATTTGGTGTTTCTCCCAGTTTTTTTTTGCATAAGACACGTTCAAACCAATGCCTTTTCTTTTACGGCTTCCCACACGATTTCGCCCATGTCCAGCTCCAGCTCTCCCAAGGCGGGTCTGCAGGCTCTGTCGCTTCTCGTTCTGAAGGGCTTGTCTTGACTGGATGGGTGGCCTTTGCTGCGGTGACAGCGCTAACAGCACTTCTCCTGGGTGTAGCCTATGCAGTCTATCGCAAGTACTTCGATCCCACGCGCAACTATACGGTTATGGTAAAAGCTGGGGACGTTTGAAATCTGTGATTTTTGTGAGATGATAATATATACCCTGTGGCATTTTTATATCAGGCCCAGTTGAGCCATTTTTGAATTTAGTAAACCGTGTATCAACCGTGAAACCTTAGACTAATAGTCTCTGGGTGAGTCTAACAGCGAGTCAATCCTCAACCACGAGCACCGCACTTTCTACGTTACAGTTCGTTTCGCATATTTCGCCGTTCTCGAGGCTGAGTTAGGCTTTGGCAGCGACCACGTGCACTTGCTTGATATTTGTCCATCTGGCCAGGCGGTTCCAAGGACGGCACGCCCCGATCACACCTGTTCCACGTTTTGACCATGTGCCGTCTTTCGTTCCCCAAGCCGCGCGTCTACATGGCGGCTGTGGGTGGAGGGCCACGTCACCCTGCAACATACAGCGCTGCACCTCCAGATTCCCTTCGCGACAGTGCAATCTGGCGGTCCTCGCCACAATCGCGCATCAAAGTAACCCGCTTTCCCGTCAGATCACCTTTGACCAGCCCTGACAACACCAAACCTGGTCGGTTCGGGCCTTGGGATCACCGACCAAAAATGGCAGCGACGGGAATCCAACACAAAGGCAAACGCTGAGGGTGTGCGAGGCACTTCACTCCATACCTTATCAACACGAGGTTGTGTGGAGGGGTTTTGAGCCTTCGGTTAGCTTGAGGCTGCCGAGTGCCTGGTCGTGTCTCGGATGTGGTAGGCACGTACCGGCATCTCCCATTGGGGCTTAGAATCCCGGATCAGAGTAGTCCTTCCAACCACACAGCACGGGATTCCACCTCGCGCGTGGTTTAGGTTTCCCCAAGGGCCGCAAGTACAACGTGACAGCTGCTCCGAGCAGTTGATTTGCATGACAGCTGCTCCAGCAGCTACAACGTGAAGCTGTCTCTAGTAACGCCGCGTTTCCCGCATCCGTCGCGCCTTTCTGTTTGCTGGACATTGCCTATCATGGAGCGCGGAAGCAGGTTGATAGCGTTTGCGCTGCTCGCGGGATTATGGAGTGCAACTGTAGCAGCCTCGGAGTCCAGCAGCAGCAGTTCGTCGTCGCAGGTGAATAAGAATCAGGCATTGAAGAAGTAATCTGATCACGCTGCATTTTCACCAGCCGAGTGAGAGGTAAAAACCTGGAAACCGAAAAAAAGATGCATTCTCACTTTCCAATTCAAATGCCTCTCTCCCTCACACACACTACTGCCAGGGAAGCGACAGCACGAGCGCGCTGACGGCGAACAAGGTGGGCGCGCTGTTCGTGTTCTTGGCCTCGAGCTTCCTGGGGGTGTTCGTGCCCTACTTCATCCCCGTGCGGCAAAACATCCTCAAGTTCGGAGTGCTCTTCTCCACGGGTCTCTTCATCGGCATGTCGCTGCTCTACCTCACGCCGGAAACGGAGGAGCTCTTCTCGGATCTCACCACGAACAGTACGTTCCACCTCTCTTCTTACGAGTAAACAGAATCTGTGGGGTTGCATTTCCGTGCGGCAAAACATCCTCAAGTTCGGCGTGCTCTTCTCAACCGGGCTCTTTATCGGCATGTCGCTGCTCTACCTGACTCCCGAAACAGAGGAGCTCTTCTCGGATCTCACCTCAAACAGTAAGTCCTACATTCTCGTATTATTAGTGATCAGACTCGGTCTGTAGTTCCATCCCCGTGCGGCAGAACATCCTCAAGTTCGGAGTGCTCTTCTCCACGGGTCTCTTCATCGGCATGTCGCTGCTCTACCTCACGCCCGAGACGGAGGAGCTTTTCTCGGATCTTACCACGAACAGTACGTCCATCGCATTACACCACTTCGTACACCTGCTGTTACAGATGTTTCACCTCCACACCCCAGGGATTTCTTGAAAAAATGACAGGTTTCAACGGTTGTAATTTTAGGAGACGGAAGAGCGTTTCGCAGAGCTCAGCTCAAATGGTACGGCGCATTGGAACTTCCGTTGCCAAACGGTCGAGCAGCGGAAGATGTAACACGGGGTCTGCTAGAAACGTACCTCGCATAGCAACAAGCCTTGTAAACACAGTGTAACTGGAGACTCATGTCAATCCCTCCTCTCCCCCCCCCTCTCCTCCCCCATCCTCTCGCGTTGCTGTTGCGCTGGCGATGGCATGCTAATGGCGTATGTGCTCTGTATGTTGGTATCACGAGCTCGTGCATCTCAGAGTACCCCCTCGCGTATCTGGTGGTGGTGATGGGCGTCTTCCTCACGTGGCTGCGACCTCATCGTCAAGACCGTGTGGGGAAAGAGCCGTTCTTGATAATCATGTGTGTGTGCTCTGTCGTGTGCGTGGGTGTGTGTGCGTGTGCATCGCAGCGTACCCACTGGCGTATCTGGTGGTGGTGATGGGCGTCTTCCTCACGTGGCTCTGTGACCTTATCGTCAAGACCGTGTGGAGAAAACGGTCCGTTTCCGACGATCCAGCCAAGGTACTGAGCTCTCACAGGCCCTATTGCTTTAATGTATCCGACCAGAACGTGTTGCCATTTATATCATTTTTAGCTCTCTCTCTCTCTCTTTGCCTGGGAAAGCACGCACGCACGCACAAGGCTTACGCGTGGCCCGTGTTTCATTTCATCTGACCAGGAATCCGATCCAACGGTGGCTGCCGTCCTCGGCGTGGGCCGAAAGGCCGCCATGGAGAGCGACGCGGAAGGTGGCAGCGGCAGCGCACCGGCAGACTACAACGCGCTGAGCTTCGTGGACGTGGCGCTCATCCTCTTCGCCCTCTGCTTCCACGCTGTGTTTGAAGGGCTTGCTGTCGGCCTTGCTTCTACGGTCTACGACGTCTGGCAGATGGCCTCCTCGATTGCCGTCAACGAGGTGAGATACTCACACCTCTTCACATGCTGGATTTTGCTGGTTTCCGCTATCTGATTTCCTTGTTCCTTGCTGATTTGCGAAGGCCTTTGTTGTGGAATTGGGGGGTGCATGTTTTGGTGGTGTTCTGACCTTGTCTGGTTGCTTGTTTCTGTTCCCGTGGCATGGTATGGTTGCACTGGAGACAGTTCTTTGAGGGGATGGCGCTTGGTGTGACGCTGAGGGTTCAGGACACGGAGAGGAGTGCCGTGAAACACGTTCTCTTTGCCCTCTGCGCATCTGTTGTTGCTCCCCTCGGTATCGTCATCGGTATTGTCCTGGACACGACTGGCGATCCTACTGCACGCGAATGGGTCAGGGCGTTTGGAAACGGCATGGCGGCTGGAGTATTTTTGTTTATTGCCCTAAGCCACTTGATTGCGAAGGGGATGAAGCCTGGGCCGAATGACAAGCCGTGGCTTGTCTTTGTCAAGTGGTTTGTTTCAGGGCTGGGTCTTATGACCAACGCTCTCCTCCAACTAATTGGAAAGAGCTAGATCAAAATATGCACTTGTTATTATATACTGTAAGATGTTTTCATCAACATCATTCCTTAAACGAACTGGTGAGTTGTTAGGCCTAACCAGAATTGTACAAATTTGTGGCTTCCCCCTTGCTCTAGCCAGCTTCACCACTAGAAGCAATTGCTGTCGTTTTGACGTTGTATAAAAAAATATTGTACAATAGTGTTATGTTCCTTCAGCGTAGTGTACCTGATATTTCGGCTGATCGGGGAAATCTCCCGCCAAATCCTGCAGAGCACAGAAATTGCCGAGCTCCCGCGCTTCTGAGCTTCTGAGGGCTGCCTTTCATTTGCCGCTGCGGTTTCATTTTGGTCTGAGGAGGTTGAGTTGGCTTTATTGGTCTCGGTAGGACGGACGCTGTTCGATTGACGTGTCCTCAGGATTGGCTACTGTTTGGTCGCTGTTGATGCTCGTTCCTGCTTGGTTGTCGCAGCGCGCTAGTTAGCCGTGCCATGGCGATCAGTAGGTCTGCTAGAGCAGGCGTGTTGAAGTAATTATGGTTGCACCTCTTCCTACCCCGCGTTTCAGAACAACGGTTTTTGTTCGCATCTCTGTTTATGTTTGTTCATTCATTAACCGTCGCGCTAGCACGGCTAACCTAGGTTAGGGTAACACGCTGACACACTAACGCACTAATGCTCACGCCGGCATAGTCCACCATTAAACGCTTTAGCTCACGCACTGGTAGGAAACGCACTAACTCGCACGTTACTAGCTTGCGCGTCTAACTCGCACGCTACTAGCGAACGCACTAACTCGCACGCGCTCACCGAACGCCCTACTTTCACGCTACCACCAATAGCGCTGCTCTCACGCTACAGAAGGCTAATCTTTCGGTCGAGGCTAGCTGCAGGTCTCTCCAGTTAACCTTTCCTTCGAGGCTATGTCGGGGAGCGTGGAGAGCACGGGAGTCGGCGGTCAGCTCCAGGTGTCCGTGGTCCAGGGCCGCCACGTCAGACAGCCAGGCGAGGACGGCGACGCGACACGTGGCACCGTCGTGTCTGTCCAGCTCGGATGTCATCAGGTCGGTTGACCGACTCCATGTAATCATTCCCGTGCAGGGATGTCCGTGCAAGTCCCGGGATACTTGAGAAGGAAGCATTCATCGACAATTGCTCTGGTCGTCTGCTTTGCCGTCCACCCTCTCTCCTGACTTTTCAAATTTATGTATGCGTCTGGACGGAAAAAGACTCATCGCTCTCTCCGCCATGCTGTGTCAGATGACTTCTCACTCAACTTTTTAAGTCACCTCTGCATTCCGAAACTGACTTTTATTTTTCTCAAATCAAAAGGCTCCTCACCCGCCCTCCACATGCGTGTGTCAGTTTCGAACTCGCTCCAAGGCGGGTCCATCACCCAAGTGGCTGCAGGATTTCAAGCTCCCCGTGGTAACCGCGCTGCTCTTCTGGTGCCACCAGCACGCCTTTCAAGCCACTCAAGATGCTCCCATTTCCCCCCTTCCCTCCACATGCGTGTGCCAGATCCGAACAAAGCCCAAGGCGGGTCCATCACCCAAATGGCTGCAGGACTTCAAGCTCCCCGTGGAAACCGCGCTGCTCTTCTGGTGCCACCAGCACGACCCCGCTAAGCAGCAAGACCCCGCTAAGCAGCAGGTTGGGAAGTACGAGGAGCACGAGCAGCAGCAGGAGGGTCAGGAGCATGAGCAGCAGAAGCAGGCAACGAATGAAGACCCAGCAAGCGGTGGTCCATCCCTCATTGTGAGCCATCCCATCCCCTTCCACCCTGTTGTCCTCACCTTTCTCCGACTCTTCATCCCTTCTCCCACCCTCCATGTTCATTCGCTCTCCATCTTTTCTGACCAAGTTTCACCCAACCCCATCTCTTTCCACCAAGTCTCACCCAACCTCATTGTGGGGTAAAACTTTCACCAAACCCTGCATTACACACCTCCCTCCCTCGCAGGTAGAGCTCCTCTCTGCCGATCAATCCACCCCCACCCAATCACAATCCTCCACGTCAGCATCAGCAGCCTCGCCAGGCCCGGCGGCAGGTTCGTGCCTCGGCCGAGCCAGCGTGCCGCTGGCAGGGTTGGTGGGGGGCGCGACAGTGGTGCGGTGGTATCAACCGATGGACGAGGAGGGGTGTCTGGTCGGGGAGATCTGCATCGTATCCCGCTTCCTCCGACTTTCTTCTTCCGGCTCCTCCTGCTCTTCCGGTAAACTTGCTTTCCACCAAAGACCTCCTCTTTTGTGCATGCCCTATCTCCGGTAAGTACGTTTTAGTCGACCCCCTTCCTTCCTCCTGCTTCTGTGCGGCTCCTACCCCCCTTCCTGACCACCCCAGGAGCAAGAACACCCGTTGCTGGAGGAGCAAGAACGCCTGTTGCAAGTGGGTCTAGGACCCCTGGAGGCTCGAATAGGGCACTTTCACACAAGGACGGGAAGCAACTTTCGACGGCTTCTCGTGCTGCCGCTGCTGGTGGTGGTGGTGGTGCTGCTGCTTCCGTAGCCCCAGAAGAAGGAGCAGCAGCAGGAGGAGGAGGGGGAGCAAGAGAAGTAAGAGAAGCAGGAGCAAGAGAAGGAGCGGCAGAAGGAGAAACAGCAGGAGGAGGAGGAGGGGGGGCAAGAGAAGCAGGAGCAAGAGAAGGAGCGGCAGAAGGAGAAACAGCAGGAGGAGGAGGAGCAGTGAAAGGCGAGGAGGCATCCCACAGCCAACCACCGGCTCCCCCTCCCTACTCTCCTACTGTGCCTGCCACGTCAGCAGCCGTTAGCAGCGTGGGTGACACGTCAGCAGGAGAAACGGCAGCAGCAGCAGCAGGTGGTGGTATGGGTGTCTCTAACATGACCTCCCACTCTTACTCTCACTCGTTACACTCGTCGCCTTCCCCCTCCCTGCCATCGTCCTCCCATATAACAGATCCCCACTCCACCCTCCTGCCCCCTGTTCCTGAAGGTTCCAGTAACATTAGGAACAATATAGACGCACGTTCTAGTGGTACTGGGCTGTGCAATGAGCAGCAGCGCCAGCAAAGGAAGCTGAAAGAGAAGCAGAAGCAGATGGAGCAGCAGAAACAGCAGCAGCAGGCGTCCCCTCACAGCAGCAGGAAGAGAGGGAAGATGCGGAAACGGAAAGGGGAGAAGGGCAGAGGGAATGGGGATAATGGCGGGGTGTGGAGCGCGGGGCAGGTGTTGCTGGGAGTAGCAGGGGCGTTGTTTGGCGTGGCGCTGCTGTCAATGGTGGTGAGGCGACGACAGAGGAGGCGAGCACTGCTGCATGAGGTGAGATGAGAGATGGGGTGGAGTGAGGTGCAGTGAGGTGAGGTGAGGGGTGAGGTGCCCGGAAGATGGCCCTGCTGGGAGTAGCAGGGGCGTTGTTTGGTGTGGCGCTGCTGTCGATGGTGGCGAGGCGACGACAGAGGAGGAGAGCACTGCTGCATGAGGTGAGATGACATGTGTGGCAGTGAGGTGAGGTGAGGGGTGATTAAAAGAGTGGGACGAGGGTTGAGGAGAAGAAAAGTTAGGTGAGGGGTGAGGCATGACGAGGGTAAAAGTCACCCTTAATATCCCCTTTGCCTTCCACCCTCTCCGCTCCACTTTTTCTGCCCTTCCTATCCATCTCCTTATGGGTCCAAAGGGAGGAGACCATGTGCTCAATTGCAACTCGCTCTTGCAGAAGAGAGGTGGGAAAAGGGGTGAGGTGAGAAGAGGAGGAAGTGTCTGTTATATACCCCCTTCTTTCCTCCTCCTTCCTCCACCTGTTCTGCCTTTCCCCTCCATTTGTCAACTCCAGGTCCAAAAGGGGGAGACTATGTGCTCAATCGCGACTCGCTATTGTGTGAATCCTGAAAGGATTATAGACGCGAACGTTGCCGAGGGAATTGACGATCCGGATGTTATATTCCCAGGCGATGTGATCCTTATTCCTTCAACTTAGCCTCAGGTGAAATGGGGCGGTAAGAGCCAAATGCATGGATGCATGTGTAAGGTGTTTTAGTACTAATAATTAATAGTATTAATAATAGCAATAATAAAACAATAACAATGTGGAACATGGCTACACAACTGGTTATTCCCATTTCAGCAACATGCTTCTTCTGACCAGGGTTCTCGTTATCAGACCAGTTTGGTCTGATGGTCTGAGTTTAAGACTTGTTTTTTTTTTATTCATCTGCTTCCTAAGAATTTGTGTTTGTTCTCATCTGATCAGTAAGATTAGCGTTTTAGGTTCGTATGATTTTTCCAGACGTGTAGAATTCTTAAATCTGAAAACACAGATATCGAGTTCGGTTTCGTCTGAAACCGACATCTTGACCCACTAGGCCATATGCCCAGTGGACCAGAGGATAGGACCACAGGTACAGCCATTTGCTGCCCTGTAACAGCACGCGCATTCATTACGCGTGTCTTATAGCAGCCCCGCCGAAAGCGGCGATGCGGTAGATACGTGGCATGTGGCCGTTTGTTCCACTCCCTCCCTTGCCCCCACACGCTCGTACCCCAACCTCGCAGTAGGTTGACTTTTAACAGGAACCTTTTTTTTGTCTTGGTTATCAGACTAGAAAAAATATTCCAGCTTATAATGCAGACTACGGAAGTTTCGTCGTCCGAGCATAAGACGGGGGAAAATTTTTTCAGGGTACTGTCAGACAGCCCCAAAACCTAGCGAGAGCCCTGCTTCTGACAATCCCTTCCTGAAACTTTCCAGGCTTTATGCTTGTCTAATGCGCCATTCGCTCCTGCTGCGTCCACTCCCTTGTCACCGCCTCTGCCGATAATTCCCTCCCACCAATCCATTTAATCATCCCCACCATCCATCCCCTCCCTCGCATATCATCAGGTTGAGTCTACTTACCGGGCAAAATCTTGAAAAGACGCATCATGTCATTGTCCTCATGATCCAGGATGTGGCAGTGAATCATGTACCCCGGCCCCTTAGTCGGATCAGAGCCCAGCTCCTTCCCCATCCACGGCAAAAAATCCACCACCAGCGCAGTCACATACCCTGGGGGAGCCCTCGTAGTGTCCTTCAATCCCCTCTCGTTCTTCCTGGGTGAAACAGCTGGGCCAGTGTAACAACTTCTCTTGAGAACGCTGCATTTCTTGACTTGGTAGAGGTCTCTGTTGAATGGTCGGCGAAAGAGGATTCGATGTGGGCCGAAGTGGATGTGGATGGGGTGTGAGTCGTCTGTAAGGTTGATAATGTACCATAGTTCCCGGGTGCCGTATGCCGGTGTTATATCAATTTTCTCGTTGAAGTGCTTCTTGTCAATCATCCCCATTAAAGGATTGCCAGTCTCCATGTCTTCCATTTCTGAAAGGATGATTTCCCTTGTCGCGGCTATGCTTTTCAGGTTGAGAAGCGGGATAGAGTTTAGGGTTCCCGGCACTGTAGAGGGGTCTGCAACCGGGTTGCCCTCCACGTTGAACTGCATGACATACTGTAAATCCCCTGTGGGTAAATCACCCCCAGGATACGGTGCACGAGCGCGGTTCTTTAACCGGACTGTCACCCCCACGGGAAGCTGACTGAAATCCACAATAACCTCTGCGCGCTCCCCCGTAGCGACGGTGATCCTGCGGAGGAATACGGGGTGGTTGAGATAACCGGCTTCCGATGCAATTTGGAGGAAAGGAAAAGTGGTGCTGGAGCTGTTGGCGGTGCTGCTGGGGTTGTCAGAAACGGAGGGCGTGGCGCGGAGCGAGAGATCGAGGAAACGCGCGTTGCAGCCGTTGATGAGACGGAAGCGGTACTTGCGCCGCTGCACCGCCATGTAGGGGGTCACCTGGGGGAAGGAGGGGAGGCGAAGGGGGGGGGGTAGGTTGGGGATAGGGATTAGGATAATATTGGTGTGAGTGTTGAAACTTTGCACGGTGTAGCAAGTGTGTGTGAGGCTCCCAATAGCAACCATACCACCATAGGAAGCACGGCACCAGCAATTCAAGCATAGCAGCTATTGCAGCCATAGCAGCGCTAGCAAGCATTGCTTGCAATATGATTACCCCAGCCATTGCTGTAGATGGTGACTATCCAACCGCCATGCAACAACCATAGAAATAACACGTACCTTTCCATTAACGGTCATGTAGTTCCCGAAGTACTCAGCAGCGGCACGTCAAACCTGCCCGCGGGCAGGTTGAACTTTTTTTCCGTTTGGGGATTTGACAGAATGTACGCGCCAAAAAGCCCTGCTACCAAGTTGAGCCGCGTAATTCCCAAGGTGTGGTCGTGGTACCACATGGTGCTGGGCGGTTGCTTGTTGGGATAACGGTGCTGGCTGGATTCGAACTCGGGACCTTTCTCTCCCCACTGCGTGTGCCAAGCCTCAGGGTGGCCGTCGTAGGAACTGGAGACCTGTGCGCCGTGCAAATGAACAGCTGGGGAAGGGGGGCGGGGGGAGGAGGAAAAATGGGGAAAAATTAGGGGGAAGACGGATCTGAATAACTGAAAGGGGGAGGAAACATAGCAACACTACACCGCAATGCTGATAACACTAACTGCTTTTTGGACCAATGCAATGCAATGTGTAAGACGAGCATTCGAGGAAGGGATGGGGGTAATCAGAGGAATACCACGTACTGATTGGAACGCCCCCCTTCTTGAGCTTGGGAGCCATGAGCGTGTAATCGACGGGCATGATATGCTGCTGATCCGTGATGTTGTTCTGCCACGTCACGTGCAGTGGCGCTCCGACGCGCGCCGCGATCGTCGGCCCGGGCACGCTGGCGGACTTTCGTGTGAGCCCGAACGCGTACGCGCGGGATAACGGCAGATCGCGGTGAAATTTCTGCGAGAAGAGAGGACGCGTTACATGTTAATGTTGTAGAGGGAAGCGGAAGTCGTCTTAGGCAAACAAAATTTTATTTAGGGAAAAGGAAAAAGAAGAAGAATAAAAAAAACAAGCACAAATGCAAATGTCCTGGTAGTAGCTCACCCGTTTCACGCTAAACGCGGTGATGGTGAGAGCAGCGGCGCCGTTAGAGTCTTTTGGAAGCCGGTCCGCATTGACGAGGTGGGGAATGGGCAGCGGATCCACAAACTTTCTAAGCTTCCTCCGCAACGCGCGCTTGCTGCTAATCGACACGTCCCGCGACGTTACTCTGCCGCTCGATTTCATTCCGTGATCCCCGCCGCCGTGCCCGCCGTGATCGGCGGCGCCCATGGCGCGCGCGGGAACGAGCGGCGCGAAGAGGAGCAGCGCAAGAAACGCCGACGCGGCAACCCGCCAGTGCGGGCTCTCGGAAGCGCCTACCCGCCAGTGCGATCTCCGAGAGGCCATGAGCGGAAGAACCACTACGACTCTCTATTGTGCGTCAGTGATCGTGGCTTTTCCACCCGGAACGCTAGAAAAGAAAAGTACTGCAACGGGTAAGGCATCGCGGAAAAGGCAAGGGCCAAAAGTGACGGAAATGTGACATTTTCGGCAGAAGCAACAGTTGTAGTAGCAGTAGGAGCAGTAGTAGGAGCAGCAGTATCGACGGGGCTGCTAGTACGGGCGGCGCGGCTCGGTCGGGCGGCGCGGCTCGGTTCAGGTAGGGCGGCGCGGCTCGGTTCGGGCTGCGCGGCTGCGCGGAGCCGCTAAGCGGGGCGGTACGGGGCCGCGGGGGCCTCTAAGCGGGGCTCGACGGGGCCGCGGGGCCGCTAAGCGGGGCGCAACGGGGTCGCGGGGCCGTGAGGTGGGGCGCGACGGGGCCGCGGGGCCTCTAGGCGGGGCTCGACGGGGCCGCGGGGCCGCTAAGCGGGGCGCAACGGGGTCGCGGGGCCGTGAGGTGGGGCGCGACGGGGCCGCGGGGCCTCTAAGCGGGACGCGACGGGGCCGCGGGGCCTCTAGGCGGGGCGCGACGGGGCCGCGAGGGCGTTAGGTGGGGCGCGACGGGGCCGGGGGGCCTCTAAGCAGAGCGCGACGGGGCCGCGGGGCCTTAGGCGAAGCGCGACGGGGCCGCGGGGCCTCTAAGCGGGGCGCGATCGACGGGGCCAGCGGGGCCGGAAAAAAAAAAGAAAAGCGCTCGAGGGCGCTAAGGGGGGAGGCGCTAAAGCGCACTCCGATAGTAGGGCGCACGAGGGCGCTAGTAGGTAGTAGGTAGTGGTGGGCCCGAAGAGAACTTAGGTCCTAGCGAAGGACCTGCTCTGAAACCATGTCAGAATGAACGGACTGGAATGATTGAACTAACAGTGAAATCAGTACAAGTACCTAACCCTAGAATTGTGTACCCCCTATAGGCTAACCCACTGTAGCCTAAACAACCACAACATATATATAATGTTTGACATTTCGTATACGAATTTTTGGAGTAAAAAAGTGATGGATGAAAGTGCCGAAGCCCCCGTCACTTCCAATGTGACGGCGATGTCACGGAAATGTCACGTAAAAGCTTCCCCTTGGTCCCAACCACCGTCACTGCTCGGTCACATGCACGTCACGCACAGGTCACCATGACCATAGCTCGGCGAGGTGGATAACAAATGCCACAATTAGACACAATCTTACGTGAACCATACACGTGGCGACCATGACGTCAGTGAAACATACCGTCACGAACAGTACTCGTACAGTACAAAGCGCCTCGAGCCAGTAAGATGCCCAACCAGGTGCCTTTACGTGTACGACCACGATCACCCTGAAACTGCAACCACACCCATCTTTGCCATCGGATGTGACCAATTGCCCACGCGCCATCCCATGATATTACCCGATTCCCATTGGTCGACTCTTACCACAGCATGTCGCCATCCCACTACGTGGAAACGGCCGATGCCGTCAGTTAGGTGCCAGATGTACGGCTAAAACTATCTCTTGATCTCTGCAAGTGTAAGCTACCTGTGCATCCGACCGTCCACGTACACACGCATCGACGATACGTATCGGTCGCAGTCGCCAGCAGGATCTCACCATTGTTTACGTGTGATTACTCCTGTCCGTTGATGACGGCCCACGTGGCCATGGTACACGTTTCACGGAGCCACTTATACTGCCCCATATGTCCCGCCCTCGACCGTGTACCACTCCATCATCCAATGGTGCACATGCCTGCCTATGCACTTGCATCTACGGCTCCAGATGGCGTAGGGCACGCACGGCCCTACGATATGGTGGGTTGGACCGTCACTATCCGAACCGCCACCACCAACTACCCGCATCCAACGGCACACATCCGAGTCGCGTTATGCTTCCGTGACCTCACGCCAATGGCCGCAATTGTCTGTCTCATTATACAGTCCTCGGGCTGGTTGACTGGTTATGTTCTCCGCATGCTAATGAATACCCACGATAATCCATTCTGGCTTTCTTGTGAAGTAAAAGCAGACACGCAATTAACACAGGATACGCAACAGACACGCTAGAATACGAGGGCTAAGCCGGTTCAACCCCTCTTCCCAACGGCTGCCTCACACGGTCCACCGTGGTTCCATTACAATACCACCAGAAATTACTAGGCATATGGTTTAGCTGCTTATCCTTGCGCCTGCATACGATGCCACGCATCGCCGGCTGTTGTTATCCCAATTAGGCCTGCGGAGTACCGCGGCTGACGGTGGCCTCTGCGCCCACTGCTTCACTTGCAGCGATGCCGTCGGCCGATATGCGGAGACCATGGCGGCCCCACTCCCAGCTCTGGGATGCCTCGTCATAGGCTGGTCGGAAATCCGCGATGGCGGCCCTAACCGCAGCCTTGACGAGGACGTGGAGGCCGTCCACGATCTACGCGTTGGTGCTCGCGGAGTTGGCGAAGCGACCTTGGCGCGCCTCCCAGTGATTGACCGCATCTGTCACCTGCGCACGGCAAACCACATACGCGCGCACGTAAGCACACTCGCCCAGATACGTTAAGTCGTCAGAATGACCACGGTATTTGCGTACCACGTGCTCCAACCATGCCACGTGGTAGAGCTTCAATGTCACAGTCCCGTTGACCATCCTTGGCTTGAACACCGCACGCGCGCAGGCCGTGAACGCCCCAGACGCGAACGGCATCCCTTCACGGGAGCAACTCCAGCTAGACAGCCGCAGCTTCCCTGCCAGGTTACACACATACGGAGCGCGCATCAGATGACGGTTATATACGCATATGAATTGCAATCCCTTACGCCCCGCATGTGGCGGCACACCCTTACCAGGCGGTACGTCGCCAAGGCCAACCCTATCTCGGATCCGTGAGAGGGTGCGCCTCGACTTGGTCGCCCATGGACTCTCCATGTCTCGTTCGTTGCGAAAAAGTCCAATCTTCGGCAGCCCGATGTCGCGGACTCTCCCTGCCGCAGCGGTCTTCCAGTCGCTGCACGACCTGTTCAGGTCGGACCGACGCCACTTGCACGCCGCGAGAGCCACGCGCAAAACCCATAAGTGCATGCGGTGTATGAACGAAATATGCCGGGAAAAAACACACGGCGCAGCAGACCCATTAGCGGTGCATCTGGGGTCAGTTACTCACGTGGCGGCGAGGGAGGACCCCTGGCTTGCTGCTCGTTGGCATGCTTTGAAACGTCCAGGCGAGGCTTCTTCGTCACCTTACGCCTAACATTCCCAGGCAGAAGGTAAGAGTTCCGTAGGTAGGCAGGTGGCTGTGACACGCGCTGACTCCTGCCCTCACGTGACGACACGGTGAAACTGTCCATTGTGAACGAATGTTGTGGGCAGGAATGACTCTGGCTGACACATTGTCCACTACTTACGCATTCTGAGTCCAATCCATTGGTGCGTCAGTGCGTTTCCCCCCCCCCCCCCCCCCCCCCCCCCCACCCTTCCACGTGGCGATCAATTGTCGGACGAGGTTGCGGTCGTCATCTGGCGGGTTTTGCCCACATGGCTCACCCATCACGCAAAGTTATCCACATGTCTCGTTATAGAGCCGAGTCACCTCTTGTCCCACACTGATGTACCATTACAAAAATGCTACACATTGGGTGAAGCTCGTAAAAGTCATCCGTGCGTTGCATATGTACTCAGACAATAGTTGATATACAGTATGCGCCAGCCGGGCAAGACACCCGCACTTGATCCAGTAGACTCATTCACAACAGGAGACAATACTACCTATTGCATGACAAGTCACAAGCACCCGGACGCTTACTATACAGGTCCAACGACACAAGGTCCACCACGCGCACAGCTCTTGGACTCGTCCAGTATTAGGTGCTTTTCCAGTTCAGAGCCTCCGTGGCACTACATATACGCACTCCATGACCGTTGCACCTACTCGCACACCGTCTCCCCAACGTGACCCATCATGTCCTGCACGTTTTCGTCACTGCTGCTGTTGTCCGGCGACCGTGTGGCATTGTTTTCCAGCGGGAATGGGGTACCAGGCTCAATGCCCAGCTCTGCCAGCGCAGTCCTCCACTGACGCCACCTCCACCACATGCGTGCCTTGACCAGATGACGCACGTCGTCGCGAACACACCCCTCCAGGCACGCCTTCTGCTCGTCCGTCAGCTCCTGCACGTGCGGGATGTGGTCATTACGCCTGATCACAAAGGCTGCCGCGGCATACGCATATGCCGCATCTAGCTCCACAGTGTACGCGCCCAGCCGAATCTGCTGACCTGTGCCTGGGCCGCATACCATCTTGACCCCCCACTTTCGCCCGCGTGCGCACCAACTCACACCTGTCCAGCGGCTGGATGCAGGCCGCCCACCGAACGCAAGCATGCCGGCCGGACGCTCGGGCCGTCCTGCAGTCCTGATCCCCGGACGGAGGCGATACCTGAAGCTGCGCGAGACCGTCCGCGACGGTGCCGGAGTCACGGGAGCGGCTGGGAGGTATTGATCCTTCCGCTTGGGTCTGACAATACCAGGTGTGGGCTCACCGTTGATGGGGGACGCCTCCTCGAAATGCGCAGACGGGACCGATGGCAGCGGAAGCGGGCATGGGTCCGGGTGGATGGACTGGCCGAGCGTCCGCATAGATGCTGAGTGCTCCACGGGGTTCTTGGACGTGTACAGGGACAGCAGAGGCGTCCCGTGTATCTGGAGCTCGTGTGCCGCGCCACTCAGCAGTTGTTCCCCCCAGATGCCTAGGGAACGTGCCAGGCCTATGACAGCCGCAGACACAACGAAACCCCCTAGCTCCAACCGGGTTAGCACGCCTGACTGCCTCGCCAGGTCTGTGCGGACTTCGTCCTCCTTTGGAAAGACGAGGGCGCCGTGTTCTCCCACCTGGGGAAGAGGCTGCACGGGAACATGCACACCTTCCCCAAGCAGCTTGACGACAAGGTCACCCGTGGCGTGGAGAGACACCTCCTCGCGGAGCTGGCGCCGGTATGCGTGAGACTTCGCGCCGAAGAACGTCATCCACTCTTTGAGGTGAGCAAAGCCGGATGTAACCAGGGCGTGAAGATACATGCCGACATAAATCCCACAGTCCACCGCGTTCGTCTGTTGCGGGATGTCTTCCGGCTGCCACATAACACATAACATGAAGTGGCACTCGTCAGGTGACAGACACACCAGGACGTGCGATCGACGAGGTTGCTACATTAAGTGCACACTCACATGCATTACGTGGACTTCGGCATACTTCATGTGGTCCTCCGCCTGCTTCCTGTCGGCCGTGGGCAGCTGAGCTTTGTGCAGTAAGAGCAACATCCTGCAATTGTAGCATGGTAACGGCCGTCGTTAAAAATAGCAGGATCGAGAATTTCGCACGCGTGATAGACTCATTCGCAAGGGATTGTCGCAAACCAAAGCAGGGCACAAGTATAAGATACACTGCTCACTTCTTGACGCCCTCCATCACTTCTGGCTTCTTGGTGTGCAACTGTGCACTATCGTAATGCACCAGCTCCACGGGGCCCTCTGCTGTCTCGGATAACTTCCCGCTGACCATGGTGCGGAGGTTCGTCGCTATGACCAGCGAGTAGTGGCCCCTGACACATGTACGCACGGCGCACGTTAGGGAACGCGTGTCAACCAGGCAACTAACAACAGCATGAACTTCAAGATGTCGACGACTTACTCGTAGTACACTGGGATTGCGAGGTAGTCCTGTGCGAAAATACAGGGTGAATGTCCAAGTGGCCATGCCCTGTTCAGAGATTTCGCGAACGTAAACACCTTCGTGTCCAGAGCGAACCATGTTTTGCCTCCTTCCAGCGTCGGGTACCGGATGTTCAAAAGTCTGGGACACACATAGGCACGATATGGTTAGTCAGAACGATTACAAAGGAAGGGCATACAGCATATATAGGGCACACCCATCCCAGGTGCTTACATGTTGTGGAAGTCCACCACTGTGTCCGCCAGACACTGTCCGTCGGCGAGCGTCAGGACGTCCTGTGCTGGCAGCTGACACCCCACACCATGGGGACCGTACAGCGCCAACGGCTGGAAATCACGCTGATAGTTGGGCCTCATAAGACGGGCAATCACATCGTCACTCGGCGGAGGCGGCACCTCTCCTGCACCCCTCACACCGCTGCCCGCCGATGTCACTGCACGAGGGCGGGGCAACTCATGCTTCACCTTGCGCTTACGGCGATCTTGCTCCGTAGACAAAGTGGTCAGGGCACTGGCCGCACCGGACACGGGGTCCCGCTGCACCAGCATCCGTTGGATGTTCATGGTGGGCACTTAGTAGACTCGGACGCGTACTGTGGTGGTAGCCCACATGGATGCACAGGGAGCCTAGCTTCCTAAACCGCGACTGCTGTAATGGCCGCTCATCGGACGAATAAAGTAGGCAGATCACAATGAGGCTCTGCGGAGTCTGTTGATGTTCGGAACCTACAGCCTGGAACAAGAAACCCCAGGTTAACCACAGCGCGCCAAAACCATAGCGCGCCAGATCCAGCTGTGTCGAATTGGCGCCGAACGAGGTATATGCATGACGGGCACACGTGGCATGATTTCGCATAATGCATGAAGTCCTCGGTGGGGAATTGTGGTTTGCTATGCATGTGGCTGCGATTTTGCAATAGTGGTTTGGTGTAATACATACACGATACTGTTATATAAACATCAAACACTAAAGATCAATCCGGTTCCGCAGGAAACTTTCAACAACTGGCCCCACTCGCGGGAAGCATGGAACACCACCACGTGACGTTGTTTCGTTTCGCACATCCGCAGTGTCGATCTAACCCTATCTACACGCTCTCGATTAAAATTGTCTCGCTTAAACGAAAAAGACATGACATTCAACATCGTAATTGCTCTGATGCATATGACATAACGTAGCTGACCACACCCAATCCCCCGTCACATACGGTCGTCCACACCCTTACAAACCAGCCTATGAACCCACCCGCACCATTCCGCCCGACACCAGCTAGTCTTAATCCATGGTCTCTGCACATCAGATCGCGTTTACAGATGAGGGATGGGGACGCTTGGTTGGCGTCCGACGCAGACGACTGACGACCAGAGCGTTCGACGCGCCAAACCGTTCTGGCGCGTCCCGCACATCTATGCCGAGCTTTAGTGCCTGACGGACAAGGTATTCGGTGACCACGCGCGCCACCCGCCTGCGGCAACGATGGTCATTCAGTAGCGGCCCTGGCTGCGTGTGCAGTGCTATGTCGCGGCCGTCCTCGGCGCCTGGGCTGTCGTTCAAGGTGCGCTGCACGCGTTGCAGGAGAAGGGTCAGCTCGCAGTGCGCATAATCAGTGGCATGCATGAGCGTGTGTCCAGGCCGTGCGAACTCGTCTATGATGTACTGCAGCTGTCCCAGTTCCTGAACAAGAGGTTCGGACAGGACACAAAGAACAGGGTTTTTGAACTCTCTCACGGACGACCGCCATGATGCCGGCACACAGCCGGCGCGCCACCAGCTGAGATGGACTGACACCGGAGTCAAGTCCCTCCACCTTGAACCCATCCAGTCCACCATGATGGGCAGGGGAGGGGCGTACCGGAACAACGCCCCGTCGCGCCACGCTGGTGTCATCATCAGATGGCTAAGGTATGTGGCACGGTACAGCGTCTTCCACAGCTCTACCACCCCGCACACGCCGGGATGGATGCACACAGGCGCGTCGGGACCATGCATGTGAATGATTCGGAGGTTGCTCAGAATCTGAACGCGGAAACCGTGCTCCGTCGTTTCCATAACAGCTGGGTCCGTTGACGAGTGGGCGTCCTGTGTCACGAGGACGATGACATGGTCGTCCGTAGAGTACGATCGCCCGTTCAACGCTTCCAGGTACTCGCTGAATATCTGACAAGCGATACACGCGACGACGGGGCGGACGTGTTAGCATGTCCGATAGCACGTCCGATAATGCAATGGCATTCTACACACAAGACCGGGAACGAGCAGAAGATCGCACACCTCAAGCGTGACGAACCCGTCCACGCTGTGACGCACGAACACGGTAAAATCCTGGGGTGTTTCAAGGCCTTGAGCACGCGCGTCGTCCGCGCGGAATATCAGCAGAGGCGGACACATGATTGTTCCCGTTGCATTGAACAGGAAGCAGATATTGATGCGCCAGCCGGGCAGCGGATCATCGTGCCCATTCTCCGTGTGAAGGAAGGGGAGCCTGGTGGGCAAAAGAGGCTCCTCCACGAAGCAGTACACGTCGTCTGGATTAGCCTTTATCTCAGCCAGAAGCATGGGCATTTCAGCCATGGTTGAGAGCTGGAGTACAACAACTGCCTTCGTGCAGAGAGAGTAAGCTCTAATAGCTTTCTCTCTATGGACGCTGGAATGGCTGAGAGCGTCATTGTACACGCGCACATTATCCGCCACGTAAGCACCTACTGCCGCATTCCTGCCCACACACGTTAGAGATGTAGACACATGTACTAACGTCATTCGGACGCTGTGCGCCACCAAACATCCGCACGTCTACGATAACGTGGAAGATCAGTGGCCAGGATGGCGCCAGTGTACAGTGATTTGTTGGGGTTTCGTTCGGGTGCGGTCATGTTGGATATGACGTTGCTGTACATGGAGCCCAGGGGCGGACAGATGATCTGATGGGTAAGCGGTTCCGGTGTGAAGGGCCATTTCAACCGTAGTAAACCGATGATGTCTCGTAACTTAGATGTTTTTGTCAGAATGAACGGACAGGAATGATTGAACTAACAGTGAAATCAGTACAAGTACCTAACCCTAGAATTGTGTACCCCCTATAGGCTAACCCACTGTAGCCTAAACAAACACAACATATATAATGTTTGACACACCCCCATAGGCAAAGTGGGGGAGAGCAAGGGGTCACAAGACCAGTCAAAGCAAAGCAAAACAAGCTCAGGGTGGATCTCAAGGATACCACACAAATTCCAAGCACAAGCAAGTGGTCACAAGACCAGTTCACATGCAGGATGATAATATAACAAGAGATACAGTGATCACAACCTAGCAAGTGTAAACATGCAGGCATATATATAAAGATCACAGTACAAGCAGAGTCAAGAAGTAAGTAAGTGAGGTCCAGCAGGCACAAGGCCTAGAAGAGTACAGAAACGCTGATGGTCACAAGGCTGAAGTGCCTTGGTGAACACATCAGCAAGGTTGGCCTCAGTGGCCACGTAACGCAGACGAAGCTGACCACGCTGCTGCAGCTCTCGAGCAAGGAAGTACCGCAGGGCGATGTGCTTCGTTCTGTGCTCCAGTCTGTGCTCCTCACACAAGGCAATGGCAGCCTGGTTGTCGACGTACAGCACTGGAGGAGAACGAGGCCGCTCTCCCAAGTCGGTCAGCAGGTAGGTCAGCCAGCGTAGCTCCTGGGCAGCCATGGCTGTGGCGTAGATCTCAGCCTCACAACTGGAGCTGAGAACAGAAGAAGAGCGTGTAGAACGCCAAGAAACTGAGCCGGAGCCAAGGCTGAAGGTGTAACCCTGAGACGACCGCTGAGTAGCCTGGTCGTCCGCCCAAGAAGCGTCTGAGTGTCCAGTAAGTACAACTCGGTCTCGCCCTCCAAGCACTAGCCCCATGCCCGACGTACTGCACAAGTAGCGCAACACCCTCTTAGCAGCATCCATGTGCTCCTTCCTGTGACGGCCAGGAGCGACATAGCGCGCAAGGATGCTAAGAGGGTATGCAAGGTCAGGTCGAGTGCAGGTCATCAGGTACATGAGGCAGCCCACAAGCTCTGGATACGGGCCACTCGGCTCTACGGACTCATCCGAAGGCAGAGCTGAGAGCGAGTGACCGGTAGGCAGAGGAGTGGACTGAGGCGAGGAGTACGTGAAGCGGAAGCGCTGAAGGATCTGCTGCACCATGTGTGACTGAGTCAAGGTGATGGTGCGCCGTGCTCTGTCCCGGGTGATCCGCAAGCCAAGATAGCTTGTCAGTTCACCCAGGTCTGTGCACATGTGTCTCCTCTGCAGCTCCGACTTCACGTGGGCGAGTGCCGCGGTGTCAGCAGTGGCAAAGACCAAGTCGTCGACGTACACGAGGATGTAGAACGGCGGCAGTGAGGTGTCTGTGCGTAGAAACAGTGACGGGTCAGCAGTAGAGGGAGCGAACCCAAGAGCCGCAAGTGTCGTCCTCAGTGTGTCGTGCCACTCACGTGGTGCCTGGCGGAGACCGTAGACCGGCCGCTGAAGCCTCCACTGGGTACCAGGAGGAACCGACCCAGTGAAGCTAGGAGGGCGGCGCAGCCAGATCTCCTCGTGCAGGCTGCCCTGCAAGAAAGCAGTGCTGAAGTCAAGTGAGTGAAGCTCGTAGTCGCGCTGAGCGGCTATGTGCAGCAGCACCCGAAGAGTGGTCATCTTCGGGGTGGGGGAGAAGGTCTGAAAGAAGTCAACTCCCTCTCGCTGACTGAAGCCTCGAGCCACGTAGCGCGCCTTGAAGACAGGAGGAGAACCCGGCGGCCGCTTCACCCTGAAAATCCACATGCCACTGACGATGTTCGCCCCAGGTGGGGGAACCTCGTCGACGTAGGTGCCTGTGGACTTCCAGGAAGCCATCTCTGCGTCCATGGCTGTCTGCCACTGAGAGGAGTAGGGACCCGCCATCGCCTCAGCGTAAGTGCGCGGGGTCGGGATGTCTGGTGCATCCGGGTCTCCCTCAGGGGCAACTAGCATGGACACGAGGTGGGGTAAAGCAGCAGCAAAGCACTGGAACTCCTCCTGTCTGTCCTCAAGGACGTCCGTGCCAAGAGCACACTCACCCCCGACGGACGGAGGACAGACAGACTCAGACTCAGACTCAGCAACAAGGCTAGTGGCGTAGTCTAGACGACACCGGGCAGCAAAGTCGATCAACTCAGCGACCAGAGCAGACGCAGCAGAGGACTCAAAGGTAGGGTCAGTGACAACAGTAGCGAGGAGACGGGTGACAGTGGGACTGGCAGCACGACGGGAGTCAGACTCCGGATCAGGAAGAGTAGGCAGAGAGGACGCAGGAGGAGACTGCAACGGGACACGCTGAGGAGCAGTGGAGGGACGCAGAGTCATGTAGTGAGTGCCAGGGACAGGAGGAGGACGCTCACGTGGGACACGACGACCAGTGCGAGCAGTACGAATAGGCGACGCAGGACGAGACTCAGGCTCACGACGCTCTGTAAGACCTCCTGTGGGACCAGTATAAGGAGAGGGAGCAGGGAGAGGCGGAGGACTGGGACTGCGACTGGACAGGCGGAGGACACTCTACGGAGGGAGGAGGACAAGGAGGAGGAGCCTGACCAAGAACCTGCTGAAGAAGTGGTACGAAGTACGGTCGCGGCCGCGCAGCGTCTCCAGAACCAGCAGCGACACCAGCGGCAGGGTCCTCAGCACCAGCAGCAGCTCCACCGTCCAGGTCCTCAGCACCAGCAGCAGCTCGACCGCTCGGGTCCTCAGCACCAGCAGCAGCTCCACCGTCCGGGTCCTCAGCTCCAGCAGTAGCTCCAACGCTCGGGTCCTCAGCACCAGCAGCAGCTCGACCGCTCGGGTCCTCAGCACCAGCAGCAGCTCCACCGTCCGGGTCCTCAGCTCCAGCAGTAGCTCCAACGCCCGGGTCCTCAGCACCAGCAGCAGCGCCACCGCTGGGGTCCGCAGCACCAGGAGCACCACTCCGAAGACTGCAGCGCCGCGCGTACCACTCTCGGATCTGCTGAATGGGGGGGAGCTCCTGGGTAGGAGGGGAAGTACTGGTACGAGCTCCAGTAGCACCTCTCCGGAGGCGGCAGTACTGTAGGTACCTCTCCTGCAGCTGCTGGGAGGAGAGGGCTCCTCCAGGTGTAGCACGCTCAGGATCAGCACCTCCAGACACAGCACCCCCAGACGTAGCACCCCCAGGCTCAGCACCTCGAGACTCCGCACCCCCAGGCTCCGCACCCCCAGACTCAGCACGGTCAGGCTCAGCACCCCCAGGCTCAGCACCTCCAGACGCAGCACCCCCAGACGCAGCACCTCCAGACTCCGCACTCCCAGGCTCAGCACCTCCAGGCTCCGCACCCCCAGGCTCCGCACCCCCAGACTCCTCACGGGCAGGCTCAGTACCCCCAGCAGGACGAGAGTCAACAGCTACCTCGACAGGCTCAACCGGGTCTACCTGGGACACACCTGAGGGAGCGGCACCCTGAGGGGGGAGGGGGTCTGGTACCTCAGCACCTGGAGCGAGGAAGAGAGGCGGGGGGGGGGAGCGGGGCAGTGCGGTAGGGGAAGAGGCGGTAGTAGGGGACGGACTCGTCAAAAGTGACGTCCTGAGAGGCAAGGACACGACGCGAGGTGGCGTGGTAGAACTGCCAACCAGGCGCGTCCGGGACAAAGCCAAGGAAGACACAGGGGACAGCGCGACGGGAGAGCTTGTCCGCGGACGTGTCGCGAACAAAAGCTCGAGATCCCCAGACCCGAAAACGCGACGCATCGCCAGCCTCTCCCGTCCAACGCAGTGTCGGAGAAGTCTCCGGTAAGGAGACACGGGGCCAGAGGTTGAGCTGATGCGCAGCGTATCGGACTGCAAACGGCCACAGAAAGTGGGGGGCAGCCGCATGAACCAAGGAGGTACGAGCGACCTCCATGACCAAGCCAATGCGGCGCTCAGCAACCCCATTCTGCTGTGGAGAGGCCGGAAGTGTGAACGACTGCTCAATGCCCTCCTGCTGACAGAAGGCCTCCAAGAGGCCAGAGGAAAACTCCCCACCTCTGTCAGAGTGCAGACGCAGGACAGGGAAGTCGGAGCGGAAACGCTCACTGAGCTGGAGACGAGATCTGCGGATCCAAGGGATCAAGACATCAGGGACGTCACCCTTGGCGCGCAAGGGGAAGACCGTGGTGTAGCGCGAGAAGTCGTCAACAACAATCAGGAAGTACCTCTCCTGACCCTGACCACGGACGCGGGCTGGGCCCCACACGTCCATGTGGAGCGTCTGCAAAGGAGCAGTCGTCGGGGGGAAGGAGGAGGAGTGAGGAGCGGCGCGCTGCCGCCCCTCGACACAGGGAAGACAGGGAGGAGCAGGCGAGGGTGGGAGGGGAGGGAGAACCCTGGGAAGACCAGCAACAAGGTCCCGTTTGTGCATGGCCCGAAGGCGCTGCACAGACGGGTGACCAAGGCGGTGGTGCCAGAGGACAGTCTCATGCGCCAGAGAGCGACACGAGCAGGGGGCGGACAGCTGACCTGACGAAGACGCAGACGCGGACGCAGCTACCTGAGGGGACTCAGTGGTCAGTGTGTACAGGTCCGACCCCGGCTGCCGAGTGAAGGTAGCCAGGTGACGGCCCGTCCGAGCACACGTGCAGTGGGTCACGCGCTCGTAAGCAGGGGTGAACTGGTGGACACCCCTGTCCTGGAGCGCACTACCCGCCACCAAGTTCGTAGAGAACGAGGGGAGGTAGAGACCTGACAGTGTGCCTGACGGGACCGCAGGACAAGGAAGGACAGTGGAGGAGGTCGCAACGACCGGACCCCCAGAGGGGTCAGCGAGGGAGACAGCAACTGGCCGAGCAAGTGGCTCAAGGACAGTGCGGTCACGAAAGAAACAGCGAGAAGCACCTGAGTCCAGTGTGAAGGTGTGCAGTGCTGCAGTCGACTCAGTACCAGCGGGCACGGACGCACTAGCACCTAGAGCAGCAGCCTCACCATCACCTGAGGTGGCAGACACGCGAGCACCTGCAGTGGCGGTCTCACTAGCACCTAGAGCGGCAGCCTCACTCACACTACACGGCAGCTGCACCGGTCCGCGCCCAGAAGCTCCCGAACGACGCACTCCAGAGTGACTACCACGACCACCACCCCGAGAGCCCAAACTCGCGTACCACTCACGAGCCCGCTGGAGCGTAAGAGGACACTGCTGCTGCACCTGTCCACTACCAGATGCTCCCGAACAACGCACGCCAGAGCGACTACCACTACGGCCACCCCGACAGCCCAAACTGGCGTACCACTCACGGGCCCGCTGGAGCGTAAGAGGACACTGCTGCTGCACCTGTCCACTACCAGATGCTCCCGAACAACGCACTCCAGAGCGACGACCACGACGGCCACCCCGACAGCCCCAACTAGCGTACCACGCACGCGCACGAAGCAGCTGGGGCGAAGGAGGGCACGGCAGCTGCACCTGTCCACTACCAGAAGCTCCCGACCGACCCACTCCAGAGCGACCACCACTACGGCCACCCCGACAGCCCCAACTAGCGTACCACTCACGCGCACGAAGCTGCTGGGGCGTGAGGGACTCACGCGCACGGCCCTGGAGCTGCATCTGGCCACGCCAGGAGCAGCAGTAGTAGCAGTAGCGGCAGCAACAGTAGTAACAGCAGGAGCTGTGGCAGTGGGAGTAGAAAAGGCAGTAGCAGCAGTAGCAGCGGTAGCAGTGCTGGGCAATGCTCACCAGTGGTCGGCGCGGCAGGCGCAAGACGGTGGCGACAGCGCGGGCAGGTCGACGCGGCGGGCAGGTGGCGACGCCGCGGGCAGGGCGACGCGGCGGGCAGGTGGCGACGCCGCGGGCAGGTCGACGCGACGAGGGCAGGCGACGACGCCGCGGGCAGGCGACGACGTCGCGGGCAGGCGACGACGCCGCGGGCAGGCGACGACGCCGTGGGCAGGCGACGACGCCGCGGAAAGCGGGCCGCGCGCGGGTGGCTAGCAGGCCGTGCGTGCGCGGTAGGGAGAGGCGCACGAGGGCGCGAGGGCGCACGAGGGCGCGCGGTAGTAAGAGGCGCACGAGGGCGCGAGGGCGCACGAGGGCGCGCGGTAGTAAGAGGCGCACGAGGGCGCGAGGGCGCACGAGGGCGCACGGTAGTAAGAGGCGCACGAGGGCGCGAGGGCGCACGAGGGCGCACGGTAGGTAGGTAGGTAGGTAGCGGTGGGCCCTAAAACGGTCCTAGTGAAGGACCTGCTCTGATACCATGTCAGAATGAACGGACAGGAATGATTGAACTAACAGTGAAATCAGTACAAGTACCTAACCCTAGAATTGTGTACCCCCTATAGGCTAACCCACTGTAGCCTAAACAAACACAACATATATAATGTTTGACAGTTTTACCCAATGGTACAACAAAAGTGGTACACGTTTGCCATTCTACACCGTGAACAATGTCGACATCACCGATTAGGTAGGCGTACCACATCAGAGGGGGTTGCCAGCATATTTGAGTGTAGGTACGCGTGGCACAGGTTATCGGTATTTTGCAATTAGGGTTCGAGCAGCCTATCGCGATGCTGGGTAATGCATGCGAGGCATGCGGCTTGGAGCACGTAGACGACAACACTCTCCAGTCGCATGTGTCTAAGAATGTCAAGTGCAGGAGGAAGATACAGCACTCGCGTGCCCAGCGGCTGGTAGAGGCGTATCGGGACGCTATCCGGGCCAGGCGCGGAGCGAGGCCCCGTTTCACCCGTGCGTTTTCGCCGCAGCTATGAAGGCGACGCGGCTGGGCTGGCCGCAGTGGAACCGGCTGCAGTTACCGATCAACCCGCCCCCCCCCCCGAAGGCGTAGAGGAGGATAGCGACGGTGACGAGAGTGTTATGTCAGAGATTGACGACGGCTTCAACACTCTGATCGAGTTGTACATCTTCTTCCGCGAGGCTGATCTGTCGAGAAGGGAGGTGAACAGACTGCTTAACATATTTCAGAACCCTAATTTCTCGCTGAGGGACGTGAGGCGGTGGCTGAATTTCGTGGACGTGAGACGATTTGTGCGCGACAAGGCGCCGCGGGATCATGTCCCATGGCAGACGAAGGACATCAAGTGCTACGGCCCCAGGGGCCGCATGTGTACGCTACTGCTGCACTACCGGGACACTGAGCTGGTGAGTGCATGGGTACGTGCATGGAAGTTGGGCGACGGCCTGATCGTTTTGGTGGTTGGGGTAAATGGGCATACCGATGACCATTCGTGGACATGCGTGTGGCAGCTGGTGAAGAAACTGCTACGCGCATTCCAGCACATCGCGGGATTTGTGACAAAGCCTCGTGCGGACGAGGAAGACACCGGGGAAGTGCGGCATTACAGCACCCCAGACACGGGGAGGTGGCTGGAAGAAGCACAGGTACGTCATCTTGGGCGTATGTGTGGAGGGTGATGGGCAGCACTGGCGCCACTGACGGTTGGGTCCAGCGTGTGTGCAGGCCGCGATTGGAAAGGAAGGGGAGGACTGCATTGTGCTGGGTGTGATTGTGTACAGTGACAGCACGCACGCCTCGAGGAATGGCAGACTTGCGGCATGGCCGGTCCTGATCAGCTTGTTAAACATCCCAGAAGCGCTCCGCTGGCAGGAGCCGGGCCACGTGCTGGCTGGTGTCCTTCCGTTTCCGCCAGAGTGGGCGTCATCTACCGAGAAGACGCGCATCTTCCAGCAGTGCATGGAGGTGATATTCGAGCCTCTACTGCGCGCGGACCGAGGGTGAGCGGGTGTGAGAGTGGAGCTATCGAGCCGTGATATGACTTACAGGAAAACAACTTCCCATGGTGCTATGTGCAGGGCGGAGTTGCGCTGGTTTTACGTGACAGACGCGATGGGCAAAGTGGTGAAGGCCTTTCCATGTCTATTCGGGCAGCTGGGGGACTTCCCGGAGTCGTCCCGGTCTACAGCGACTCTGCAGCAAGGGTCGCATCGGCCGTGCTCTTCGTGCTACATGAAGGAGACACATCTTGCAGACCTGTCGCAGAAGTCGGTGACGAGGACGGTGGAGCTGCAGAGACAGGTAGTGGAGGCAATTCAGTCTGCGTCCGACAGCAAGGCGGCGGAGAAAATCAAGAAACGGTGGTCAACACACCCTGTGCAGGTGAGGACTACAAGTGCATTTCGTTGCGCGAGCTAACCCACTGGAAAGTGCACACGGGGGGTGACGCACAGCCCGGTGACATGCGTATCGTCTGTGCGTGTGGCAGTGCTACCTGGAAAGATGGAACTTTGCCGAGACCACGTGGGGAAACGTGTTTCTCGCATGCGCGGCAGACCTTCTACACGTCCTGGACGGGGGGATGCTCCCGCGCATGGGCAAGTGCTTCATGGCTGGGAAGAGCAAGCCGGAGAGGCGCGAGTTTGAGAGGTGGGTAAGCATGTGAATGGTGACACCGTTGTTGGCCTGGCGAGTGCGTTGCTGACACTCTTTCCCAACCATGGCAGGCGGCGCAAGGAACAGAAGAAGGACACGCGCGCAAGCGTAGTGCGCATCCAGGGCGCGACCACGTGGTTCAGCACAGGGGCGAACTATGCCGCCTTCGAGCACAGAGGAATGATGCAGGTGATGCCCCTGCTTATCGCTGACAACATGGAGAAGAGCAAGCAGCCGGAGAAGGCGAAGCGGGAGCGGGAGGTGGCGGCGTTTGTGGCGTACGCCAGCTTCTACAAGGCGCTGGTGGGCGTGACGAAGCATACCGAGAAGTCTCTGGACGACGTCCGTGAGATGGCTGTGCAGTACGTACGTGCCGATCGTTCGTGTTTGATGTGTTGTGCATCGACTGTGCCGTACAGCCTAAGCCTGACTTTTGTGCGCACACGCAGGATGGTGGCGGCCATCAAGGCCGCATTCCCAGACCAGACGTCGGACTGGAACATCCCTAAGGTGCACCAGATCGTGCACCTGATCGACGGCATCCCACTGCGTGGGATGCCGAACGAGACATCCACCAACCTGTGGGAGCACACGCACAAGGGCACTGTGAAGGTGCCGGTCCGTGGCAGCAACTGGCACGACATCCCGCGCCGAATTGTCGAGGAGGAGGTGCAGCGCGAGATAGCACGGGAGGTGGCGGCGGAAGCGGGTGGAAACAGGCAGTACGTGACGGCGATGCGCGAGGTAAGAGTACAGGGTTGTGTACAAGGTTCCCGATGTATCATATAAGGGAGAGTGCCATCGGACCCCATATTCTCACACGTGGCGTGCATGTGGTTGAGTGCACACAGGCCGTGCGACGCCTGAAGCCAGTCCTGACGAAGACGTCGAGGAGCGCGCACGTGGACGAAGACCTGGACGCGGTGATGTGGGCGTATCGCGAAGCTCATGGGTCAGACATCGACGCACTCGCCGGGTGCATGGTGGCGGCAGGCATTCCCACCACCACGATCCAGGTGGGGAATGTCTTTGGAGAAGGTGGCTGGATGATGGTTAATGCATACCGGTGATAGCAGATGTGCAGACTGGGCCACCGCATTGTGTCACCCTCACCCCGCGCCCACTATGCTCCGTCTATGTTGCCCGGAGTATGCAGGTGCACACAGCCGTGGCGATCCCCCGAACGCGGGGGGGGGGAGCTTGTGCCCAAGGGCACATTTGTGAAGGCCAGCCCCTCCGAGCGGTGGTTTTCAGACATCGCAGTGTACCGGTCTGAGAAGGAGGAGTGGTATGCCAGGTGCCTCTGCATCTTCCGCGCAGAGGGGGCAGACGGGGAGATGGGGCGACACGTGTACGTTAAGTACTACGAGGAGGAGGGGACGTGCCCGATGACGACATGCCTGCAGCTGTCTCCCGGCCGTGTGAGAACAAGATACGCGGTGGTTCCAGTGGAGTGCATCCAGAGGGTGGTGCACGTGTGCAAGTCATATGTCAACAAGCGGGTTATGCTCCTGAACAAGTTCCTGCTAACGGAGTGAGGATGGTGGGTTGTTATTGCCGTGACATGTGGGGCAAGTGAGGCCATCTGCGCTGATGTGGACGCAATTGACGCTAATTCAGTAGACACATGTGGTGGCCTCTTAAATGTTTTTTTGTAAGATGACCATATGCGTCGTTTGGTTGGGTTGACGTTGAGTCAAGTCTGGATGAATTAGCGGTGTACACTCTGGTGTAGATGTTGGCGCGTTGCTTGAAACGATAACTGTGTTTAGGGAGTGCCTCTGGTGTAGAGCGGGAATGACGGAGATGCCTTCGCATTGTATGATGACGCGCGGGATCCAAATGTGCGATTCGAGGGCTGGTGCGCCTCGTGTTGGAAAAATGTGCGCCGCGATTTTCCCGGGCCCGTTTCGAGCCAGAGGGGGGGAGCCCTACAGTGACATTTGCGTCACAGGTGTTTTGGGACGTTTTGTGTATTCGGTGGTACTTTTTGTAAGCTTTTCGATAGAAAAGCCCACTCACAGGAAAATTGTGCTGCTAACTTTTCCGCGATGGGACTAGGACTCCTAGGAGGAGAAAGTGTACGAGAGTCGGGAATTTAGAGTCGAGAGCCGGGAGTCGGGTGGAGGGACTCGGGAGGACCCTTGAGGAGCGGCGCTCAGAATGAATGCCCAAGCGCGGCAGATCGCGACGCGACTGGTTTTTCTGAATCTGTGGACCTAGGAAGCGCCGTGGCTGCGGCAAAGGTTTCTGGCCGTGTATTTCTTCCGCGGCTTGGGAAGACGAGATCATGATGACGCAAGGTCCAAAGTTTCGACATTTCCCTTTCCCGGGCGACAGCAGCGTTCAAGAGATTCTTGGACCTTTGCGTTCAGTACAGCCGTCTCGTCCAGCAGCGTTCAGACGGAGGGAGAGACGAGATTCGGTAGGGCCGTCTCGCTGCTCGTAAGGCGTGACTAGCGGAACAAGAGCAGCCCGCGCAACCGGGCGCTATGCGCGCAACCCCGCGCAATGCGCGCGACCCCGCGCAATGCCCGCGATGCGCGCATCTCGCGCCACCCTTGAAGTCCATCAAGGACTGTACGGAAGGACTGGCGCCAATTGCAAGTGCTTCTTGGTTGGTGGTGATTGGTGAAGTTCAGAAAGGTTATCACCATTTTCCACTATGCTTCTCGATTGGTGGAAAATTGCGCAACCAGCCCCACCCATTTTTCCGCTAGGTTTCTTGGCTGTGGCTTGAGTTGCAAGCGCATCCGCAACCACGTGTTGGCGAGGTGCATTTCTGCGCGGCCGACGTGGTGTGGATCATGTTAGCTAGCAAACCACGGGGCGCCGAGATTTGGTTTCCCCTATTGTTGAATCGCTCGCAACGCGGAGAAGTGTACTGTATGAGCGGCGCAGTGAACGGAGCGCGTTTCATGGCAAAAATATGAGGCACCAACCAGCTCGCGACACGCAAGTACGCTGCACTTTATTGCGCCCATCTGGCAAGCGAGCCCTTATCGCACGGCTTCAAGAAGTGTCGGATGTCGGAGGAAGGGTGGGTGGTGCGAGGTCGGCATAAGGAAACAAAACAGCGCTGTGGGTGTAGGGTGGGCGCTGATTTGACACGGTTGCCCAGCGCCCACTGTATTGCGTGTACAGAGTGCTTCGGTTGCGATGTACGCATTGACTTTCGAAGTTATTTTTTTATTCCCCTTCTGAAACGTGCTACTGACTGACAAGCATTTCTTCTCCCTACACCTTTATCTAATGCTTATCTTATCTATCATCCCAGCCCTGCCCCTTGCCACTGGTCAGGTCTCAGGTTACACCTATTTGGTGTACCTGACTGCACGGTTAGCTACTTATTAAGCAGGATGGCGAACAGAGGCATCATGTCGTTGTCCTCGTGGTCCTTGGACCTAGATGTGGCAGTGAATCATGCACCCAACTACAGCACCATCACAGCAACCCACCACGTGCCATGGCTAGCTAGTTACTTGGCTGTCAAAATAGTGAAAGGCCGCATCATGTCATTGTCCTCGTGATCCAAGATGTGGCAGTGAATCATGTACCCCGGCCCCTCAGAGGGATCAAAGCTTAGCTCCTTCCCCATCCACGGGGAAAAATCCACCACCAGCGCAGTCACATACCCCGGAGGAGCCCTTGTAGTGTCCTTCAATCCCCTCTCGTTCTTCCTGGGTGAAACAGCTGGGCCAGTGTAACAGCTCCCATCATGAATCCTGCATTTCTTCTCCCTGTAGTGCTCTTTGTTAAACGGGCGGCGGAAGAGGATTCGGTGTGGGGAGAAGTGGATATGGATGGGGTGAGAGTCTTCTGTGAGGTTGATGAGGTACCATAGTTCCCGGGTGCCGTATCTCGGCGTTATATCGATTTTCTCGTTGAAGTGCTTCCTGTCGATCATTCCCATTAAAGGATTGCCGCTCTCCTTGTCTTCCATTTCTGAAAGCGTGATTTCCCTTGTCGCGGCGATGTTTCCGAGGTTGAGAGGCGGGATAGAGTTAAGCATTCCCGGCACTGTAGAGGGGTCTGCAACCGGGTCGCCCTCCACGTTGAACTGCATGACGTACTGTAGATCCCCCATGGGTAAATCACCCCCGGGATAAGGCGCAGGAGCACGGTTTTTCAGCCGAATTGTCACCCCTGTAGGCAGGTGAGTGAAATCTACAATGATGCACGCGCGTTCCCCAGGCCCAAGGGTAATTCTTCGGAGAAACACGGGGTGGTTGAGATAACCGGACTCAGATGCAATCTGGAGGAAGGGAAAGGTGATGGTCCTGGAACTGTTGGCGGCGCTGTTGGTGTTGGTGGTGGTGGTGCTGCCATCGGAACCAGGGGGGGAGGCCCGGAGGGCGAGTTCTAGGAAACGCGCATTGCAGCCGTTGATGAGGCGAAAACGGTACTTGCGACGCTGCACTGCCATGTAGGGAGTCACCTGGGGGGAGGGAGTGGGTGATGGGAAAAGGGAATGGGGAATATACTGATGTGGACCTTGGGATAAGCGCAAGCAGCCGTTGATGAGGCGGAAACGGTACTTGTGACACTGCACTGCCATGTAGGGGGTCACCTGGGGGGGGGGATGGGAGAGATAGAAAAAACGGGGGCCTGACTGCTGTGAGCGTGCGACATGGGGCAAGGGAGCGGTACTTGTGACACTGCACTGCCATGTAGGGAGTCACCTGGGGGGAAGGGAGGAGGTGGGTGAGGGGGAGAAGGAGGGGGGGGGGCGGAAGTGTTAGGTTGGGGACAGGGATTAGGGTATTATTGGTGTCAGTGTTGGGACTTTGTTCGGTGTAAGTGTGTTTGAGGGTTGTGAGAGGGAATGGTTGAGGAGTATGTGAACTGATAGCAGCCATACCATCATAGAAAGGAAGCCACCAGCAATGCCACCATATCTGTCATACCAGCTATAGCAACCATAGCCTGAAAACATTATTGACACAGCCATTGTTGCAACCATAGAACACATACCTTTCCATTAACGGTCATGAAATTCCCGAAGTACTCGGGTACCCACTCAGGATGCGATTTCGTCACACCCTTCCCCTCCATGAACGTGTGCCCGTTCCACAGAAAAGATTTATCCTGGATCAGCAGCGGCACGTCGAACCTGCCCATGGGCAGGTTAAACCTTTTCTCTGCCTGTGGATTGGACAGAATGTACGCGCCGAAAAGCCCTGCAGCAATGTTGAGCCGCGTCATTCCCAAGGTGTGGTCGTGGTACCACATGGTGCTGGGCGGCTGCACGTTGGGATAATGGTAATGGTTGGATTCGAACTCGGGACCTTCCTCTTCCTCGCGCGTGAACCAAGCCTCAGGGTGGCCGTCGTAGGAGCTCGAGACCTGCGCACCATGCAGATGGACAGCTGCAGCCCGCGGGAAGGGGACGGGGGAGCGGGGTGGCGGGAGGGGGAAGGGAAGGGGAAAACGAACCTGAATTTCTGAAACGTTATCGTAACACTACACCGCAATATTGGGAACATCTATAACATTCCGGAGGCGAAATTTTAAACAAGGAAAGGACGCGGGTAATAGGAAAAAGCGCACGTACTGATTGGAACGCCCCCCTTCCTGAGCTTGGGAGCCATAAGCGTGTAATCGACGGGCATGATATGTTGCTCGTCCGTGATGTTGTTTTGCCACGTCACGTGCAGCGGCGCTCCGACGCGCGCCACGATCGTCGGCCCCGGCACGCTGGCGCTCTTGCGCGTGAGCCCGAACGCGTACACGCGGGTAGGGGGCAGATCGCGGTGGAATTTCTGCGATAAGAGAGGACGCGTTACACAGTTAAGATGAGGCTTTGGAAAAATAAGGCCAAGATGGCGGAGACTTTATAAACCGGAAGCACAATTGTAACTGTCCCAGTAATGCTCACCCGTTTCACGCTAAACGCAGTGATGGTGAGAGCAGCGGCTCGGCTGAAGTCTTTTGGAAGCCGGTCCGCATTGACGACCGGCGGAACGGGCAGCGGATCCACTAACTTTCGAAGCTTCTTCCGCAACACGCGCTTTTTGCTAATCGACACGTCCCGCGACGCTAATGTGCCGTGCGAATCCATTCCTTGATTATACCCGCCGTCGTGCCCGCCGTGATCGGCGGCGTCCATGGCGCGCGCGGAAACGGGCGGAGAGAAAAGGAGCAGCGCGAGAAGCGCCGAGGCGGAAAGAATCCGCCAGCGCGGGGTCTGAGAAGCGCCCATCCGCCGGTGTAGGCTCTGGGAAGCCATGAGCGAAAGCGCTTGCAGACTACTGCGCGTCAAAATTCGTGGCGTTTCCACAAGGAAAGGCTCGAAAAGAAAAGTATCGCAGGTGGTGAGACCACGAGGAGCAAGTGAGCGATATAGATACGCTACACAACGTGCTATGTACTGATGAAGACACTGGAGACGAGAGTTGAGAACGGCGAAAGTCCGGAGTCGAGATTCTGGACGGACAGTGCTTAGAACGAAGACCCGAGCGCGAGAGTCGAGAACCGAGAATCGGGAGTCACTCCGAAGCGACGCGAATGCGGCAAGTTTTCTCGTTCTGCCTCCGCGGTATCGGAAGTGAAGCGAGAGCTGCGCGAGTTGACGCAAGGTCCAAGGCTGAAGCGACAGCGGTAGCGTTCCAGATACGATTCAGTACAGCCGCCCTCGCTGCGCGCAAGGCGCAAACAGAGCAACCCGCGGAGCCGGCGCAATGCGCGCAACCCCGCGCCACACTTGAAGTCCATCGAGACTGTCTACTGGAAGGGCTGCCGCCAAAGGCAAGGGCGCCTAGGCGGTGAAATTCACAAAAGCTTATCACCATTTTCCACTGTGCTTCCCCATTGCACTACATTTTCCATACCGGGCTGTCTTGTCGCGTGAGTTGCAATGCAAACGCACCCGTAATACTTGATGGCGCACGTGTAGCGGGGTAGGGGGGCGCGGGGACATTGGTTTTCTTGATCCATACGAAATTGGTTTCCCTGCTGATGGCACTCGTGTACTGTATCGCAACGGGGACGAGTACAGTACACAAACACTGTACAGAGAGCGGCGCAGTGAACGGAGCGCGTTCCCTGCCAGCAATATGAGGCACCAACCAACTTGCGACACGCAAGTACGCTGCTCATGTGCCCTCCGTTTCATCCCAGGCCTAAAAGACGAGACAACGATATGATCATGTGCTAGATTGTGACTCGCTATTGTGTGACTTCCGAGAGGATTATAGATGCCTGGTTGAGGTGATTTACATCTGGATTCAGCCTCAGGTGCAATGGGAATGGGTGTATGAGGTGTTATGGTTGTTGATGCATATTAAATAAGTATTTACTGGCTACATCAATGAATGTATGCTGGTTTTCTGATTAGCAGGTAGACATTTAGGGCTGCAGCAAAGGGTTTCTACTACTCCTAGCTTCATATGGTAAAGTCAGCAAAGGGTACCATATAAAAAATATTGCTATAATAATGTACGGTAACAACAATATGGTTTACTCCTATTTCAGTGTCATGCTTCTGACAGGTACCCCTCCCACTTCCTAAAACTCTACCTACATGCTTGCTTGTCAAATACACCAACCACCCCCCCCCCCCCCTCGTGTCCTCCCCTTACTATTACCGCCTCTACCGTAACTCCCACCACATTATCTAGTTATCCCCATCCCCTCCCCTCCCCTGAATATCATCAGGTTACTCCTACTTGGCAGGCAGGATCTTGAAAGGACGCATCATGTCATTATCCTCGTGGTCCAGGATGTGACAATGAATCATGTACCCCGGACCCTTGGTGGGATCGAAACTCAGCTTCTTCCCCATCCACGGCGAAAAATCCACCACCAGCGCAGTCACATACCCTGGGGGAGCCCTTGTAGTGTCCTTCAATCCCCTCTCATTCTTCCTGGGTGAATCTGCCGGACCAGTGTAACAGGTCCCTGCGGCAATGCTGCATTTCCTGTCCTCATAGTGTTCCTTGTTGAACGGGCGGCGGAAGAGGATTCGGTGGGGGGAGAAGTGGATATGGATGGGGTGTGAGTCTTCTGTGAGGTTGATGAGGTACCAGAGTTCGCGGGTGCCATATGTCGGTCTTATGTCGACTCGCTCGTGGTAGTGCTTCTTTTCGATGAGCCCCATCAAAGGGTTTCCACTCTCCCTGTCTTCCATTTCTGAAAGCGTGATTTCCCTTGTCGCGGCGATGTTTCCGAGGTTGAGAAGCGGGATAGAGTTAAGCGCTGCTGGCACTGTAGAGGGGTCTGCAACCGGGTCACCCTCCACGTTGAACTGCATGACGTACTGTAGATCCCCCGTGGGTAAATCACCCCCAGGATACGGTGCAGGAGCGCGGTTTTTCAAGCGGATTGTCACCCCTGCAGGAAGCTGGCTGAAATCCACAATGACCTCTGCGCGTTCCCCCGGAGCGAGGGTGATTCTGCGGAGGAACACGGGATGGTTGAGATAGCCCGCTTCTGAGGCGATCTGGAGGAAGGGAAAGGTGACGCTGCTGGTGCTGTTGGCGGTACTGCTGGGATTGTTGGAAACGGAGGGCGAGGCACGGAGCGAGAGGTCGAGGAATCGAGCGTTGCAGCCGTTGATGAGACGGAAGCGGTACTTGCGACGCTGCACTGCCATGTAAGGGGTCACCTGGGGGAAGGGGAGGAGCAGCAGAAAGGGTTGGGATTGGGACACACAGAATCTCTGAGTGTGTTGGGACATTGTAAGGTGTAACTGTGAGGGTTGTGAGAGGGAGCGGTTGAGTGCGGGGGAGTGAGTGCAAGTAGGAGCATGGCAACCCATGTCAGCCATACTACCATAGCATACATGCTACCAGCAATACTACCATGGCATGGCAATACACAGCAGTGATAGTAGCCGCAGAGCCATCACAACCAAAGCAGCTCTACAGCAGCTCTAGGTAGGAACCATGGCCTACAATTACGGCGGGCTATTGCTGATACTGTACCCAACCCCCATGGAGCAACCACGGAAAACGTACCTTTCCATTTACAGTCATGAAATTTCCGAAATACTCAGGTACCCATTCAGGATGCGATTTCGTCACGCCCTTCCCCTCCATAAACGTGTGCCCGTTCCACAGAAACGACCTATCCTGGATCAGCAGCGGCACGTCAAACCTGCCCACGGGCAGGTTAAACTTTCTCTCCGTCTGCGGATTGGACAGAATGTACGCGCCAAAAAGTCCTGCAATAATGTTGAGCCGCGTCATTCCCAGGGTGTGGTCGTGGTACCAAAGGGTGCTGGGCGGCTGCATGTTGGGATAATGGTAATGGTTGGATTCGAACTCGGGACCTTTCTCTTCCCAACGCGTGTACCAGGCCTCAGGGTGGCCGTCGTAGGAACTGGAGACCTGTGCGCCGTGCAAGTGAACAGCTGTAGCCAGTGAGGGTAAAAGAGGGGAGTGGGGGGAGGAGAGAAGGTGGGGGGATCTGAATAACCGAAATAAACATAGCAACGCTACACCGCAATGCTGATAACACTAACTACTTTTTGGAACCTTCGTGTAAGACAAGCATCCGAGGAAGGCATGAGAGTACAGTAATCAGAGACATCGCACGTACTGATAGGAACGCCCCCCTTCTTGAGCTTGGGAGCCATGAGCGTGTAATCGACGGGCATGATATGCTGCTGATCTGTGATGTTGTTCTGCCACGTCACATGCAGCGGCGCTCCGACGTGCGCCACGATCGTCGGCCCGGGCACGCTGGCGCTCTTGCGCGTGAGCCCGAACGCGTACACGCGGGTTGGGGGCAGGTCGCGGTGGAATTTCTGCGATAAGAGGAGACGCGTTACTCAGCTTAGATGACAAATGGGAAAATAAGGCTAAGATGGTTGAGAAATTATAAACCGGATGCAAAAATGTAACTGTCCCACTAATGAATGGCTCACCCGCTTCACGCTAAACGCAGTGATGGTGAGAGCAGCGGCTCGGCTGAAGTCTTTTGGAAGCCGGTCCGCATTGACGACCAGTGGAACGGGCAGCGGATCCACAAATTTTCTAAGCTTCTTCCGCAACACGCGCTTCTTGCTAATCGACACGTCCCGCGACGTCACTTTGCCTTGCGACGGCATGTCGTGATCCCCGCCCTCATCCCCGCCGTGATCTTCGCCGCCCATGGCGCGCGCAGGAACGGGCGGCGCGAAGAGGAGCAGCACGAGAAGTGTCGACGCGACGAGAACCCGCCAGTGCGGTACCCGAGACGCCATGAGCGGAAATAATCTACAGACTACTGCGCGTCAGGATCCGTGGCGTTTCCGCCAGGAAGGCTCGAGAGGGAAAGTTGCAGGTGGTGAGACCACGAGGAGCAAGTGAGCGATATATATACGCTACACAACGTGCTATGTACTGGTAGAGACACCGGAGACGAGAGTCGAGATTTCGGACGAACAGTGCTCGGAACGAAGGCCCAAGAGCGGGAGATGGCGAGGATTTCTGGATCCGTAAACCCAAGGAAGCGCCGCGATTCTCGTTCCGCGGCATGGGAAGTGAAGTGAGGAGGATGCGCGGAGGGAGAGACGAGATGACGCGGGGTCCAGGGCTGAAGCGACAGCAGCGTTCAAGATACGATACAGTTGACCTCGCTGAGCGTAAGGCGCAACCAGCGCAATGCGCGCAATGCGCGCAACCCGCGCCACCCTTGAAGCCCATCGGAGAAATTTTGAAGGGCTGCCGCCAAGGGCGAGGGCCCCTTGATGGTGAGATTTGCAAAAGATCGTCGTGCTTCCTGATTGGCTGGGAAAAGCGCAACCAGCCCCACGATTTTCCACTGTGCTTTCCATGGGGCGCAACGCAGCCGGAACTGTGTTGGCGGCGGGACAGGCGCATATTTGCTTACCGCACGTGATGTTCCGCTGATGGTAGTGGAGGATGAGGGCGCAAAGACATTGGTTCCCTGATTGAGAGGAAATTTGTTCTGCTGATTGCACTCGTATCGCACGCGGAGAAGTAAAGAGCGGCGCAGTGAACGGAGCGCGTTCCGTGGCAGCAATATGAGGGAACATGGCACCAACCAACTTGCGACACGCTACGCAGCTCGTTATTACTACGGCCCATATGGCAAGCGAGCCCTTATCGGACGACTGTAAAAGGTGTCGTATGTCGGAGGGTAGGTCGGCATAGGGAAACAAACTGTGCGTGTAGCAAGGGTGCTGATTTGGCACTGTTGCTCACTTTGATGTGTGTATAGAGTGCTTCGATTGCGTTGAATGCACGTGGGTGATGCTCCCTGGACACACACTTGTTGGATTTGCGATAAGGGCCGCTGTGATTGCAATGTGAAATGCGCTGCTGTACGGTGAGATGGGTTTTCACAGATTGCCAGTCGGTCTCAGGAGGTTTCGCCAATCAGTCAGCCTTATCCACAACAAAATGCGGAATATTGCTGTAGAATAACGCGATTTTACACAGCAAAGTTGCAGTTGGTCTTGTGGTTTAATCGCGTGCTCCTTTATCAAGGACGATCTCTAAAGCAACGTGGCGGCTAGCAATGCGTGTGTCACGGTGTTCAAGAACGCAAGCAGCATTTCAAGCCACGTTGGTGCCCGGAGCCCTCCGTCGCAACTTCGCGGGCCTTCTTTTACCCCCTTTTGGCGACGAAAGGGGTGTGTCGTCAATTCGTCAACTACGATGGTCCATCTCGCAACAAGCACGGTCCACTCGTTATCCACACACAAGCTACTGCCACGTCGTCAAACCATCGTCAACCAAAGGAATCACTCCAGCTGGCATTGAATTTGTGTCGGTACGTGCCAGGTAGTCTCACGAAGGTTTCCTGAAGCTGACTCAGCAATGCAACCACCTTGGGAACATGTGGGTACACATCCATCCAGACAGCCACGCCTGCCTGCGCAGTAAAAAATTCAATTTCGGCAATTACATTTGGAATTGTGTCCGCATTCCAGCAACTAATCTCCGCATTTTCCTCTGCCACTGTTGGTTCGATCCCGCGCCTGTCATGGCTCTCTCCTCCGTCGCTGCCACGTCAGCTAAGGCGACCGTCGCGCCGAGGCTGACTGCCGCCGTCAGCCAGGACAATGCTCTCAGCGCCGCTGGACTCGTGCCGCTCAAGCAGCGCAATCTGAGGGTAAGAAATAACGCTCGGTCCTGAACGTGTTGACGCTGAACGAAATTGAGTGCCGAACATAAGTTGCGAGTCAGCCGAATGTTCGCTAGTCATACCATTTCTGTAATGTCCTGTGCTGCGATGTCGCTTGTCGCAGACGGGATTCCTCGGCGAGGCCGTTCGACAGCAGGCTCAGGCGGCTAGCCGGCCAGTCCTGGCCGGCAAGTCAGCCGGCCGGCCGGCGACGGTGACGGCGCGCACGTCGGGGTCGCAGTACGAGGTGGAGGTGGACAAGCCGCTCGGCCTCACGCTCGGCGACAAGCCCGGCGGCGGCGTGCAGATTTCGGTAAGCCTTTGATTCCCACGTCTGTCCGCTCGGCCTCACGCTCGGCGACAAGCCCGGCGGCGGCGTGCAGATTTCGGTAAGCCTTTGATTCCCACGTCTGTCCGCTCGGCCTCACGCTCGGCGACAAGCCCGGCGGCGGCGTGCAGATTTCGGTAAGCCTTTGATTCCCACGTCTGTCCGCTCGGCCTCACGCTCGGCGACAAGCCCGGCGGCGGCGTGCAGATTTCGGTAAGCCTTTGATTCCCACGTCTGTCCGCTCGGCCTCACGCTCGGCGACAAGCCCGGCGGCGGCGTGCAGATCTCGATGAGCCGCGTCGCTCCTCCTCCCTCCCACCTCTTCCCCTCCGCACCCTCTTCTCCTCCCGCCCTCCCTTTCCCCCCCGGTTACTCTCCTTTCCAATCTAAAAAAAAACCGCATCCGCTTTTCGCAACGTCACCTCCTCTCCCACTCCTTTTCCCTACCTAGGGTGTGGCACCGGGAAGCAACGCGGCGAAGGCGGGCATTAAGGTGGGCGACCAAGTCGTGTACACGAGCAGCTTCTTCGGCGACGAGCCTCACCCTTCCCCCCTCTTCCTCCCCCACGCACCCGTTGATTTCCAGGGTGTCGCCCCCGGAAGCAACGCGGCGAAGGCGGGCATCAAGGTGGGCGACCAGGTGGTCTATACGAGCAGCTTCTTTGGCGACGAGCTCTGGCCGTCCGACAACCTCGGCTTCACGCGCACGGCCGTGAACGCCAAGCCCGACTCCGTCTACTTCGTGCTCGCCAGGTGCGTGCGAAGTTCGCCAGGCCTGTGCGAAACTGGATGTGCGAAACTGGACGCTCCCCCTGCTCTTTCCCCTTTTTCCCCTTCCTATGTTTCCTCCTACTTCCCCCTCCCCCCTCCCTTCCTCCCCCCAGGGGCGGCTATGTGGACGTGAAGCGCCTGCCCAAGAGGCCCGCGCCTTTTTCACGGCCCCCTCACGCCTTCCATTCCCCCCCACCTCCCCCCTCGCCTTCTCCCCCCTTCTCCCCCGCTCCTTCCCCCCTCCTCCCCCAGGGGCGGCTATGTGGACGTGAAGCGCCTGCCTAAGAGACCCGCGCCTTCCCGGTTCGGACGCAAGCTGACCGAGGCCCAGAAGGTGAGCGTGTGAGGATTGATTCAAGTGTGTGCGTGGAGTGTGAGGGTGTGGGAGTGGGAATAGATGGGGGAACCGTGGGATGGGGTGGAAAAGGCGTGGGGGGGATAGGGTGGGCGCGTCTGGGGCGGGGGGATGGAGTGGAACTGGGAGCGCAGGGAGAAAGGGGGAAGATATGGGAGGAAAGGGTGGAAGCTTTGAAGGTAGGGCAAGAGAACGTGAGGATGGGAAGAATTAGGGAGGACAAGGGAGAATAGGCACGGAAACAATTTTTTTGGGCACTTGATTGAAAGATCAAGATAAGAAACAGGGAAATGGGAGGGATGGGAAGTGATTGCTGCGTGACGTTTTTTTGGATTGTGAATAGGGAAGGATTTTTTCGTTCCTTCCTTCCCCTTTTCACTTCACCATCCTATGCTACTGTGACACTCTTCCCCTCTCCCTCGGTTCCCACTCTTTCCTTCTCAGGCTCGGGCCACGCACATCTGTCTGGACTGTGGCTTCATCTACACTCTGAACAAGCCCTTTGAGGATCAGGTGTGTGAACACAGATCAGCGAAAAATACACGCTGCTCTTCACATTAGTTCATTTACATGCCGGAGAGACTGCTGAGGCTTAGATTTCTCTGCTGACCAGGTGACTTTTGAGTCGACTCAAAAGTCACACGCTGGAAAGACAGCCGAGGCTCAGAATTCTCTGCTGCCCAGGTGACTGCGCACCTAATGTTGAATATTGCAACTGTTCATATCATGCCAACCCTAACAAGTGATCACTTTTCATGTTACTTCCATATTTCCTCCCCTGTCCGTCTGTGCAGCCCGACTCCTACGAGTGTCCGCAGTGCTCAGCACCCAAGAAGCTTTTCTTGAGAGAGCCCTTCTTAGCCCCGCAACCTCGAGAGTGACCGGGACCTTGGGGGACAACTCCTCATGTCCACCTGTCCATGCCCATTGCTCACCACTCTTTGCATTCCTGTTCCTTTCCATACCGCATCTCCCTCCCTGGCCCCTTTCTGCAACCCGACTCCTACGAGTGTCCACAGTGCTCAGCACCCAAGAAGCGCTTTGCTCGCTACGACCCTGTGAACGACCGGGCCAATGGCAGTTGCAGCACCCCCATCCTCTCCCTCATCTTCCCTTCCGCTTCTTCTCCCCTTGCCACTCCCCCTTCCCCTCTGCAGCCTGACTCCTACGAGTGCCCGCAGTGCTCAGCACCCAAGAAGCGCTTTGCTCGCTACGACCCGGTGAATGACCGGGCTATCGGTGGGGGCAGCACTCCTATCCTCTCCCTCATCTCCATTGTTGTTGGCGTTGCCGCCATCGCTGCTGCTGCCTACTACGGCTTCCAATGAGATAATATGGAAAATTCTGGATTGCTAATAAGGTGGATGGAGTTTGGTAAAGTACGAACTCTAAAAATGTTAAAACCCTTGCAGTAAATACTGTTCATTATACCATTGGTCTTCCATTACTGGCAGTGCAACCGGCAAATGCAAAAATGCAATTTCAAATCTTGCATTATCACAACCCTTCCATCACTGGGACATTCTGAAAATTGCACATTCTTTCACTGAAGTGCAAAAAGGTTCACTTCTACAATTTTGCACATGGCTCAATCTTACCATAAAATTGTAGTTGGCAACTTATAGCCAGGAGAAAGAAACTGTACAAGGGGTGATGTTATCTCGCTATAACTGCACCAGTCATCTCAAGTCATGGGATGGGGCTCCATCTTGCACCTCTGCCACGGTCTGCAGCAGAAGGGTGAGAAAGAATGAGAGAGAGAGAGAGAGAGAGAGAGAGAGAGAGAGAGAGAGAGAGAGAGAGAGAGAGAGAGAGAGAGAGAGAGAGAGAGAGAGAGAAGAGAGAGAGAGAGAGAGAGAGAGAGAGAGAGTGAGAGAGAGAGAGAGAGAGAGAGATAGCACTGGTGACTTAGCCTCTTTCCCTTTCCTCCTCTAGCCTCTTTCCCTCCCCGCCTATATAATGGCCTCTTGGCCAGAGATCTAGTTCATTATTCGGCTGGTTCTTTCACGGTTTTTCCGGCGCTCGCGGCGCGGCCTTCGGCCGCGCGTTTAGGGACGACAAGCGCTCAACAAAGAAGACACTCAACATGACAACAAGCACAACCGTGACATCAATGGGCATCTAGACATCACTACATGGAGCGAGTCTACACACGGAGAAGGGGAGCGCCTACATGCGGTCCGCCTCAAGCTCACCTAGCGTTTTGCGCGCGGCCAGCCACATCAAGCGGACCACTGACGCGGTGGCGCCGACAACGTCAACAGGAGTTCCGCGATCTCCTACAATCGTCTTCAGATCCAAGGCCCTCTCAGCCAGCAGGGTGGCCGAGACTACTCCCGGGGAGGGCGCTACCTGTAGTGGCGTTACGTACGCAAATAGTGTTGACGCCGCCGCGTGACACCTTGCTCGCGGAAGCTCAGAGAACGTGCTCGGTGGGGTCAACGACATGGAGCCGTGCGAGTCCAGGAGAATCTGCTCGAGGCTCTGTAAGCTCTCCGCAAGCGACCACAAGTGCGCCAGGGTCGCCGTGGGCACTTCCTTCATCAGGGGCGCCATCGCAGTTGCACGAGCTCGGCGCGAAGACACCGCCAAATCCCGAGGCGGAGGCGCAGGGCGTGGCGGAACGAACGGTGCCCACGGGTCCCCGCCACCAGCACCCACGAAGCCAGCCCCAGGAGGCAGCGGACGCCCAGGACGCACAAGTGACCCCTCGGGGTCATGCGGCAGGAGAGCAGCGAGGGGAACAGCAGGGGCAGGAGGACGCGCGGGACGAGACGACGATTCCGCCTTCGTACGATGGATGGCTTCCTCCACGCCGTCCAGCCGCTGGAGAACGCGCTCCATCGCGGACGGGGCCCGCGGCGCCGCTCCGCCACGGCCATAGCCTCCACGGCGCCCACTCGCATTCGACCGCACGGGCGATTGCGGGCGGGATTGCAAGCGCTGGCGGCTGCGCCCAGGGGATCGACCCCCGCGACGAGGAGAGTGCAGCCGCTGGCGCTTTGACGGCCGCGATGAATGCGCCACGGGAGATTGGTGACGAGAGGCGGGACGATGAGGTGATCGTTGCCGGATCGAACGGCGAGCGGGAGACCGGTGGCGGCGCGTCCGGCGATCTCGGGACCGGCTGCGCGATACCTTGGGTCGAGGCGAACGAGGCGAGCGAGGCGAACGCGGCGGGCGAGGTGAATGCGGCGAACGCGGCGGACAGGGCGACGGAGATTTTTCACGGCGTTCATTGCGGGGGTTCGCCCGCCCTTCCTCGCGCGTCACTGACGAGCGGCGCCGAGGCGAACGCCCCCGGTGCGCCGCAGCCTCCGCGTCGGAGCGCGCGACGTGTCCCTCGAGCGCCCGCTCTTTGCGGGATCGGAAACGCGGCAGTTCGCGCCGATGCTCCTCGAAACGGCGGCGGATCTGGTCATCCGCACCCATCGGAGCGACGGGGACGCTCGCAGCAGGTCGCACAGGAGGATGCGGGCGGGGAGCAGGCTCGCTCTCCGCGGTACAATCGCGGCCGGGGGCAGCAGTCGTCTCCATCAAGGCGAGGGGAGGATTCCGCGCCAAACGCGGACAGGGGGCGACCGGGGGCGATTCCTGCTGGACGCGGGGGAAGAACAGCGGGCAGCGGAGGGCGAGCGCGCGGAGGCGGGCCAGAGAACGCCTACCAGAAGGCGGGAAGGCGGGCTTTAATGAATGGGGATACTGAAAGCAGTACTTCGGACAGCAGCTTTGTACCTGCGGAATCGACGGACTCAACTTCGAGTTCAGAGTCCGTGGATGAGACACACCACCAGACTCCAGTTCGAGCAGGAAGAGCTACACCATCCCACACTGGGGGAGGTGGCACGGCTCCGCGGTCCATAGGGAGGAGGGGGCCCCCAACACCAACCCGCGCCGCGACGGGCATTATTGCTACACCACCGCCCCCAACCACAATTTCCAACTTTCCAACCCCGCCACGAACCGCCCCACACTCTGCCACTGGTGGAAACCACACTTTACCCCAACCCCCTGAGGAAAGATCCCCAGAATCTCTCGCCAGGGATGACGCCCTCTTCGCCAGCGTGACCACATGGGATTTAGCGAAACTGCGCGACTCTCGCCACGCTCCTCTCTCCCGCCACCTCCCTTCAGACCTACGCAGGCTCTTCGCCACAGCACTGCTGGTACCTCTCCTGCTATTGGCTGAAAATCCAGACTCTTCTTCTGCGTGGACGGTGCTGCTGTTCGTCACACGTTTGACTCTCCGCCAGATGTCACCACGTCGGCCAGACTGGAAGGCTGTTGAGGCCCGCCTTCGTCATTTTCTGGCTGGAGAATGGGACAAGCTGTACACTGAAACAGTAGAATCCCTTTCTTGGCCCCAGCCACCCAGACACCAGCCCGATGACATTGGCGTCATCGCCAGGGCGGAGGGGCTCGCGCGACGTGGCAGCCTACGGCGTGCCGTGCTGGCACTTGAAGCCACGCCTGTCAGCACTCCTTCCCCAAGCGTGCTGGAGGCCTTGCGCGCCAAGCACCCTCCGGCACCTACCTCCCCACCGGACTGGACTTTCCCCGCACCCGACCCACACCTATCTGCACCTTTCGCAGTGTTTTCCAAGGTGCTGGGAAGCTGTGAACTGGGAGTGGGAGCGGGCCCCTCTGGAACAACGTTTGAGCACTTACGCGATGCGGCGCTCATCAACCACTCCGTCGGGAAACATTTGCATGCACTCGTCAACACGATACTCACAGGAAAGCTACCACCAGCAGTAGCCGAGCTTCTCACTGCCTCGCGGCTGATTGCCCTCACCAAGCCCGATGGAGGAACGCGGCCAATTGCTATTGGCGAAAGCATCACACGCCTAGCTGCAAAAACAGCGCTTACCTTGACCGCAGGAGCCGCTAGAGAATTCTTCCTTCCGCACCAGTTTGGCGTGGCGGTTCCTGGGGGGGCAGAAACAATTATCCACATCACACGCACCTACCTTACAATGCACACGGGGGCCTTGGTCCTCCAAGCGGATCTGGCGAACGCGTTCAACAGCGTGAACAGGGCTGCCATCGTCGCGTCGCTCCGCGGATCCCCTCTCGCTTCCCTTTTGCCGCTAGTAAAACTGTTGTATGGCCTTCCCTCGGCCCTCTGCCTAGATGCCGGCTTCTCACACCCACCCCTTCTGAGCGAGACCGGAGTGCGGCAGGGAGACCCCCTTGGTCCACTGCTTTTTGCTGCTGCCATACACCCCGCTCTGGCGAAGACGGCTCTTACCTTCCCGTCCGTGGTCTGCCTTGCCTACGCGGACGACGTCACCTTTCTTGGAGAGCCAGCCTTGTGTGCAGCGGCGTTTGACGATTTCACGGGGAACCTTGGGGGGATTGGGCTGCGCCACAATCCAGACAAATGCGCGACGTGGTCACAGACAGGTCGGCGAGGAGCGGTGCTTCCGGAGGGCGTACCTTTCGTGGATGATGGAGTGAAGGTGCTCGGTAGTTTCATTGGTGGTACCGATGCAACGGCTGCATTCCTGCGTGATAGCCTTGACAACATGGGCGGGCCCCTCCCCTTAATTGAGCGGATGGAGCCGCAGTTGGCTTCACTTCTGCTCACGCGGTGCATCTCACGACGGGTCTCTTATGTTGCCCGCACCACACCCCTCTCTGCCTTACCTGTTGAGGAATGGTCCGACTGGGGCAAGCGCCTCTTCGAGACGTTGCTGACGGCTTGTGGCATCCGCCACCCCCGGGGGGAGGACGAGATTTCACGTACCTGGGCGCAGGCCTCGCTCCCGATCTCGCTTGGAGGCTTGGGGATAACGGACCCCTCGGTGGAAGGACGCGTGGGTTTCCTTGCAAGCTACACCCAAGCCCAGCACCTACTCACCTCTATTGACGAGGCAGCAATAGGCGCGCTGGCGGAAGTACGGATGCGGATGAAGGGGCCCTTTATCAACACAACCCCCCTATTTGATTGGCTGGAGCGGTGCGAGGAGTCGCTGCCGGACGAGGGAAAGGAGCTGCTGCAGAGCGACCGGGCGGATCCCAAGGGTGTCAAGTTGCAGCAGGGACTGGCTATCGCGGTGCATGGCCAGCGCTACGCCGAGCAGGTGCAGGCCACACGCATCATGCCGCTGAACCCTCTTAGCGGGCACACGCAGCGCATGCTCTCGCTCTCGGGGTACGGGGCGGGAGACTGGCTCAACGCGGTACCCTTCAACAGTTCGCTGCGCCTTGCCCCGGCCCATTTTGCTCACGCGCTGGAGTTTCGGATGGGGCTTCCCTCTTCGGCCCCTGGTGCCTGTGACTGCCGCAACGAAACGTTAATCCCAGATAGGCAGCTGCCCAACCATCTCCTGCGCTGTGACACGGGGAAGGGGAGGACAAACACTCACAACGAGCTGCGCGACGAATGCTTGCGGATGGCCAGCGACGCGGATTTCATGACTCACAGCGAGACGACGGCGTTCTGTCCCGTCACGAGAAAGAAGGCCGACATAGCAATCAGAGACAAATCCTCAGGGGCCGTGTGGATTGGGGACGTTACCATCACGGACCCCATTAGCACACGTGACCCCAACGCGGTCAAGGGCAGGGGGTGGGCAGCCCGTGAGGCGGCAGAGAAGAAGATCTCCGATTACGAGGGCTCAACGGCCTCGTGGGTCGGGTTCTTCCCACTGGCCGTCGACACTTACGGCTGCCCTTGTGCGGAAGTCCCCCAATTTCTCAAACTGCTAGCCGATACTGCCGCCCGCAGGCACTTCAATGCGGCCCCCTCATCTTACCAGGCAACGAAGCTGCTACACCAGTTCCGCCAGCGGTGGTCCGTGGCGTTGCAGCGGGCTCAGTCCGTGGCCTTCATGACGAAGTGTAACTTCGCAGCTCAGGTGGAGAACCCACCTGTGGAGTTGCCGGGCGATGGCATGTCCCTTGGGGACTGCCTAGCCATCCTGGAGCCGGCTCTGGAGCTCCCTTAGAGGGAGCAAGGGTGTGAGTAGGATATAGGAGTGTTAGAGGCCCCTTGTTGCTCCTAGACCCTATATCCTTGGTGCATGTCTGTACTTGCTCGGATCTAATACACGGACCGCTTGAGAGAGAGAGAGAGAGAGAGAGAGAGAGAGAGAGAGAGAGAGAGAGAGAGAGAGAGAGAGAGAGAGAGAGAGAGAGAGAGAGAGAGAGAGAGAGAGAGAGAGAGAGAGAGAGAGGAGTGAGAGGGGGAGAGAGGGGGGACTTATGCAACACACATGGCATGACATTCCTTTCACAAACTCATCTCATTTTCGAGGCGCCTCAAAAATCAAAGAGGGGAGACTTATGCAACACACATGGCACAACATTCCTTTCACAAACTCATCTCATAGGTCAGTTTTTGAAGCTTTTCTGTGCCAATGCCCTGCCGTGCATGCTCTGCAGCTCATTCCATCCCCGCATGCTCCTCTCGTCACCTCCTACACAACAACACTTGCAGCAACCTCAGAAAGGCCCTCCCTCTCACCTCGTTGAAGAACTTTTGCAGCTTCTCTGCGCCAATGCCCTGCCGCGCATGCTCTGCTAGCTAACACGCCCACTCTATTCACACCTGCCCACTACTCTCGTCTGCTCAAGAAGGCCTACTCACCTCGTTGAAGAACTTTTGCAGCTTCTCTGCGCCAATGCCCTGCCGCGCATGCTCTGCTAGCTCATACGACCACTCCTCCTCCCCACCCGCCCCACGTGCTCCCTTCACCAGAATCACATATCTGGGAGGCAGCATGGTGGGAGGGATTAGGAGAAGGGGAGCGGGAAGAAAGTAGAGGTGAGGTGAGGTGAGGTGAGGTGAGGTGAGGTGAGGTGAGGTGAGGTGAGGTGAGGTGAGGTGAGGTGAGGTGAGGTGAGAAACGCCTGCCTATGCAACGAATTCGCGAAGACCCTTCCTCCTCACCTGCTAGCCCAAGGCACCTCAACATCAGAACCTCAACCCCCTCAATCCCTCTACTACCTACCCCCCTTCCCTCCGCACCTGTGTTCCACATGCCCAAACTGCGGGTGCCTCTCCTCCCCTCTTTGCTGTGTCTGAGGCGCTACAAATACACCCCTCATCCCCCAATCCCCACGCCGCTCCGCGCCTTTCGCGTTACCAAACTGCCGGCACCTCTCCTCCCCACCTGCTGTGTCTAAGCAACCTCATAAGCAGAACCTCATTTCCCCCGATCCCTCTATTCCCCCCCAACCCCTCCGCACCTCTGTTTCTCCATGCGCTTCAGGCACTCCTCCACATTCCCAAACTGCGGGTGCCTCTCCTCCCCTCAAAATGCCTGAGCTGCCTCATAAACAGACCCTGACCTTTTCTAGTCCTTATATTCCCCAATCAGCCACTCGTCCGCACCTCTGTTTCTCCATGCGTTTTAGGCACTCCTCCACATTCCCAAACTGCGGGTGCCTCTCCTCCCCCCGCCGCACCCCCATGGCCCCCAGCAGCGCCCACAGCTTCTCTGCACAGGGTGGGGCAGGAGATGGGGGGGAGGGGTTTCGGAGGCGAGGGGAGGGGGGGAGATAGGGGAGGGCGGTAAGGGGGAATAGGAATGGGGGATGGGAGGGGGGAAAGAGTGGAAAAAAGGGGAGGGGGTGGTGAATCTCGAGTCGGCTAACAGATGCCATTGCTTTTGACCAGGGCAAACACTGCCTGCTGCCGGCTACCTGCCGTGTGAACATGCGCACATTACTACAATGGTCAACCTGGCTGATAAGGGTGCTTCAGTATCTGCACCTGCCGGGATGCTTCCTCCTGCGCCCTTTATAAGAGCGCACACCACAGTTGTAAACGCGCTGCCGGCTGCCTGCTCCGGAGTATCCACGAATCGCGACAGCTCCGCCGCTGGTAACCGGCTCTGTAACACATACTCCTTCGCCCCTCCTCCCCCTCCTCCTCTACCTCCTCCTCCATCCCCCCCGTCTTCTCCTCCCCTTCCCCCTCCCTCGTCCCCTCCCCCATCCTGTCCCCTTCCCCCTTTACCCCGCGTCTCTCTCTCAAGCTCCTTCATATCGAAGCCCAGAACAGCCGGGAATCGCGCCTGCGCCTCCTTTATAATCACACCCGGCAGCCCTGTCACGCGCCGGCCGGCGAGCTGCGCGGAGATGACTTTATTGAGCTCGTCCCGCGATATAGGCACACCCGGGTGGCTGCTGTGCTTGAAGAGCACGTGCCGCATCACCGCGCCGATCGCCTGATCGCGCTCCTCCCGCGAAATGTGGCCCGACTGCGATCCGATTGGCTGGGACACCATCTCTTTGATTGCTACAACAGCAGAAATGACGCTACAGCCTAGTTGCGCTACAGGCGAAGTGCCCCTTCAGCCCAGCTCCGAGACAAAAGAAATGAATTCTAGCAATCGCAAAACCGCCGGGGAATCCTTCTCCTCTCGGTCGCACTACCCTACATCCGATGCTGCTGCTCTCAGCATTTCCCTCGCGAGTATGGCTGCGGCGGCGGCGCCTCGCAAGCCGCTGGTAGTGCGACAGAGAGCGAATGATGAGGATTCGACGCGACGGGCAGACTGCGTGACGGGACGGACGAGATCGTCGAGGGGGTGTTTAGACTGCAAGCAGAATCAAGCATAAGAGAAATACTCGCATGAAATCCAGGCCGCTTATCGCAGTGACTGCTGGGAGGGAGTAGAAACAGGGGAGTTATGGAAATTGCGAATTTCAAATCCGGAAATATCTGGGGGATGTGTACTGGTTCAGATGGGCGCGAAACGTTCGAAAAGGGTACCAACGATCGAAATATGGTCGAATTGGGAAAGGGATGGCGGGATGAATGGAAGAATCTGCCACTGTATTGGTAACCCGAATGTAATGTAATCTAATACAGTGGGAAGTCGAGTCCGACTTGCAGCGAGGATAAATCTTGGGTCTGCCATTCCCCTCTGCTTTTGCATGTTCGCGAATGGCGACAAAAGCACCCACCCACTTTTCTAGCTCAACGTGAGTCGTGACAAAGCACGTCGCAGGAGTGAAGGCCAGCTGCGATCCTTTTTTCCCCGCAACCACCAGACCGTTCACACGACGCGAGCAACGCCTCTTGTCCTAGGTCGTAACGGCAGGTGGACTCTTTATTCCTCGAATTTACGTCCCGTTGTGCTGTCCCAGAATTAGCTTCCTTTGCGCCTCCTTTCGTAACGTGGAATTTTGTGAATATTGTCGGAGATGAAAGAATCGCGCACCAATCAGGTTTAAGAACTTGGTTCCTTCATTTCTATCACCGACGACTGGGAGTGAGCGAGGGAATGGGGAACGCGGAACAGAAAGGGCATGTGACAGTAACGGAAGAAGGGGAGCATGTGATTATAACGGAGGCGCCCGAGCGCAATGGGATATGGGCCGTCGACGGCGAAGGGAGTGGGGACGGGGACGTGGGTGTACAGGTGGATGCTTACGTGGACGCTGACGTGGATGACGCTGACGTGGACGCGTTCAGCGAGGATATGCACGTGCTGTGGGACGTTCTGGCGATCGACGACGCAGCGCAAAGAGCGGCGCGAATGGCGGAGCTGGGATACGAAGTTTATATCGAGGATGGACTGGAAGGCTACAGGAAGGCGGCGGTGGTCGAGGATACGACAAACGGCACGTTTCCCGCCCCTCCGCCGGGAAACGCGCTAGAAGGGCGGCTCGCGGAAGAAGCGGCGGAGAGACGACAGCTGGAACAGCGGCTCGAGTCGGCTCAGAGAGCAGTCGGCGCGCTGCTGACGTGTCTGAAGCGTGTCCGACACGTGCTCGAGGCGCCAGGGGATGCGCGGACGAGAGGAGAGGGGGAGAGGGAATGGGGAGAAGGCGCGCATGGGGGGAAGGGAGGCGTGCGGGACGGGACGGAAGGGGGAGGAGAGATTAAGCTGGAGTGGGCGATGGTGGAGTGTGTGTCGACCATGGCGGCTATAGAGGCGCGAGTGGCGCAGCAGAGGCATGCACTGCAAAGGCAGGCGCAGCAAGGGCAGGCGCGGCACAATGTGAGGGAGGGGGGAGGTGCGGAAGGTGAAGGGCGCGGTGGGATGGAAGAGGCGAGAGAAGTGGGGGGAGTGGGGGGGGCGGAGGGGGCGGAGGGGGCGGAGGGGGCGGAGGGGGCGGAGGGGGCGGAGGGGGCGGGGAGAGTTGAGGGGGAGGAGGGAGTGGGGGGGGTGCGAGGAGTGGAGGATGGTGGGATGAGAGAAAGTGAGCTGATGAGAGAGGTGGGTGAGGTGAGGCGGGAGAACGAGGCACTGAAGCAGTTGCTGCTGCTGGCGTTTCAAGGGCGTGAGGCGGCTGATCTACCCCAGATGCTCCCACAGCTGCTAACACAGCTATTAGCCCAGTCCCACATGCCTGCGGAATCAGCAGCACAGAAAGCAGAAACAGCAGACACAGCGCTTGCAGGGACTATCACTATGAGTACAGACACAACTACAGATGCCAGCACTGCCGCTACTGCTACGAGCAGCAGTGATGCCGGCGCAGGCACTGATACCACTGCCGCTCCCACGCCTCCCTCCCATCCCATCCCCGCCCCTGCCCCCACACATGCTCGCGCCTCCTCCCGCCCGCACCCGCACTTCCCCTCGCTTATCCCCCACCTGCAGCTGCGCTCCCTCTCCTTCTCCCGCCACACCGCCAAGCACGTTTCCACCCCCCATGCCACCCGCCACGGCTCCCCGCATGCCTCCCCCCATGCCTCCCCCCATGCCTTCCCCCATGCCACCCGCCATGCCTCCCACCAGCCAGCAATGCGCCGCTCTCTTTCCAGTAGGCCCCTGGGGAAATGGCTGAGGTGGGCTGATGGGGAGAGGGGGAAGCGGGCGGATGATGGGGAAAAGCAGGCGGATGACGGTTTGAAATCGGCTGATAGTGCTGTGAATGCTGATAGTGTTGCTGCTGCTGCTGCTGATAGTGTTGCTCCTTTTGAGTCGACTCACAGATCACCTCAGGAGGAGCAGGCGAGTGGTACAGCAGACAGTGCTGCTGATTGTCCTGAGGAAGCTAGCAGCCAGGTTACTTTTGAGTCAACTCAAAACGAGGTAGCTTCTGAGTCAACACAAAGGTCATCTCAGGAGGAGCAGGCGAGTGGTACTACAGCAGACAGTGCTGCTGATTGTCCTTTAGAAGCTAGCAGCCAGGAGGGTCGACATGACTCACCATCCCTCGTGCCTATTGCTGCTGCTTCTGCTGCTACTTCTGCTGCTTCTGCTGCTACTTCTGCTGATGGTCCTGCTGATGCTGATGCTCCTGCCGATGCTCCTGCTGATGCGGTTGCCAGTGATGGTGACGTAGCTGACTCTACTACGCCTGGCCTCCAAGAAACATCTCCCGCACAAAATCAGCACGAGGCATCGCTTCTACACACCCAGCCAGAAGCGGCAGTACCAGAGGCTCCGCTTACCCAAGAGACGAGCGGCAATCAGGAGGAGACGAGTGAGATGCCACAGAAGTCAGACCTTCTCCGACCAGGAGGGGAGGGGGAGGGCGAGGCGCAGAGGGAGGTGACCAGGAAGATGGACGATCTGGAGCGGGTGGGAGAAACGGTGAAGGATGGAGGGGACGCACGAGGGGACGTGGAGAGGGGAGCGGGGGTGATGATGGCACAAGGGGAATCAAGGGAGAGTGCGGGTGATAATGATAACAACGGTAGCGATGCTGCAGGGTTGAGCCAAGAGGCTGCAGAGGCGAATCACTCCAAGAGCCCATCCCTGCAAGATGACACTCATTCCTCACATGCGAATGTTGACACCAAGACCAACCATTCCTCCCATACCCATTCCTCGCACCCTCACTTCCCGCACCCTCACTTGCCACGTCTGCCCCTCAGAACCACCTTCTGCCTTCCCAGCAGGTTACACGGGGCAAAGGCCGACAATCCAGACAATCTTGATGATCCTGACACAGCACGCCACGTCAGCTGCTTTTCTGGCAACGGCGGTGCTGACTCAGCAGGCCACGTCAGCTGCTTTGCTGGCGAGACCGGCGGTGACTCAATAGCCCTCGTCAGCTGCTTCGGGGGCAGCAGGAGCATCAGCAGCAGCAGCAGAAACCAGCACATGCAAGGATCCAAACCAGGAGGGTCGTTCAGGGAAATCCTTGAGACTTCTCAGAATTCGCTCACAAGGTCAGAAAGAAGAATCTCTCTCAGAAGAAGTGCAAGCGAGCGAGTTCCCGGCATCTCCCCCCCTCCCAGCTCTCTGCACCCTTCATCAGGCAGCGGGCCACTGGTTGAGTCGGGTGGAAAGGAACCGTTACAACCTGCCTCCTCCTTGCTGCCGCCCGGTGATTCACAGCTGCTGCCTCTGCCGTTGGCGAGTGCAGCAGGGGGAAAACGGCCTCGACGGCTGATTGTCCGCCGGTTTATGTATCGCGGTGAGAGGAGAGGCGGGGGTGGCAACACTGGGAGTGGGAGTGGTGAAGGGGGAAGTGGCAGTGGGAGCAGGAGTGGTGCTTGGAGGTTCAGCAGCAGCAACGGTCCGAGCAGATCGCAGTTAAGAAAGAGTGTGGAACACCAGGCGAGAGAGAACATGCCTGGAGAAACCGTGAATGCGAGTGCTCACATCTCGCAGGATACTCACACAGCAACAGCTACAACTACACTCACCGCCACAGCCACAGCTACAGCCATAGCTACAAGTGCAACCACCGCCACCACCACAGCTTCAGCAGCAGATGGAGCTACGGATTCGGCTGTAAACGCTGCTTCTGGTGCTGCTGCATTGTCTGAGGCTGCGCCTGGCTTTGCTCCCAACACATCAGCAGAACGTACTGAATCGTCTGTAGTCCATGCTTCACCTTTGTCCTCACTAGGGGAAGGAGGAGGAGCAGGAAGTGTAGCAGTAGCAGCAGGAGGAAGAGGAGGAACGGCAGGAGGAGCAACAGGAGGGTGGGGCGCTGCTTTCCTCGCCTCTGCCAGTATCAAACGTGCTAGTGCCGCTCCTGCTGCTGTCACATCCACAGCTGCTGCCAGTACCACAGCAGATGATCTCCTTGAGTCTACTCACTCACACACAGTTGAAGACCACTTACCAGACCAGCCTGCTGCTGCTGCTGCTGCTGCTGCCGCGAGTGCAGGTGCTGATGCTGCTGATGCTGGGACTGCTGCTGCTGATGCTGGGACTGCTGCTGCTTCTAAACCTGGTGCTACAGTTGCTGCCACAGCTGATGCCGGTGCAGTTGATGCTACCGTTGGTACTGGTGGCAGCAACATTGCACCCACCTCCGTGTATGTCTGTCCGCGCTCTTCCTGGTCCCTTCCACGCTCGCCTGTGCATTACACATGTCAGCTGTGTGCTGCTCACCTGTGCCTTACACATACACGCCTTGTGCTTCCCTGTGCCCTTTCTGACCCCACCTCCCCACTCAACCATGTGTCTCCCATCTCCTTCCCTCTCCTTTCCCTCCCATCCCATCCCCCGCGTGTCGGCCCTTCCTTTCCCCTCGTCACATACAGCAAGCGAGTCTACTCGCGACGACTGTTAGCATGAGGCAAGCAAGCGATGGCAACATGAAGACGTCTCGTGGCAAATGTTTTTTTCACAGCGAAGGGTCACTTGTTACCAGCATGGAAGAATCAAGTGATGGCGACAAAGGTCCAAGCACTCCCATACGTTGGGAGCTATAAGTTCTCTCTGAATATAGTAGCATTTTCATATAATGGAATAATTATACCGTATATGTATTACCGTATGTTGTATTCCGGGCTAGTTTTGTACGCAAAAAGAAATTACACGTTACAATAAACGTGTTCTGTCTGTATCACTGAAGCAACAACAGAACAAATCCTTGCTTACGCAAGCACATGACATAGGATACAGTACCATTCCACCTTCTCATTGACTGCTGCAATTACTCCCCATCGACGGGACAAAATGTAGTGAAGGAACCAGACTCCACCAGATGCGCCCAGCCCACTCAACCTTCTGAAGATGTGCTTTCATTCAAATGGCTAATCCAAACATGGCACCAATGTTCTCAAAAGACTAGCAACAATTGCTGTTTTGTTGCAACGGCCTGCTTTCTCCAGGGCGCACAGTCTGACCACCACCTTTGTTCCCCAGGGCTGGCTGACTCGCCATCCTGCAGCCACATCCACAGACAGCACTGTAAGGTTGAAATGAAACAGCCGAAATTTAAAAATGCCAACAATAATGATCTATACCTGTTCTTGATCTCAGCAGCCATGGTCATGAAAGCCTGCTCAACGTTTGTGGCATTCTTCGCACTTGTTTCTAAGAATGGGATGCCAATTTCATCTGCAAAGGCCTGCAAAGCACAAGGAAAATCAGAACCCACTCACAGATGACGCAGCCTTGGGATTGGTGCAACTAAAGCGTCTCACACACTACTCACCTTTGCAGTCTGGTAGTCCACAACCCTTTTGCTTGTCAAGTCGCACTTGTTTCCTACCAAGAGCTTGTTAACGTTCTCGCTGGCGTAACGGTCAATCTCGTTTAACCATTGCTTTACGTTGTTGAAGCTTTCCTGATCTGTGACATCGTAAACAACCTGCAGGGACAGTTCAGTAAGCTTTATGCCATCTTGGCCACAATGGGTGGACCGAATGCGAGCTGAGCACGAAATGACAAACGCCACTCACAATGATGCCATGAGCACCGCGGTAGTAACTACTTGTGATCGTCCTGAAACGCTCCTGGCCTGCAGTGTCCCACTGTTACAGCCACACGCAACTTCCGTAAGCCACGCAAGAGTGAGAAGAGTACAAAGCTAATCCACGACGACACTCACGATTTGAAGTTTGATAGTCTTGCCGTCGAGCTCGACAGTACGGATTTTCTGAAAAAGGACAGAGCGGACAACTTCAGAGAATGCTTATGACGTTACCCTCATGAAATTGTTGAAACAATTACCCTAATCTTACAAAGTCCACTCCGATTGTACTGATGTAGCTTTCAAGATAGGAGTCGTCCTGCAACGCAACAAGAAGTTCTTAGCGTGGATGATGCAGAGCGGCATAACTCTTCCATGATAACTGCGAATTCACCCTGTCTACGAATATTACCGCGAATCGTAGGAGGAGGCAAGACTTTCCGACACCAGAATCACCAATCAGCAACAACTTGAACAAGTAATCACTGCATCAGCAGCGACAACGGAAACACAGTCTTAGAGCCACGGTACTAAACAGGACAATGGACAGCTCCCAACTGCAAATTTCGAACGAAGGGGACGCACTATTCGGGATTCATGTTGCTTAGGCTCTGGTAGTGGTTGGCTTCTGCAGCTGAGGCTGCGGAGTCGGCGACAGCGTCAGATGCGTGCTATGAAGCGTCTTGCGCGAGTCAGCGTAACGCCTGTCACTAATGTCCTTCGCGACCTCTTTACGCCTGCCGAAAGGATTCGTTCCGCCTGGTTTGAGAAAGGGATCTCGTTCTCCTGGCTGTGATTCTTTGATGTGCTTGTGGAGTTATGCGGCGAAATCGAGGTCGTGATGAAAAGTTCGTTATGAAGTGAAGCAGGTTGGGCAGGTCCTCCATACCACATGATCCGTGAACGGTACTCAACTGTATTGTAATTTGAGATTGACAATCTAAGAACGGTTACTACTCATGTTAAGTCGTCCAAGTTCTGGATGCGACAATTTCCGGAAGCAAAATCAGAAGCCATAAACGGTGGAAGCTCAGCCCTTTATTCGTATAAAAGATGATACAACGTGGGTATTTTACTGTGCAATTGCAGCAATGCTCTGTACCAAAGACGGTGACACAGGCTCCGCGCCCAGATAGATGTCAAAGAGGGCAGCAAGAAGCCCAGGCGACTCAAAAGTGGCAGAGGCTGCAGAGGGAGCTCCTCCAGCAGTCACATCATCAGAAAATGCCACCTGTATTGTGAACACACGGGAAATCGATCAGGCATAAGTAATACATGTAACAAGGGAACACCCCAGGATGCATGAGAAGTTAAATTGAAGGTTATTGACCGAAAGTTAGATATATTGACCGGTACCTGAAGTGTAGACGGCTGGCGCCAGGTAATGTACACCCCAGTGTTCTTCTTAAGCGACCTGTCCTTGAACAGCTGTCCGAACGCCTCCAAGTCACCCAGGCCCTCTCCAGCCGCTGTGAGGCGCGGGGCGAGCTCCTCTGTGAGTGCGTTCCAAAACTGGTCGGACCCCACGTTGCGGGCCAACACAATCACGATGGCCTTCTCACTCGGCGCTGCAGGGAGCAGATGTTGGGAGATGCAAGGCAGGATCTAAGTAAAGTAAAACTCGTTTTAGGACTAGTCTGACCCCAAGTTCCGCGCCAGCATAATCACTATGGCTTCTCACATGGCACTGCAGGAGATAGCAGGCAGGAGATGCAGGTCCGAGGGGCGCTAAGGAGCTAGAAAGTCAGTTAAAGGGAGGCAGCAGCTAGTGAAGTGACAGGGCAGGGGCGCTATTAAGAAGTGCAGTTGGGCGGTAACAGTGGAACAGGGGCGTGGCCCGTAACGGTAAGTGGAACCGAAACGTACTGGAGACGATGGCATCGAAGAAGGGACAGTCTGTCTTTGAGGCGGCTCAAAAAGAAATGGGGAAGTGAGGTGTATCGGGAATTGGGATCGGGACGTACTGGAGGTGATGGCATCGAAGAATGCTTTGTCTGCAGGCTTGCCCTTCCACCCCGCCAGCACATCCAGCAGCTTTGGTTCAGCGTACACGCCCACTCCATACACCTTCACTGCCAGCGGCCCAAGCTTCTTCTCCCGCACCCCTGCAAGCAAGCAGCAGCAGGAGGAGGAGGAGGAGGAGCAGGAGCAAGAGGAAGAGGTCATTGTTTCACAGAGAGAGTGAGTATCAGAGGCATAGCATGCAAGGGTTTGGGGAATTGATAATTTCTACGCCTGCTATATATGGGGAGTCCTGCCAGCCACCTCGCTGCACTTCTTGTTTCCCTAGCCTCAAGCCTCAACCTCCCTCAACCTCCCTCAACCTCCCTCAACCCCCCTCAACCTTCCTCAACCTCCCTCAACCTCCCTCGACCTCCCTCAAGCTCCCTCAAGCTCCCTCAACCTCCCTCAAGCTCCCTCAAGCTCCTTTCCTCGAATCCCGTGCAGGGTGCAGCACTCACCGGTTCCCAGCAGCGAGAGGTCCTTGGAGCCACCAGGCGCCGCTAGAGTGACTGGGAAGTTGATCTTGGTGGCCGGCTCCGTCACCACTGCAGAGCCACAGGGTGCAGAGTGCAGGGCACGGCGTAGGACACAGAACAGGGCGGAAAACAATGGATTCAACCGCACGGGGATGCGGAGTGAGTGAGCAGCGAGAGGTCCTTGGAGCCACCAGGCGCCGCTAGAGTGACTGGACCACCGGCTCAGTCACCACTGCAGGGCCACAGGGTGCAGGGCAAAGCACAGGGCAGGGCAAAGCAAACAGATGAGATGCGAAGTGTGTGCGGAGGGAGAGGTTGGGATAGGCGTCGCTGGAGGCGAGAACTTGAGGTGCGTGACGACACGGATGAGAGACTACTTGCTTCGTTGAGGCAATGAGTCTCTGACGTAAACAATTAGCAATAGATCAATCACGCGGGCTCGATCGCCGATGATATAACCATAGTTGCTGGGACAATCCACCATTGTCGGCATCATCGATCGCCGCTGGCATGATAAGTCAACCATGGCTCGATTGCTGGCAGCACGAAGCCAATCATCGACCAGGGCCCACTCACCGTTCGCTCGAACGCTGCTGCGAAGCGGCTGAAGGGAAACCCGAGCGGAATTCTTCGCCGAAGCGACCTGGATCCCGCGGAAGGACGTGGAAAGCGGAACGGCTAGGGAGGCAGTGCTGGGGGCTGCTCGCGAAGAGCTCTTGGCCGAAACGCACGCGACCGCGGCGGCAGGCGCCAGGGTGACAGAAGCAGCGGAAGCGAACGCCATGGCGAGATGAGAGTGAATCAGGCGAGCCCGCCAACCCACCGAGATCAAATTTCCTGATTCCCTGTGGAGCTGGGAGTACTGATCAGTTTTGAGATGGAACTGGGTTATGGTGGGGTTGAGTTAGTTTTTGCGCTTGGTATGACAGTAGCAACAGCAGTAGGCTGACGAAATGTGATAACAGGGGTGTGATACAAGAGAGTGTATCTGAATGTGACGTGTTGTGACTGTATGCGGGAGATCTTCACGAGGGATCTGATCAGCCTCGAGTCTGACGTGGAGGGAGTTTTAGAGATTGCCGCTGATTGGCGAGCGAATGTTGGCAGATTCGGCTGCATTGCGAAATGGATGGATCTTCTCGTGAACCACACACTGCTGCTTTTGACTCGTGACTTGACGTCGATATTCGCGCATACGACTGTCGGCAAGGTACGCTTCGCTAGTTTTCCGTCGCACAACGGGTGTGTTGTGGGGTTGGGTCCGTGGTCGGTGATCGCCACGTCACGAGATTTCTCGCACTTTATTCTTACGTGGCTGAATTTGATTTGCTTCTGAGGGTCCAGTCATTCCAGAGGGTAACCTCCTGGAACCACGCATGGTTCTGGAAAGAACATCGCCAACGGATCGCGCAGTGGCGACAGAGTGGTTACCTTTCTCGCAACCGACCTGCGAAATGTATCCCAGTTCTAACCTCATGAAAATCCCATAGCTGCCAGTGACATTCTCGAGACCAGTCAGTCAGTCCAGCCAATATCGGTTGGGCTCCTACATAGCAGTCCCAGCCATTCTCAATGTTGACCAATTTCCAAGGTTCTTGATTTTCATTTTCATTACCGCCGTTTCAGCAGCTCACACTTACCGTGTGACTCGCTCAAGGGTACTTTCTTGCCAGCATTCAGGCACGATTGCGCAGGCAACGGTCGCCACGCGAAGACTTGTATCTCTCGCGAGGGTTCTGCAGGCCAGCATGGTTGAGAAGTCCTTCAAGTATGTCATTCTCGGAGGCGGCGTTGCTGCGGTAAGCAGATCCAGACTTGTCGATATTTGCCGAAATTAACATTGACGACAGTTACCGTTTTTGCGGATTTAGTTCCAGTCGACACGTTTTCGCGTGTGACGTGTTTCTGTTGCACTCGCAGTCAGCTGGCTCAATGAAATTTCGTCTCTCCGTATTTTCAGGGTTATGGAGCCGCAGAGTTCGCGAAGCAGGGCCTGAAGGCTGGCGAGCTTGCCATCGTGTCGCGAGAGGCGGTATGCGATTTCTACTTGTTCCTGACTTTCGCTTTGAGTGCTTGCCTTGATAAGCCGGATTCAGGTCCTTTGGGTTGCTGTCAAGATGTCACATTTGCACTATTTTCATTTGTCGTCTTTTCTCTCGCCTGGATTTCAGGTGGCTCCCTACGAGCGGCCGGCGTTGAGCAAAGGCTACCTCTTTCCTCAATGTACGTCGACCCTCCTCGCTCACGATTTCTTCTGTCGGAACCTTCCCCTCTACGGCCTCCTCCAGTCCTCTCACCTTTGCCTGTCGTCCTTTAAGAAACTCCCGATACTGCGTTCTATACTTAATCGCCAATTGCAGTACCCGCGATGCAGTAAAATAACCATTTTTGTGTCCCCTTTATTCCGCCGCAGCGCCTGCGCGACTGCCTGGATTCCATACGTGCGTGGGTAGCGGAGGGGAACGGCTGACCCCCGAATGGTATGCGGAGAAAGGTGCGTCGCCAGGGGATGAACGAGTAGAGGGGGCAGCCGTGGGAAGTATAGGCGGCGAGCAGCTCGAGGGTTGTGTTTCTAGAGACTTAATGCAATGAAGATGCGGGAATTCCTGGGAGAAATCCATAAGGAATCTGACCTCGCAGCACTTTCAGAACGCTGTCTAATGCAAACATGTGTGTAATCTTCTATCACTAAACCCCTTTCCTTCCCCCCCTCTTAGCCATCCTCCCTCCAACCTCTCTTCTCTTATCCCCCTTTTCATGCGCTTCCATGCGCCCTCACTCACGCGCAACCGCAGGCAACGAGCTCATTCTGAACACGGAGTTCGTTATTTAGTCAGTTAATTTATTCTGAACTCTCTCCCACACGCCCTCACTCACGCATAACTGCAGGCATTGAGCTCATTCTGAACACGGAGGTCGTGTCTGCTGACGTGGCGGGCAAGAAGCTCTCCACAGCGTCTGGCGACACCATCGCCTTCACCAACCTCATCATCGCCACTGGTGCCGATGTGAGTACCTCGCCTCCTTGAAAGAGGCCCTTGTTTTTTTCACTCCGTCGCCCAGACCAGAATTCTCTGCAAGGGCTTCTTCGCCGCGTCTGGCGACACCATCGCCTTCACTAACCTCATCATCGCCACCCGCGCGCCGATGTGAGTAACTCGCGTTGCTTGAAGAAGGCCTAGGCTCAAATGCGGCTCTTACCCCCTTGCCCACCTCGCACCTCTCTTCCTCTCCCCGACGCCTTTGCTCCACAGACCATCAAACTGACGGACTTCAAGACGCCAGGCGCGGACGCCAAGGGCATCTACTACCTGCGGGAGATCAAAGAGGCGGACGAGCTGTACGCCGCCATCCAGGCGAACAAGGGTGGCAGGGCCGTGGCGGTGGTGGTAACACGCCTCATGCGCTCCCTCCCATGCGCGCCCCCTTCCCCATGCTCCCATGCTCTCATGCATCCAGACCATCAAACTGACGGACTTCAAGACGCCAGGCGCGGACGCCAAGGGCATTTACTACCTGCGGGAGATCAAAGAGGCCGATGAGCTGTACGCCGCCATCCAGGCCAACAAGGGCGGCAAGGCTGTGGTGGTGGGCGGCGGATACATCGGACTCGAGCTCGCGGCCATCCTCGCCATCAATGACATCAAGGCTACTATGGTCTACCCCGAACCATTCTGCAGTAAGCCATTGTCCCTCTTACCCTCGCTCTCGCCTCTCGCCCTCTCGCCTCTCGCCTTCTCCTGCTGTCTGTGGGTACATCGGGCTCGAGCTCGTGGCTATCCACGCCATCAACGACATCAAGGCCACCATGGTCTACCCCAAGCCATTCTGCAATAAGCCACTGTACCCCACTAGGCATTAGACATGCCTCTCAAGAAGCAAAGCCTTGGTTGCGGGTACATGTCGAGCTCGCGACTATCCTCGCTATCAATGATATCAAGTCTACCATGGTCTACCCCGAACCCTTTTGCAATAAGCCACTGTATCCCGATTCCCCCCTCTCTCCATTTCGGCCTTTCCTCCTCCCGTCGTCAAGAACACCATCGCCTCGCCACTGCTCCCATAAAGCCCCTCCCTTCCAGTGCCGTGTGTCTTCACCCCCACGCTCGCGGCGTTCTACGAGGGCTACTACGAGGCCAAGGGCGTCACCATCGTGAAGGGCACCGTAGCCACGGCCTTCACAGCCAACGAGGACGGCCACGTGAAGAGCGTCACGCTCAAGAGTGAGGAGAGGCTGCTCCCATGCAAAGTTGCAAACCCATCCCCTCTCCCTTTCCCCGCGCTCCTCACCTTTCTACCCCTTCCCACCAGTGCCTCGCCTCTTCACACCCACGCTCGCGGCGTTCTACGAGGGCTACTACGAGGCCAAGGGCGTCACCATCGTCAAGGGCACCGTCGCCACGGCCTTCACAGCCAACGAGGACGGCCACGTGAAGAGCGTCACGCTCAAGAGCGGGGAGACTCTGGATGCAGATCTAGTGGTGGTGGGCGTGGGCGCTCGCCCCAACGTGGGGCTCTTCAAAGACCAGCTCACCTTTGACAAGGGTGGCATTAAGGTAGGTGGCAGGTGCAGCGGGCATTGCATTAGAGGGTGACTGAGGAGGGCCACGTGAGTGAGGAGCGTCACGCTCAAGAGCGGGGAGACTCTTGACGCGGATTTAGTGGTGGTGGGCGTGGGCGCTCGCCCCAACGTGGGTTGTTGAAGGACCAGCTCGCGTTTGATAAGGGGGGGATTAAGGTGGGTGGGGGCGGGGGAAGCATTGAGAGGGGTTGAGCAAGGTGTAATAAGGGTGACGGGATTGGAGGCCAAATCCTCACATTGCTCCCCTGTTCCTCTACCTCCCTCCCCCTCTCCTTCCCCTCCCGCAGGTGGATGCTCGCTTCCTCTCCAGCGCCCCTGGCGTGTATGCAGTTGGGGATGTGGCCACATTCCCCATGATCAAGTACGGCGATGAGAGGCGCGTGGAGCATGTGGATCATGCCAGGAAGTCAGTGCAGCAGGCAGTGAAGGTATGTGTGTCCTTCAGGCATGCTAGCAGTGGTCTTATGCATTGTCCTTCTGATGAACAAGTATGGCGATGAGCTGTGCGCGGAGCATGAGGATTGTGCGAGCAACTACGTGAAGTGAGTGTGTTTTTGAGATGTCTCAAAAACACTTATTACAAGAAAGATGGTGATGAGCTGTGCGCGGAGCATGAGGACCATGCGAGGAGCTCACACACCCCCTCTCCCCCTTTGCCACGGTTCCCTCTCCTTCCCACACTCGCCCTCCTCCCCCAACAGGCAATCAAGGCAGCGGAGGCAGAGGAGCAGGTAGCGGATTATGCCTACCTGCCCTACTTCCCCCTACAACAAGGGAACTCACAACCCTCCTTCCCCTTACCTCTGCCCGCCTTCCACCCCTCGTCCCCCAGGCAATCAAGGCAGCGGAGGCGGGAGAGCAGGTACTGGACTACGCCGACTTGCCCTACTTCATCTCCCATAATGGAGGAACTCAAAACCCCACTTCTCCCCCTGGTCCTTCTCGCCTTCTAACCTCTCACCAGGCAATCAAGGCAGCAGAAGCAGGGGAGCAGGTACCAGACTACGCGTACCTGCCCTACTTCTACTCGCGCTCCTTCGACCTCTCCTGGCAGTTCTACGGAGACAACGTGGGGGAGACCGTGCACTACGGGCTCAAGGACGGCAAGGCACCTCCCTCCTCCCTTCCCCTCCCTCACTCCCCATATCCCATCCTCCCATCCCATTCCCCCACCCACCCTCCACTTCCCCCCACCTCTCCCAGGCAATCAAGGCAGCAGAAGCAGGGGAGCAGGTACCAGACTACGCGTACCTGCCCTACTTCTACTCGCGCTCCTTCGACCTCTCCTGGCAGTTCTACGGCGACAACGTGGGGGAGGCTGTGCACTACGGGCTCAAGGACGGCAAGGCGGCCACTCCTGTTGCTGCTGCTACTGCTCCTACATGACCCGCGTGTACTGGCACAGCAGTGGAACTTACACACCTCCCCTCCCACTTCTCCCTTTTCCCCGGCTCTCACTTTCTCTCACCTCTTACAGGCTATCAAGGCAGCGGAGGCAGGGGAGCAGGTACCGGACTACGCCTACCTGCCCTACTTCTACTCGCGCTCCTTCGACCTCTCCTGGCAGTTCTACGGAGACAACGTGGGGGAGGCCGTGCACTACGGGCTCAAGGACGGCAAGGCGGCCGGCGAAGGGCCGGCCAAGTTCGGCGCGTACTGGGTGAAGGACGGCAAGGTGGTGGGCGCGTTCCTGGAGGGCGGCAGCGCGGAGGAGAACAAGGCGATTGCCAAGGCGGCTCAGGACCAGCCGGCAGTTGCAAGCCTAGAGGCACTGGCAGGAGAGGGGCTGGGGTTTGCACTCAAGGCTTGAGGTTATATGGTGTAGTATAAGAGGTCCTGGTATGGCATATGTCCTCTACTTTGGTTTCATGATGTGCAGAACAGCTAGTAGTTTGTACTGGAATGTAGGGTACATGTTTTGGAAAATTATACATTGTATTGAATTACACATGGATATGTACAATCAAACTTCATATGTCCACAAAACACCAGACTCAGCACGTACATTGCAGTCACAAGTATGCAAATCAAAGCTTAACCAGCACAAACAATACGGAACCAGTGATTGCCAGTGTATGTATGTCAAGCGGTGGGGAAGGTGAGTTTGATGAAGTCCTGGAAGCGAGAGGCGGAGAGCGTGGGGTCAACAGCAGAGATGGAGTGGCTGTCGTACTGAATGGACTTCGTCTGAGACGTGTCAAGAAAGGCCCAAGCAGTGGATTTCAAGTGCTGGGGAAGGTGAGCTTAATGAAGTCTTGAAAGCGTGAAGCATAAAGCGTGGGGTCAACAGCAGAGATGGAGTGGCTGTCGTATTGAATGGACTTGTAGAAATGCTCCACCTTCTTTGTGTAGTCGTACTCCTGCGGTGCAGTGCGGTACGGGGTGGTTGGGGGGGTTGAGTGGTCGTTGGAAAACGGGGGATGGAGTGGCAATAAGAGGGGAGATGGACTGGCTGTCGTACTGAATGGACTTGCAGAAATGCTCCACCTTCGTGTAGTCGTACTCCTGCGGTGCAGTGCGGTACAGGGTGGTTGGGGATTGGGATGTCGAGGATATCAATATTGCAGAAGCACAGCACCACCTCATACGCCTCTACCCTAGTGGGATCTCTACGGGCTGACCCCCACGGTATCATTCCCAGAAAGCTTCCCACACACACACCTAACACACACGCATGCACCCACCCGCACCCATGCAGACCCACGCCCACCCACCTGCAGGATGTCAATAATGCCCACCACCTCATACGCCTCTGCCCTGGCAGGGTCCCTGATGGGCCTCACCGTCTCCCACACGCACCCACGCACACATGCACATGCACACACGCACCTGCAGGATATCAATGATACCGAAGTACAGCACCACCTCATACGCCTCTGCGCTCTCAGTCGCACCACCAAAGCATCCCCAACTACACCCACTCACCTACACCCACACACCCACCCACCTGAAGGATATCAATGATCCCAAAGTATAGCACCACCTCGTACGCCTCAGCCCTGGCAGGGTCTCTCCAGGCTGGCCCCCACGATCTGTTTCCCCATGCACACACGCCCTGTAGGGACGCACCCACACCCACCTGCAAGATATCGATGATGCCGAAATACAGCACCACCTCGTACGCCTCTGCCCTGGCAGGGTCTCTGATGGGCCGCCTGCTCCTCCTGTCCAGCCGTACGGCCGTCGCCGCCATGCCCTGCCCTAGCACCGCCCCCGCCCCCCTCCCATGCTGCTGCTGCCCGTGCTGCTCCCGCCTCTGTGCATGTACAAGGGCATACGCAGGCTGCCAAGCTGCCGCTGACTGCGGTTCAGGTGGCCGCCTGGGTTGCTGCCGCTGCCCCTGCTGACCCTGCTGCTCTTCCTGCTGCTGCCCCAACCCCTGCTCCTGCCTCGCCTCCTGCCCTTGCTCCCCCTGCCCCCCCTCGTCCTGCTGCGGTTGCACCTGCACCTTCCCCAGCACAGGATGCAGCCACGGGCTAGCAGGCACAGACAACACCCCCCCTCGCTTCACGTGGCTCTGCCTCTTCTGTGTGGGGGAGCGTAACGCCCCTACTAGCGCAGACAGACCGAACCTGGGAGAGGGAGGCTTGGTGGCAGTGGCAGTGGTAGTGGCAGTGGCAGTGGCAGACACATTAGCATTGGCAGAGGCAGATCCTGCTGGATGTCTTGGGCTGTTGCTGACGCTGCTGCTGCCTCGTGGTGCTCTGTTGCCAGCACCTGAAGAATCACCTGGAGCGGCAATGGCATTACCAGGAGCAGCAGGCGGTGCTGGGATGGCACCTGGGGAAACACCTGAGAACGTGGCTTCAGGTGCTGTGGCGGAGGGGGGGATGGTGAGAGGTGGTGGGTCTGGGTGTGTGTGGCTTAGCCTGGCAAAGACTGAATAGCAGGTCATCTCTCCACTATGGGGGATACTAGACCCCCCTCCCCCTACCCCTCCCCCTTCCCCATCACCTTTCCCTCCCCCCTCCCCTTCCGGTCCCCTTCCCCCTCCCACTCCACCACCAGCGTCAGTGGTATCTGGTTGGTTGATTTGACAGGCAGCAAGGGGATGGGGCTGGGGCGTTTGAGGTGCCCCAGAGGCTTGGGGCTGCAAGAAAGGGCTTGCTTGATTGCCTGGGCGCAGAAAAGGGCTGGCTAGATTGCCAGGGCGGAGAGATGGGCTGGCCTGGGTGCCAGGGCGCAAGGAGGAGAGCGGGTGAGCAATATTGTCAGAGGAGTGGCGGACGAGCGGTGGTCCATCGCTCGTGACTGCCCTCCTGGCTCGTGTGGACTGGGAGGAAGAGCCTTGTGTGTGTCGCACGTGGTGCTGTTGTTGCTGTTGCTGCTGCCAGGGGCGAAAGAGCCGGCGCCAGGTTTGAGACGACGGGGAGAATCGGCCGATCCATGGGTTTTGGTGGCTGCTTGTTGCTGCTGGTGATGGCGGTGGTGGTGCCGCTGCTGCTGCTGAAGGTGGTGGTGGTGATGGTGGTGGTGGTGGTGTTGCTGTTGCTGTTGCTGCTGCTGTTGTTGCTTTGAGGACGGGTATAACTCGGGGGGAGGAAGAGGACGAGGGGGAGAGAGGGGGAGATGGGGACTTGTTCCCCCATGAATCGGAGATGACAGGACATCTCCCCTCACCGCATCGAACCTCACCACATCCCCCTCCACCGCACTCCCATCACTCACCCTCTCCCCTCCCACTGCGTCAGCCTGTTGCCCTAACGAACACCCTTCTTGTCTGCACTCCGCCTCGCCCCCTCCAAGCCTCCCCTGCAGGTTCGGCGGGCCAGGCTCGGCAGGCTCGAGCAGAGCAAGGTTCTCGTGCGAGGTTGGGGCCGAACGAGGCTTCCGAAGCCGATCACCGAACCTCTTCCCTCTGCTCACCTTCTCTCCTTTCACAGCAGCTACTTTAGATCCCTCCTTCTTTCCACCCACTGAACCTGCCCCTGCTTCTCTCGGTGCTCCTCTGTCACCACCCCCAACTGCTCCCCCTCCCACTCCCTTCTTCCCTTCCCAACCTCCTTTTCCTCCTCCCTTTCCTATGTGCCCTGCTGCCGCTTCTTTGCTCCCTGCTGCCTCTCCCTTGCTACCTCCTCCCCCCCCCTTTCCCTCACTAGCCCAAGGAGGCAATGGCTGTGGCTCAGACCCTGGAGCATACACACCCTCTTCCCCCACCTCCACACTCACTCCTCCCACTCCCCCCCTTCCCTCTCGCCCACCCCCACCCCCTACCCCCCCACCGCCAAACTGCATATGCAACCCATTTGTCCCTCCCATTGGGGCTTCAAGCGGGGAAAACAGGAGCGCGGAGGAGGAGGAGGATTTGGGAAAGGGGAAGGGGGAGGGGTGAGCAGAGGCGGAGGCGGAGGTTGGGGGGAGGAAGGGGGAGGGGAAGGCAGAGGCGGAGGAGGCGGAGGTGAGGGGAAGGAATGCCTCAGGCCCTGTGACTTTGCCTTCAGCAATGGTGACTATAGGGGGGGGCGGGTCTGTGGCTCGGAAATGCACTCCCAACAGCAAACTGTAATCCATGATGCGTTGCGACTGCAGGAAGTGACAATCCGCTGCCATTTGCCTGCAGGGGTTAGGGTGAAAAGGGGGGGGGGGAACGGGGAGGAAGCGATGGGTCCGTGGCTCGGAAGTGCACGCCCAAGAGGAGACTGTAATCCATGATGCGTTAGGTGAGGTAAGGGCCTTGGTCCACGGGCACGCCTTGGTCCACGCGCGCGCCTTGGTCCACGGGCACGCCTTGGTCCATGGGCACGCCTTGGTCCACGGGCACGCCTTGGTCCACGGGCACGCCTTGGTCCACGGGCACGCCTTGGTCCACGGGCACGCCTTGGTCCACGCGCACGCCTTGGTCCACGCGCGCGCCTTGGTCCACGCGCGCGCCTTGGTCCACGCGCGCGCCTTGGTCCACGCGCGCAGCAGGTCTCTCCATCCCCCGTGTCATGGTCTCATCGATTGCCACCTTGTCCATGTTGCCACCGTGCGATGAGCCCTTGGGAACCAAGGCCAAACCGCACTCACCTTAACAAGAGGTCCCTCCATCCCCCATGGAGTCTGAACGCGAGGTCCAAGTCCAAGTCTTTAAGCGTCATGGTCTCATCGATCGCCACCTTGTCCATGCTGGCACCCTGTGAGGAGCGCTTGAGAGGCCAGAGGTGCCTGCTATTCCGACAAGACAACCACTTGAGAAGCAAGAGGCACATACACGCACCTTAATAGCAGGTCTCGCCACCCTCCATGCAGCCTGAAGGCGAGGTCGAGATCAAGGTCTTTCAGGGTCATGGTCTCATCGATCGCCACCTTGTCCATGCTGCGACCCTGCGATGAGCCCTTGAGGTCAAAGCGGCGGTGCAAACGCACGTCTGAGTTGAATAGATTTCCCATCACCACGAATCGAATCATGGTGCTGCCCTGCAGGGGTGGAAGGGTTTTAAGGGGGGAAGAAGGAGGAGAAGGGAGCAATGAGGGAGAGGTGGGACCGGACGGAGCAACGCAGGCAGAGTTGAAGAGGCTTCCCATCTCCACACCTCGGGGATCACGGTGCTGCCCTGTATGGGGGGGGGAAACGGGAAAGGAAGTGGGAGGCACCAGGTGTAGGTGGGGGAGGGATGGGAGGAAGGGTGCAGACGCACGTTGAAGTTGAAAATGCTTCCCATGACCACACAACAAATAGCAGTGCTGCACTTAAGGAGAGGAATATGCAGCTACAGCAGGATGGTGTTGGATCAGCTGCAGGAATCTCAAAAGCAGCGATCCCCTGAGGGTCCGTGACCCAGTGCTGTCCCAGCATGAGCATCTGCGTGTGACCCAAGCGACGATCGCCCTTTTGTGGAGCCTGCTGGATCTCCCCACGATTCTGGAGCTGGGGACAATTGACCCGGGCGGGAGAGCTATACCCTTCGCACGCTGGCGGATGACCCGGGTTTCAACACTTCACAACCCCGGAATTATGGGGAGATTCAGCAGGCACATCAAAAGGGCAGCCAACGCTTAGGCCACACGAAGCTGCTCATGCTGGGGCAGCATTGAGTCACGGGTCCCTAAGGGCAACTGCTCCAGAGATTCCTGCAGCTGATCCAGCACCATCTTTTAGGTGAAGAAGGAGAAAGGTTGAGGAAAAAAAGGAACGGGAGAAAGGAGCGATGCAGCGCACGTCGGCATTCAAGGGATTGCTCATCACCACAAAGTGAATGACATTATTGTTTTGTAGGGGGAAGAAAGGAGGATGTTGGGAGGAGGGTTGCACGAGGGAGGGAATGAACCAACAACGGGGAGGGGAGGAAGGGTGCACTGATGTGAAGAATCAATCAAGGAAGACGTGACTCACAGTGGAGGGCTTGTAGATCTTACAGCTGTGCACACATGCATACAGGCATGTACGATGTCTCTCCGCTACAGTCAGTACGATCATAGCACTCACTGTGGATGGCTTGTAGATCTTGCAGCTGTGCAGGCCGAAGAACTTGGTGAGGAGTGTGTGCTCGTACTGCTTCACATGCTCGTAGTATGCGGGGAGCATTCGCAGGAGCACCTGGGAGGAAGGACAAGACGGACGGAAAAACAAAGGATTAACTTGCAGAACAAATCTGCAACAGAAGAAAAAAACAAATCTGCAAAGCGACTCCTCGGGGAGGAGCACGATACAAACCCTGAAGTGAGCAAAGAAATAGCATGAAGTCATTCCTTCACATCACGTTCACGAGGAAGATTAACTATTGGGCACTCACGTGCACTTCTGTTCTGCGCATGGACTTGATAATGAATCGATCATCGTGGGAAAGATAGAAGACACTGCCTGACTTGCAAACAGAAGGCTTAACACACTCTGATACTCACAGTTGCACTGCTTACACCGGTTAGCACCGCAATGGACTCTACCAAAGTGCACCTAAACACTCACATGCACTTCGGCTCGGCGCATGGTCTTAATAATGAATCGATCATCATGGGAAAGATAGAAGACGCTTCCCGACTTTCCCGGGGAGGATAACTCCCTTAGTGCTGTATCGCCGCACAGCGACAGCATGTAGTCTGAAGGGTCCACTCCGAACAGCGCTCGCAACTCCCTGTGGGGTGTTCAGAAAGAAGGAAGCAGTGCTTGGGGGTTGAGGGGACCGGCAAGGCAACAGCTCCCTCAATGCTGTGTCACGCTCACAGCGACAGCATGTAGTCCGAAGGGTCCACTCCGAACAGTGCTCTTAGTTCTCTGTGGGATGTTTAGGGAAGGAGGAAAAGGGAAGAGGTTGAGAGAGATAGAACATGACACTTTCCGACTTGCCCAGGGAGGATAGCTCTCATAACGCCGTGTCGCCGCACAATGACAGCATGTGGTCTGAAGGGTCTACCCCGAACAGTGCTCGCAGCTCCCTGTGGGGGTATCAAGGAAAGGGTGCACAGGGAAGGGAAAAGTGTCACCACTTAAAAGGTGCGACGCGGTGGGGGGGGTTGATCTAAGAGCCCTCTGAGAAGAAGCAGACAGAAGAAGAGGGAAAGCTTATGCGCCTGGAAGGCAACAAAAGGGAGCACCTGACGCACCTGAAAGCAACAAAAGGGAGCACCTGAAGCACCTGAACACTGCAGGCCAGAAGTCCCGCCACTTGAAGGGAACTACTTGGTTCGGGGGAGTGATCTGAGAGCCCTCCGGGGAAAATTGCTAGACAGAAACAATGTGCCTGAAAATATGAAATGAAAAACTGACTCACCTGAAAACGGCAGGGCAGAAGTCCCGCCACTTGAAGGGAGCCACTTGGTGCGGGGGAGTGATCTGAGAACCCTCCGGTGGAAATCGCACGGCCCTTGGCCCCGCGTGCTGCGAAAAATCGCTTTCTCTTAGCTCCCGCACTGAATCCAGCCCCATGCGACCAATGGAGTAGCTGTGTGTTAAGGGAAGCGAAGGGGAAGGGGGAAGGGGTGAAGGAGATAGGTAAAGAGGAAAGCAAGGAGTCTGGCTGCGTGCTGCGAGAAATCACTCTCTCAACTCCCTCACTAAGTCGAGTCCCATGCGATCTATGGAGTAACTGTGAAACGAGAAAGGAGGCAGGTAAAGAGGAGAGCAGGGAGTCTGGTCGCATGTTGAGGAAAATTTTGAGAAATTTCAAAATGACTTCCTCAACTCCCATACTGAGTTATGGGAGGGGAAATCCCTCAACTTCCCATGCGACCAATGGAGTAACTGGGGGCGGGGGGGGGAGGAGGAGGGGGGGGACGGGGGGGGGGGTGTATGACGGTGGGTGGAGAAAGGAGGATGCAGCAGCGTTGACAGGAAAGAGGAAAAGAACAAAAACTGCATGCTTGCTGAGTTACTGCATTAGAGAAGGGTGTGACGGCAAGAAAAGTAGGGCAATGAAGGGCATACCAGCCTCACAAGAAGCCACACGAGTCTCACCGCAAGCCGAGCTGAAGGGTGACCATGAGGTCGTATGACAGATGGCCCTTGTATATCAACTCGCCTGCCTTCTTGCCCTCCCGCCTCGGCCCCTTGTTCCTCTGGGAATGGGAGGAATATGAGGGGTGGGGTGTGAGAGAGCAGGGGAATGGAGGAGGAGGGAGCAGGAGAGTGGATGGGGAGAGCAGGAGGGTGCAGGGAATTGAGAAGCAAGAATAGGGGAAATGAGGAAGAATGTATAAGCCTTGTGTCGCTGCCAACCAGTTTTGTTGAATTGCCCTATCACGGCCGCGGCACTGACACAACCACGAATCACCCCATAGAGACTGACGGGGAGCACGTCACTCTTGGCTGTTTCGAACACGAGCGCCCCTTGCCCATACTCCCTCAGAATAACCGTTCCCCTCCTCATGCTCGGCTTCGACCACAGTAACACCCACCACTAACACCCACACAGACACACAAAACACTCACAGGCAGCACGGTCTTGTCGCTCTTAGCTGTCTCCGACACGAGCACGCCTTGCACGTACTCCCTCACCAGCACCGTTCACCTGCTTGTGGCCGGCCTGCTGCCAGAGTTCTAACACCCACCTCACGGTCATCACATACAACACTCACAGGCAGCACGGTCTTGTCGCTCTTAGCCGTCTCGGACACGAGAACGCCTTGCACATACTCCCTCACCAACACCGTGCCCCTCCTGGTGCTTGGCTTGCACACCAAGTGAGTCACACAGGCAACACTGACACAGACGTCACTCACAGGCAGCACGGTTTTGTCGCTCTTGGCTGTTTCCGACACGAGCACGCCCTGCACATACTCCCTCACCAGCACCGTTCCCCTCCTTGTGCGCGGTCTGCTTCCCGCCCCCACTGTCCCTGAGGGCCCTCCCACTGACTGGCTCGTGCTGAACATGGGAGAGGTGATGAGCGATGCCGATGCTGACCCCTCGCCGCCTGCACGCATGGGAGGGGGGTGGAACGAGAGGAAAAGAAGCACGGTCATCTTTCACCAACACCGTTCCCCTCCTTGTGCTTGGCTTCGACCTGCTGCTCCCCTGCCCCGCCCCTGAGGGCCCTCCCACTGACTGGCTCGTGCTGAACATGGGAGACGTGATGAGCGACGCTGAGGCCGACCCCTCCCCGCCTGCAAGAAAAGGGAAGTGAGGGAAAGGAGTGAGGAGCAGAGATGAAGTGAGAACTTGAGGAGGTGGGGAAGGGAAGTGTTGGGCTGGCTCGTGCTGAACATGGGAGAGGTGATGAGCGATGCCGATGCTGACCCCTCGCCGCCTGCACGCATGGGAGGGGGGTGGAACGAGAGGAAAAGAAGCACGGTCATCTTTCACCAACACCGTTCCCCTCCTTGTGCTTGGCTTCGACCTGCTGCTCCCCTGCCCCGCCCCTGAGGGCCCTCCCACTGACTGGCTCGTGCTGAACATGGGAGACGTGATGAGCGACGCTGAGGCCGACCCCTCCCCGCCTGCAAGAAAAGGGAAGTGAGGGAAAGGAGTGAGGAGCAGAGATGAAGTGAGAACTTGAGGAGGTGGGGAAGGGAAGTGTTGGGCTGGCTCGTGCTGAACATGGGAGAGGTGATGAGCGATGCCGATGCTGACCCCTCGCCGCCTGCACGCATGGGAGGGGGGTGGAACGAGAGGAAAAGAAGCACGGTCATCTTTCACCAACACCGTTCCCCTCCTTGTGCTTGGCTTCGACCTGCTGCTCCCCTGCCCCGCCCCTGAGGGCCCTCCCACTGACTGGCTCGTGCTGAACATGGGAGACGTGATGAGCGACGCTGAGGCCGACCCCTCCCCGCCTGCAAGAAAAGGGAAGTGAGGGAAAGGAGTGAGGAGCAGAGATGAAGTGAGAACTTGAGGAGGTGGGGAAGGGAAGTGTTGGGCTGGCTCGTGCTGAACATGGGAGAGGTGATGAGCGATGCCGATGCTGACCCCTCGCCGCCTGCACGCATGGGAGGGGGGTGGAACGAGAGGAAAAGAAGCACGGTCATCTTTCACCAACACCGTTCCCCTCCTTGTGCTTGGCTTCGACCTGCTGCTCCCCTGCCCCGCCCCTGAGGGCCCTCCCACTGACTGGCTCGTGCTGAACATGGGAGACGTGATGAGCGACGCTGAGGCCGACCCCTCCCCGCCTGCAAGAAAAGGGAAGTGAGGGAAAGGAGTGAGGAGCAGAGATGAAGTGAGAACTTGAGGAGGTGGGGAAGGGAAGTGTTGGGCTGGCTCGTGCTGAACATGGGAGAGGTGATGAGCGATGCCGATGCTGACCCCTCGCCGCCTGCACGCAAGCGGGTGAACATGGAAGAGGTGACAGAAATCAGGATCACTTCCTGTCCCTGCTTCCCCCCTGCCCTGCCCCTGTGGGCCCTCCCAGTGACTGGCTCGTGCTGAACATGGGAGAGGTGATGAGCGATGCCGATGCTGATCCCTCGCCACCTGCATGCAGAGAGAGGTGGAACGAGAGGAATGGAAAAGGTGGTGGGGTGGTGTGTGCTGAACATGGGAGAGGTGATGAGCGATGCTGATGCTGATCCCTCCCCGCCTGCACGCAAAGAGGAGTGAGGGAAAGGGGTGAGGAAAAGAGATATGGAGGAAGTGCTTCTTCTTGTGCTTGGCTTCGGCCTGCTGCCCCCCTGTCGGCCCCACTGCCTGGCTCGTGCTGAACATGGGTGAGGTGATGAGCGACGCTGACGCTGACCCCTCCCCACCTGCAACCGTGGAGCGAAGATGGGGACAAGAGGTAGGGGTAAGAGGTGAGGGGAGAGGTGAGACACAGAGGACACACCCCCTCAACTCGCACACACCCGCTCACCTCGTTTCGCCCCACTGCACACTCATCCATCCAGCCCCACCGCACACAACCCCTCCTCACCTCGAACGCCAGCAGTGTCAGAAGCAACTCGGATGCACAGCGGCCCCGATCGCGATATCTCCTCACACGCCACCCCTCCTCCTCGCCCCGGCCCCACCTCTTGGTACCCCACCCCTTCCCGCCCTGGATCAGAAGATGCCAAACCTCCCCGCCCCGGCTCAGAAGACGCCGAACCTCCCCGCCCCGGCTCATGGTAAGCCACGCTACGGCCCGGCACAGGACCCATCGTCACCAGCCTCGCCATCTTGTGCTGCTGCTTCCCTGCACCTGCACTCCCTCCTATGCTCCCTGCTGTGGCCCCTCCAACGCTCCCTGCTGCTGTGCTCCCTCCCACACCCGCCGCTGTGCTCACTCTCTCCCCTCCTGCTTTGCTCACCCCTTCTGCTGCTTGCATTCCCCCCTCTTCTGTTCTGATCCTCCCTGCACCTGCTTCCGTCGCACTCTCACCCCGGCCCCCTTCCTTCACTCTACTTGCCCCTTGCTGACTCTCCCTACTGGCTTCATGATGTCTCTTCACTCCCGCACCCCCTGCTGCTGCTGCCACTGCAGCTGCAGCCGTCGTAAGCACCGCTGCAGCTCCTGCTGCTACGGCAGTTGCTGCTGCACCTGCCGCTGCCGCTGCTCCTGCTGCTCCTGCTGCGACGCCCATGCCAGAGTGAGCAGGATGCCACGGCTCCCTAGGACTCCTCTCCTTCCTTGCTGCCTCGTCCAAATCCCGGACGTGGTCTGGAGACACTAGGCTCGGCGTCAGGCTTGAAGAGCCTGGGTTTGGCACCTGCAGGCTCGGCGGCCGCACTGCTTGCTGCCGAGCCTGCGGCTCAAGGCCAGGCACAGAGTGAGAAGTCCCTACTTCCTCCTGGGGTGCTTCAGTTGCTGCTGCTGCTGCTGCTGGTAAGCCTGCTTGTGGCGTATTTGCCGCAACTGCAGCTGTGGTAACCGTTACCGGGTCTGCTTCTCCTCCTTCGGCTCTCCCTGCTGCTGCTCTTGTTGTTGCTGATGTTCGTCCTGCTGATGCTCTTGTTGCTGCTGCGACTGAACCTCCTGCACATCCTGTCGCACCTCTTCCTTCCTTTTCCTCTTCGCCTTCCTCCTCCCCTTCCTCTTGCTCTTCCCTCTTCCCCGCAGCTCCCCTCATCGCCTCTCCGCCCTCCTTTCCCTCACCGTCCCCTCAACAGAAGAATCATCTGATTCCTCCTCCTCATCCTCCTCCTCCTCGTCCGCTTCTGTTTCAGACCCATTTGCTTTTTCCTCTTCTTCCTCCGCTTCCTCCCCTTCCTCCCTTTCCTCCTCATTCTCCTCTCCCTCCTCCCCTTCTGCATCATCCCCCCCACCACCCACACTCTCACCCTCCTCCTCTATCACATCATCGAAATCACCTGCTCCATTACTCACTACAGGAGTTGCTTTAGAATTCTCAATACACCGTCCATGACTGATCCACCCCAATCCTCCCTTCCCTCTCCTCCCTCGCATCCCCCATCCACCCCCACCTTCCCCCCCATCCTCCTCCCCTCCCAACACACTCTCCAACCACTCGCTCGCAACCCGGACCTCCGACCGAGCCCCAGTCCGACCCTCCACCCGAGCCTCGGACCGATCCTCCCGCCCGGTCCGGAAGCTCCCCCAAACCTTCCTGGCATCAACAGGCTCTAGTTTCAACAGCAGATCATCCCTCAAAATCAGACTCTTACCCGCCAAAGGGAACCCACCCCTGCCTAATCCCCTCTCCTCTGCAATCCCTCTCCCTCCCTCCACTCCCCTTACTCCCCTTGCTCTCCCCACTCCCACATCTGGTGTGCTTTTCCCTTCTGCCAACCCTTCAGGCTCCAACACACCAGCTACAGCACCACCATCTGTCCCACTCCTCCTAATCCCACCACCACCACCCAAACTACCCTCACCGTTACCCTCGCTACTATCACCCTCACCACTACCACTACCTTTAACAACACCGTTACCACCATCACTGTTGCTTTGGCCATAACTCCCAGTGCGGAGCATTCTCAATGCTCGCAGCGGCCCGCTCCAAAGCTGCTCCTGCTGAGCTGCCTGCTGCCCTAGCTCCTGGTCCAGCGCCCTTGTCCCCTCTACAAGCTGCCTCTCTATGCTCACTCGCCGCGCCCACTCCGCAATCCGCTGTGTCGGCGTACCCAGAGGTGTAACCACAGTTGTAACAGTCGGTGTACCTGCAGTTGTAACCATAGGTGTACCCAGTGTTGTAACCGTAGGTGTACCCGCACTTGTAACCGTAGGTGTACCTGCGGTTGTAACCGTGGGTGTGGTAACCAGAGGCTTACGTTCGGGAAAGGATATGGAGTGGGGAAGGGACGATTCAGCTGACCCGAGCCTCCTGTGAGCCGACAACCCCCACAGAGATTCACCTAAATCGCCTTCCTTTAAGTCACTCTCAATAGCAGCATCGTTCCCGCTTCTCCTCCTTCGGAGCTCTCGACTAGCGGAATTAGCAGCGATTGTAGTATTGACAGCAGAAGCGGAATTGGCAACAGAAGGGGTATTGGCAACAGAAGGGGGGGCGATCCTAGTAGACAAGGCAATGGCAGCAGAAGAGGCATCGACAGTGCTAGCACGTGACGGTTTTTGAGGCGCCTCAACGGCAGCAGAAGAGGCATCGACAGTGCTCGCACGTGACGAGCGACGGCTAATGCCGGTAGCAGCGCCGCTGGTGCTGCTGTTGCTGCTGCTGCTGCTGCTGCCACTGTTGACGCTGAACGGATTCTGGAACCGGGGTTAGAAGAGCGGTGTTGCCAGCAGTCGCAGCAATCGGGGCAGCAGCAGCAGTAGGCGGGGTGTGGAGGGCGGAATTGCCAGCAGTAGCAGAAGCATCGGAGGGGAGAGGGGCAATGAGAGGCGAGGAGATGAGCCGCGGTAACTGTGTTGTGGCGAGAGTGGTATCAGAGCCTGCAACGCTTGACACACTGACGGGCAGAGCACAGGGGGGGCGGTGGCTTTCTTGCTCCTGCTGCTCCTCTTGCTGCTCCCCCTGCTGCTGCTTCCCCTGCTGCTGTCCCTCTTTCCACCCCATCTCAGCTTCACACCCACCCTCCGCCCTCCCACTCCCACCCTCAACATTCCCACTCCCATTACCGCCATGAACTGTCCCCTGCTCTGCCAAACCATGAGCCATGGCCTTCGCCGGGCCAGCCGCCGTGCCTCTGGCTTCCACCAAGCCTGCAGCGCCGACCAATGCCGAACCTGTCTTGGAGGTTCGGTTCTTGCTGCTGCTAACATAGCTGTCGTGTGAAACTGCTCTTGGTACCATCCCTTGCTCCGAACCTTCCAGTGCCCCACACTCGCTTTGCCCTTCCCTCCCTCCATCCCCCTCGCTCCCTCTTCTCTCTCCCTCCTCCTCTCTCCCTCCCTCTCCTCTCCCTCCTCTCTCTCTGTCTCCTCTCTCTCTCCCTCCTCTCCCCTCCTCGTCCCTCCTCTGCCCCTCATCCCCACTCCCCTCACCATCCCACAGCACACCCTCCCTCTCCCCCCCACTAGACCACCTCCCCACCTCCGCATCCCCTTCCGCCCCTTCTTCCCCCGATCTACCCCCTGCAAGCACCCCATCCTCGGACCTATACCCCGCAGGGTAGAACACCCCTTTCCCATCCTTCAACCCATGACTCCACGTCCCCTCATACCGACTCCCATCCGCCCATACAAACGTGCCCGGCCCATGCTCATACCCGCCCTCCCACTCCCCCTCGAATCTATCCCCACTCGCCCAAGCAAACGCGCCGAATCCGCTCATGGTCCCCGCCTTCCACTCCCCGAAATACTCATTTCCGTTGCGCCATTTGTACCGCCCCGGACCTTCCGCCGCGCCCCAGCTCCAGAACCCCTCGTACGAATCCCCGTTAGGGTAAATTTTCCTGCCCAGCCCGTGCTTTATTCCGGCTGCCCAGTTGCCCGTGTAAAAAGATCCGTCCGCGCCCCAATACGTTCCCACTCCTTGCATCTGCCCTTTTTTCCATTCCCCCTGATACCTCGCCCCTGACGGCCATAAAAACATTCCCTGCCCGTTTTTCTGCCCCTTGACCCACTCCCCCTCGTATACGCTCCCGTCAGCCCACGTGTAACACCCGAGGCCGTGTGGTAACCCGCCGCCGACGAGTAACCATCCGCCGTAATACGTGTCGCCGTTGGGGAATTCTTTCGCCACCTCGATCGCTTCGTCGCGCGCCTTGGGCCACACGGAGCCGAACGACAGCCGCGCGGTCGGCGCGGGGGAGCTGCGCGGCGGCGCAAAGCCCGCGGACGGCGCGGGAGGGGGCGGGGGCGGAAGAGGGCTGGCGGAGTGAGAGGCGGGGAGATGGGGCGCGGCGGGGGAAGCGATAGGGGTCATGGAGCCGGAACCGGGACCGGAAGAGGCGGAAGGCTGCGACGATTGTAAATTTGGGACCGAGCGGCTTGAATGAAAGGCCGTAGATGATGCAAGCTGTGCTGATCTGCCACCTGAGCCGTTGGTTGCGCGTACCATGGCGCACGACTAACACTGAACGGCAGTAGGGCGGTGGAATAGAGAAGGCAGTGGCCGAGGGTGAATTCTTGGAATGAAAGCGACGAGAAAACGGAAGGGCATGATTCGCTGGTTTAGGGTGTCAGTCACTGTCACTTGCTGTGAGTTAGAATCACCATCACGTGGCATCAAGGGCCGTCAGATGCCATAACTTAGTTAGCGGAAGACAAAAAGGTACAATAAGGGCGCGTGTGATCCAAGGATTTTTGTCAAAGTTCGAACTCAAACCGCTTTGCATCGTGGAGAGACATCGCTCAATTGTATCCTACCGTGTAGAACCTTTCTAAAAGTTCGAACTTTGGGAAGTTCGAACTTTGATCACACGCCCGCTAAATAACGTAATGACCCTCAACGTGCGGGGATAGCTCAGTTGGGAGAGCGTCAGACTGAAGATCTGAAGGTCGCGTGTTCGATCCACGCTCACCGCAAGATTTTGACTACTCTTGATCTAGATTGAATCCTGGTACACCCCTGTACACTACCCCCATTCCACTCCACCCTCAAATGCCATCTACCAAGGTAGTCTCTTCTCGGATGCATGCTGAGTCGGCCCTGGTTATCCTTCCTTTTGATCAATTTCATCAATTACTTGATTGTTGCCTATTCTCCTCGTAACTCTGTTGTACTATTTGACGATTTCTTATATGACACTTTACTACATGGCATAAAAGCTTTGGGCATGTATGACATTCATAGTTTGAATCAGCCTGTACAGGATACGTGATTCTTTGACCAGGGAGCCGCTTGATTGGGTCGTTGACCTGGCCATCAACGAGAGAAGTTTGCCGATGGTTTCGCGGAAGTGCAGGCCCGCACCGCACTACACTCCCCTCCAGCAGTTAGGGCGCGTGTTTTTTGGTTTTTACATACAAAACTCGAATTTTTTGTTGAACTGTAGTCATATGAACCTAGCTCGAGCTAGGCTCGAGTTTTCACCAACTGCAAACCGAGCCGCGGTTCCACCCCTCCCGAAAATCACGCGACAAACAAAAGTTCAACTATCGAAGTTGAACTTTTGCAGCCCAGCCGAGCCGCGACCTACGCTTGTAGGTTACCCGGTTTGGGCTCTTGACATCGCGCCACCGGGACTCGCGCTGACGAGCACCCTCGTGCGCACGATGCTAGCTGCGAGCGTCGCAGACTTCGCATCGTCGCTGTCAGTGATGAGGTGGACACACGCTCGCACATTCGTGCCAACCTGTTTGTTGATGAGGGTTCAACTTGGGGGCTCAACATTTCCCGACGCCGGAAGTGTACGTGGACACACAACGTCCTGGCGAATGGTTTGGCGAAATTAAAGAAAAGGGTAACCAGCAAAAGTTCAACCAAAAATCCGAACGTCTACACCAAAAGACACGCGCCCTTACTGACCGAACAGCCTGCCCCTGATGACGCCTTCTCGCCGCACGAGGTGAGCGGGGACAGCAAAAGTTCAAACCTGCACGACAAGCTGCCAGCTAGGCTGCCCAGATGGAAGGTCCAGATCAGCACGACCCCATGACACGCGCGCTTCCCAAGAAAGCACGAGCTTCCCACCGACTCTCCCCGCATCGTGTGAGTTTTTTTCCCGAAAGTCTGGAACCCGTAACAAGGCTGTGATTCATGAAGCTCGTAAAGTGCGTTCCTCCATGATCTGGGGCATGACTCAGCTTTGTTTGCGGCTCTGAATGCTTCGCGGCTCGGTTACACGCCACCGACTGCCCTCCGATTTGTTTGCAAAATTTTCCCCAAACTCGCCGCATGTCACGGAGCCTCATTCAACCAGAGCCAGACACAGTCAGCTTGGCGGGGAAGAATGCACTCTTCACGGGGCCGGGCCGCATGCAATCGGTCCCGAGTCGCACATTCGAAATTATTGGAGAATTGAGGGGCAAAGAACAGTGACTCGAAGGAAGCTCGCTGGTGATACAAATTTGCGAGGTTTCCAGTAATCTCGCAACACATACAAGCGACTTCCGCTCCCGTGCTAATCAAGCATCCGCTGAGTCAGCGTGCAACTTCTTTCAAAACAAAAGCAAGAATCGTCCTCTTCAGTTCTTCGTCGACCGACTCAGGCTAGGGTACCTTGCGAGCACATTCGACAGAAGCATCTGTCCCAGTCAGCCCAAACCTCTAACCTAAATTCCTAAGGCAAAAGCCAACGACCAACGGTTAGACCTCGACTCAGACAACGATCTAGTGAGTACCGAGGATCCATAAAAATGGCGTGTGCTGCCGGGTTGGCCCAGATTTCCTATCAGGCAGCGCCAGCCATTGGATCAGATCTCTCCATTTCCATTCCCAGGCGCTCCTTTACTCCAGCTAGCTTCGGCAGCTCTACAATCTTGAAACGCCACGTCCCGTCGAGATTCACGGCCTCTGCGAGTACGCTCACTTCTTCCGCGTCTTCCTGCTGTAATTCCGCGTTTGCCGCCGTGACGACCGGCGTTACTGCCACCGCCGCAACTGACACACCATTCCTAGAGCCGTCACCGTCGTCTTCGCGTCGTCGCATCATGCCTCCGTCGAACACAGCCGCGCGAAGTCCAATCAGCGGAGGCGCTACTACCACGTGGCCGTCCTTCACGTCTCCCTCCCCACGGCCTCCCCCAACCCCTTCTCCGCGCCCGCGCGGGCCCCTTTCCCCGCGCCCCGGCGCTGGCGGAGCGGCCTCCGCCGCTGTCTCCCCCAGCAGGCGGCGCTGGCGGAAGGGGCTGCTTGTCGCGAACGGGCTCGCCGCGCTTTACGGCTCCGCGTGCACCGTGAATCGCGTCGCGGAAGCAGCGCCCACTCATATCTCCGACGTCGCGCCACATTTCGCGCCGCATCTCGCGGCCGTCATGGATCACGTGCCCTCCGAATTCGCCTCGCCGATCAAATTCGCCGCGGCGGCCCTCCCGTTCGCCCCTGCTGCCGTCAGCACCTTCACAGTCGCAGCAGGCCGCCTGGTCGACGGTGCGCGACGTGAGACGACCGCGTCTGCCCAAGGCGCGGCGTCACAGCCTGTGCTGGAATCAACCGGGACAGGCGAGCCCGCTGACGGAATTGCTTCGCCGCCGGTGGAAGACAAGAACTCGGAGTCATCCCAACATGAGTCGGAGTCCTCTGCGGTGGTACTGGCGGGACTGGAGTTAGCAGCGTACAGCTTCCTGGGAGACCTGCTCTCGCAGTTCACCAATGCTGATACTGCCTCCACTCCCATGCTGCTGCTGCTCTCGGTACGTCACGGATGCTCCTACTCCCGGGCTTTCAGCCTGCTCTCACACCCAGCATTTCCTGCACCATGAATGACTATGCGAATGCAATGACGCTTGTGAATTCCCTCGCATTCGCGTCACATCCTGTTGCTTCTTCCCCACCTCTTCCAGTATAATCAATCTCGTTTTTACTGCTATTCCCCCATCCTCGCCTCCCCCCCCCGCAGGTGCTCATCCTCCCAATCCTCCAACTCACCGACCGTCTCCGCCACAGACCCGCCACCGCCTCGCCCGCGCCCAGCAACAGCAGCACCACCACCCGCACAACCCGCGCACCGCTCGTATCCGCGCTCGTCGCAATGCTGGCGCTCGTAGCAGCCAGCGGAGCGGCCTCCCCCGCAGGCGCTGCCGCAGCTCCCTCTGCTCTCTTCACCACCCAGGGGCAATCGTTGCCCCTGTCAACACCATGGCCCGTGCTAGCCTGCCTGCTCTCCCTCCTCTCCTTACTCCGCTGTGAATCCCACTGCACCCGCTTCGACCCGCTCGTTCTCACTGCTGTCCAGACCTCCTCGCTCGCCTCCCTCTCCCTCGTCTCCTCCCTCCTCTTCCACCTCCTCTCCTCCTCCTCAGCCTTCCCACACGGCATCCTACCGGAAACCCTCACCAGTGCCACCCACATCCCAGGGACCAGCGGAGTAGCGCTGCTGCCGCTCATATTCAGCGGATTCATGTGCTCGGGGCTTGGCACTTGGATGGAAACGAATTGCCTGCAGGACCTACCGGCTCCTGCTCTCATGCTGATATTCACCTCGATTCCAGTTTGGGGCGGGTTGCTGGCTGCCTTGGCGCAGGGAGAGGTGCCAGAGGCAGGGCTGGGAGTGGCTGGTCTCGTGGTGGCTGCTGTGAATGCTGGTGCATGGGCTCTCGTGACACGCCATAGCAGCAGCGACAGCAGTGGCGGCATGGGCAGCAATGTATACAATGGGATCTGTGCTGTGGAAGAAAATGGCCCGGCTGCAGCAAATGCTGCAGACAACGATGCAGAGAAGGCAGCCAAGACTGCTGCCTCAGTTCCAGTGGAACAGTTGAGCAACTCCCTAGTGGCATCTCAACTCAAGGTGCCCTTCTACTCCACCAAGGCTAAGAGCCTGCTGCTCAAGCTCAAGCTTAAAGCCAAGGTGGCTGGGGCTAAGGTGCTGGGGGGGAAACTGGGCGTGAAAGCTGCAGCTGCCGGTGCGTATAGTGCTTCTCATGTGCTGACGTCGGCTGTGGGGAGTGGGAGCTTCGGAGCCAGTGCTGCTGATGCTGCTGCAGCAGCTGCTACAGGCACGGTTGACGCTCTGTCGTCGATTGGCAGTGGTATGGCGATTCCATCTTTCGTCAGCAGCAGCAGCACAGGCAGCAGCATGCCGTTTGTGCATCATGCTCCTAAGGTCATGCTGAGCATCCTTCCAGCCACTCCTCCTGCTGGCCTTTTCTCCTCCATGCATCTCCATGATCTGCTTCACGTCATTCCGTCCTCCATTACCCACCTTGTACAATGATAGGGATGGGGACGGAGGTGCAATAGGATGATCAGAACAGGAGATGGGATGGAGAGAGCAAGTAGTGACTGTATTTATGTGGGAGTGGTTGGTACTGAATGGGATTCCTACCCATTCAGAACCAACCATTCCCACCGGTTTTTGTTTGGGGTACGGGTGCTTGGTCCAACAAGCGCTGAAATTATTGGCCAGGATAGTCGCTCCTATCCTGACCAGTAATTTCCACGCCTGTTATGCTTCTGTTTGTATGTGTATTATTTGAAAAGAATGTACACGGTTCATTTCATGTGTATGGTTTGCAGGGTGTGTAGATGGAAGGTTTTGAAGTGCAACATTATATGATAAGCTGAACTATTTATCGCATTGAAGTTTCCCAACCTCGGTGCTTTCAAGGGAGCACCTTTCACCATACCCTGCAGCAGCATTGCCTCCGCCCTCTCACTTCGTAGTACGAAGTTCGTACGTACATCTGCATGATGCGCTTCGTCGTACTTATGCATCATTCGCTTCGTACATCCGCCGCTCCGCAAATCATGCATCTGGGATACGCCTAGGATTCTTTGCAGTTGACGTTTCGCCGTTGTGAGAGTAGTTTCAAGCTTCGGACCCGCAACACCCGGCGAGCCTCCGTCATTGCACGCTCGAACCGAGCCTGAAGCACGTATGGTATGCACCGCGAGTGGCCTATCTTTTTTGTTTGAGACGTCTAAAAAAACGCTCGATCCGACTTAGTTTTCGAATGCTAAGCACCGCGACTAGCCTAGAAGCTTCGGGTTGCCACCTCCCATGGCGGATTTTGAGACCGATTCTCGGCACCCGCGACTTGCGCCTGATGCGCAGAGCGTACACGATACCACGTCATCATCCGGCGGCGTGACTTGGCAGGCGTCGTCCCCAGCCTCGTCATCTTCATGGTGGCGTAATTTCATAAGAGCAGCCGTCCACGTCAAGATTCCCTCCACCGCTGACGTGGCAGGCCTAGCTGGCGGCGTCGCCGTTTCCGCGCCTCCCGCAGCTGCAAGCACCAGCGCCAGCGCGAGCGGCATGCGCGGCGTCACTAGCGCCGGCGCAGGCAGCAGCAGCAGCAGCAGCAGCAGCAGCGCGGGTTCGAGGGTAATTCACCCTTTCGAGCCCGTGAGCCTTGGGAATACCGAGGACAACCCGCTTTTGGCGAAAATCTACACAATCCGCGAGGCGGATGAGAAATACGGCGCAGAGAATGCAGCAGGAGCTAACATCCCGATGCCGCCACCTCCCAAGCCCCCTGCGCTCACGCGCTCGCTCTCCCTCCTCGACCTCATCCTCCTCGGCATCGGCGCTTCCATTGGCTCGGGGATTTTCGTCGTGACAGGTGTCGCCGCGCGATCGGCCGGGCCGGCCGTGTCCCTATCCTTTCTCGTAGCCGGCCTGGCCTCTCTCCTAAACGCGCTCTGCTACGCCGACCTTGCCGCCCGCTTCCCCGGCCGGGTGGGTGGCGCGTACCTGTACGCGCACGCGTGCCTGGGGCAGCTCGCGTCGTTTGTCCTGTTCTGCCACCTGGTGCTGGACTACCACGTGGGGGCGGCGGCGATCTCTAGGAGCCTGGCGAGTTACTTGGCGAATCTGGTGGAGGTGGCATCTGGGGCAGGGCTACCTGCCGTGTTCGCACCAGGAGGCATGCCTGTGTCCATCCCCGTGCCGTTTGTACCCGCACTGGACCTTTCGATCAATCTCGCTGCGCCAGCTGTCCTGCTGCTCCTCTCATGGCTGCTGTGCCGGGGGGTGCGGGAAACCTCACTCGTGAACGACGTGATGACGTCAGTCAAGGTGGCGATAGTGGTGCTGGTGGTGGCTGTGGGTGCAGGGCATGTGAACCCTGCCAATTGGTTCCCCTTCTTCCCCCCATCGCTCGACACCCTGTTGAACTCCGCTGCTCCTGCTGCCGCCTCTGCTGCCGCCCCTGCTGCTGCTGCCACAGCCGCAGCCGCAGCCGCTGCCACTGCCACCGCCGCTGCTGCCACTGCTGCAACTACTGCTGCGTCTGCTGCCGCAGCTGCGTCTGCTGCTGCAAGCAGCACGGGCAGCAGCATGGGTGGCGTGCAGGCAATGCTATCAGCCTCTGCCCTCGTCTTCTTCTCCTACATCGGCTTCGACGCCGTCGCCAACACCTCCGAAGAGTCCCTCCACCCCCGCCGCGACGTGCCACGGGGTCTTCTTATCGCGCTCGCTGCCTGCTCCCTCCTCTACATCTCCGTCTCCCTCGTCCTCACCGGCATGGTCCCGTACAACCTCCTCGACCCCTCAGCACCGCTCTCCACCGCGTTCGCCTCCCTCGGGCTGCATTTCATGGAGAGGATTATCGACGTGGGGGCTGTAGTGGGGCTGACAACAACGCTGTTGACCGGGCTGTATGTTCAGTCTCGCATGTATCTGGCGTTGGCGAGGGATGGGATGCTGCCCGTTTGGTTTTTGCAAGTGAATGCGGGAAGCCATGTGCCAGTGCATGCGCAGTGGTGGGTGGGGGGAGTGGCATCGGCGATGGCGGCAGTGTTTGATGTTGGGAAGCTGTCGCATATTCTGTCGGTGGGCGTGTTACTGAGTTACTCTATAGTGTGTATGTGCGTGCTGGCGCTAAGGGTGGAATCGTATCATGGAGGGGGGAGTGGCTGTGTCAGCGTGGGGGAGGAAGGGGAAGAGCGATTGGATGATGCACTTTTGGCATGCACGGGTGTAGTCACCAGCAGCAGTATACCTGGTAATGAGCCGGCTACAACAGGGCACACACACGTTCCGCCACCTCCGCATTGGATTACCCAATGGGGTGGCGACAAGTGGCATGAGGCTGTGGTGTATTAATGTCTGTGCCTTGGTTGCCTGTGTCCTTGCCTTGGGATTCGCCACTAGCTTCGCTGCGCCTTGGCTGCTGCTCGCTCCGCTCTTCCTCCTGTCGCTTGCATCTTCTGCACCGTTATTCCTCACTCAACGCTACAGTGTGCCTCCATCTGGGTTTGCCTGCCCATGGGTCCCGTTTGTGCCGCTTGTGGGAATCTGCGTGAACATGTATTTGCTCGCGCAGAGGGACATGGTTGCCTGGGTGCGGCTGTTTGCGTTAACTGCGATGGCGCTGGTCGGATTCTGGTGGAATGTTAGGCGATCAGTGCAAGGATCTTGTGGATGATGCGCGGTATTGATACAAGCCATTACAAACACTTTGTACATATTCCATTTGCTCATTTGTTATTGTGGTACAATCTTCTTAGGCGGTGCTTATGTTCAAGGGGTAGTCAGTAGCTTTTGTTGAAGTTGCTCGTATCGGTGAGCCAGGTGGGTTTTCTCGCACGACGTTTTTCGAACGATGCCTTTCTGCACATCGCAGATGCGACAATGGACCAGACACTGAGCACGCGTCACCTGAACGCCGATCCCGCGATCGAAAAATTTCGTGGTTCAAAAACCGTCTAAAACCTTTTGAATGCAGAACGCAGGTTTCCAGTGCGGTCAAAGATCGGTTTTTGCAGGATCGTCGTTCAGGTGACGCGTCCTGATGATGGATACCAGCCACTGGCGACCTACAAGCTGCTGTCGTTTTCGTACAGTAACGCACACGCACTGTACAAGTTATGGCAAGGCCTTGTCGGGGCTGGGTCTGTTTCGCACAGATGAGCGAAAGTGTGCGAGCTTCTCATACTTGGTTACCACAAAGTAACAGACCTTGGGATTTTCGCATTTAGCTACAGGGGCATTCTGAACGAACTGCTTTCCCGTGTGGATTTCTTTCAACCGCTTTTCCCTTATTTCATGGCGGCCCTAGATTATGCCGCCTAGGATCCTGAAGCCCGAAGACGTTTCGCACTCGCTACCGCTGTTATAGCTACTGGGTAGTGCGGAATTGTCATTGTGAACGCATACTTTCGCTCGGAGACTGTGCCGCATATCACGGATAACGAATTCGTTCATTTGGTGGACGGGTTATCTCCTTGCGAGTTCTGACCTAAGTTGACCGTGCAGAGCTCACATTGAGTGAATGATCAATGCAAACGCCAGGGTTGTAGATCGTATATCTGCGCATGGCGATGCAACGATTTAATAAGTATCGTTAGTCAGCGCTCAATGCACGTGTAGCAGCCTACGTTCTGGCTCCGCTGTAGTCTCTTATTTATGCTCTCGACCTCCCAATATTCTTAGCCGTTTTCGTTACGACCAGGCTTAAGCTTTTCGTGCAAGCTCTCTTCCGTCAGTTCTTATATTTAGCCTTATACGTTCAGGTCTCTCCGCACCTAGTGGCGACGACGCGATGCGTTTTAACGACTCTCGGTTCTAGCGACATCGCCGCCTATCGTGCACATTCAAACCTTAGATTAGACTTCTTTCGGCGTGCCTCTCGCAATGAGTGGCCTAGACGCTCCCATGATGGACCTTCCACGGCCCAGGTATCAAGGGGTGAGTTGACCTTCTCACGCCACCTTCCTTGTAATGCCTGAAGTATGTCCCATTGCGTAGCCTAGACGCTCCTATGCTCACCTTTCTCAGCCCAGGTATCAAGGTGTGAGTTGGTCCTCTGACCTTCCGGATAATGCCTTGAGGTTCGATTCAGTGGACTCTCCAGGTGAGTTTGTCGCAGTGAGTTGCGTACAGGCTCTTAACCTTCCGCGTACCCAGGTATCAAGGGGTGAGTTCGTCTCTTAGGATCTCCTGAAACGCCTGAACGTTTGTCATCGTTTTCCGAAACAGCGCCACTCCATGAAAATCCCTCGCATGAGTGCCTCCGGCGTTTCCGTGATGGGACGGGAGCGGCTTACACGATGCTTTGCCTTTTCTCGTTTCCCCCCTCCTCCCGTCGTCTCCATTGGCGATCGGGATGCGTGCGTCCAATCACTGTCCGACAGGTGTACAAGAGTGGCCATCTATCCGTCTCGTCAAAAGGTGAGCCTTTGCGGGGGAAAGCAGGAAAAGTAACCTTTCAGTCATCCTGATCAAGTATGAGGAATAGTGGCAACGTTTAAGCCAATGGATTGTTCCAACCATCCTGACCACCGCTTCTGTATTTCTATTATTTTTCTCTCTCTCTTCACTTTCTCTGCATCCGATGTTTGCGTCATTATCCTCTCAGACCATTCTTTGTCTCCCTCTGCCTCACCTCACCTGTCTTATCTCTCACTCACCTCTCGTTCCTTTTCTCAATCTCTCCTTCTCCTCGCAGGTCTGGGGTGGAAGTCATGGAAGCGGCGCTGGTTCCTCCTCACGCGCTCCTCCCTCATCTTCTTCAAGCACGAACCAGTGAGTGTCATTGTAACGAGCCATTAAATGTAACCGTATCGAGCCAATGAATGTGACTATAACGAGCTAGTGATTGGGAAGGACGATAATGCGTGCAATTCTGTTGCTTGTCGTGCCAGTCTGGCTGACTAATTCAACAGCTTCTGCTTCAGACTTACAGACTTATCTACCTCTCCCTAACTCCCTTTTCCAACCCCACACTTCCTCTCCCTTTGCTCTGGCAGAGGGGTCGCATCGACATCTCAACAGCCATCGGAGGCATTGAGTTCAACAACGCCGGCAAGTAAGACCACCCCTCCCTCCCTCTCGCCCTCTACTTGCTTGATCCCCATCTGCCTTAGTCCCTATCTGCCCTCGTCTCCGTCTGCCGTTGTTCCCATCTGCCCTCGTTCCCATCTGCCTTACACCCGCGCATCATAAGCTCCCACGTTGTGCAATCATGTTTGGGGATATGTTTATCATGCGGTCGTCATTGTGCTCCAATACCATACGTGCAACACACAGGGTGCACATCAGGCCGGACAAGAAGCAGCTCTCCCTCGCCTTCCCCTCATCCTGGTTCTCTTGTTCCACGTGCTCTTATGTGTGCACCCCTCACGTGCGCTCATAACCTGCTCCCATCCCACGAATGCAACACACAGGGTGCACATCAAGCCGGACAAGAAGCAGCTCTCCCTTTCCTTCTCCTCATCCTCATTCATTTTCCATGTGGTCTTGCATGTAATCCCCACACGTACCCCCATCCCATGTGCGCCACACACAGGGTGCACATCAAGCCGGACAAGAAGCAGCTCTCCCTCACCTTCCCCGACGGCCATGCATTCACCTTCAAGGTCAGTGGGATTAACATGCCGTCCCATCACCCCCTGTCCCTTCACAATGCCCTAAGCATATCCTCGTCATCCCCCTATGCCTTCCCTGATACATGCTGGACACTGGAGGATCTGGAGGAGTGGAGGGACGCATTCGGGGACGCCATTTCCAAGGCGCCTCCCCTGTCCTGCCCATCCCCCAGTTCCCATTATCCCCCAATCCCCAATCGCCCTCCTGTTGCCTCCTCCTGTGCCCTCGCCTCTTTCTTCTTCTCTTTCTCTTACCCATGCAGACGGACACACTGGAGGACCTGGAGGAGTGGAGAGACGCGCTCGAGGATGCCATTTCCAAGGCCCCTCCTCTCCTGCCCGTCACCGTCATGACCCCTCCGTGCTCCCAATCTTTCTGCTACCCATGCAGACGGACACACTGGAGGACCTGGAGGAGTGGAGGGACGCGCTCGAGGATGCCATCTCGAAAGCCCCTCCTCCCTCCGTGATGATGGGTCTGCCCCGCGACACGCTCTTTAGAGGCGACGGGCTCGACATAGGGGACAATGACGGACCCCCAGGCCCAGGTACGTGCTCTCAGTCCTGGCCTTCTTGGGCTTGCACATGCATGCATGGGCCTCCGTCCCCCTCCGTGGACCGTGATGATGGGTCTGCCCCGCAGCACACTCGTCCAAGGATATGCGCTTGGCATTGGGGACGGACAACGACAGGCCTCCTCGACCAGGGGTACGTGAGTGATCCTTGTTTAATCTTTGGCTTGTTGTGTTCAATGCCCCTGTTCCCCCCCACAGGACCGCGTTCGTGTCCTTGATCCTTGCCCTGGGCTGTGCTCAGTCATGCATGTGTTGCGCTGCTGCAAGCCATGCTGTCGTGTCGCTCCTTCTCTCCGCTTCCTCACCTCATTCCCTCGCCTTTCTGCCAACTCTTTTGAACCATGCCCATGCCCCCATTCACACCAGGCAAGGAGCGGCGCTTGCGATCCATGCTGCTGTGCCGCCCCTTCTCCCTCGCCCTAGAGGACGTCAACGGCTCGCCCTCCTTCCTCGAGAAGGCTCTGCAATTCATCGAGCTTCACGGTGAGCCTTCTCCAGTTCATGTGCCCTCGTGCTGTCCCTCATGCGCCCTCGTGCATGCCAACTACTGTCAAGCCTCGGCTCGTGCTCGAGTCTCTGAGAGCTAGAGGACGTCAACGGCTCGCCCTCCTTCATCGAGAAGGCTCTGCAATTCATTGAGCTCCTCGGTGAGTCTCCCTGGGCTAAAATGCCTGCATTCTCACTCTCATGTGCCGCGTGTTCGTGCTCTTAATCCCGTGCTAAATCCCCTAGAGCTCCGTGCTTGAGTGCCCTTCACCTAGACCTAGGTGACGTCAACATCTCCCCGTCTCTCCAGGGAAGGCACTGCAGTTCATTAAGGTTCAAGTGATGACCCTCGTAACCTCATGCGCTCCTGCCCTTGTGGCCCCATGCTCACTGTCATGAGCCCCTCCTTCCTGCTGTGCTGCCAGGGGTGAAGCTGGAGGGCATCCTGAGAGCAGCGGCGGACGTGGAGCAGGTGGAGAGGCGTTTGAAGGAGTACGAGGAGGGGCACACGGAGTTTGAGGATGGGGAGAACCCACACGTCGTGGGCGACTGTGTCAAGGTGGGTCTTCCACCAGATGGAATGCCCCCCCCCCAACCTCCCCCTCCTCCTCCCCCACCCCGCACCCCCCCACTCTTTCTCTTCTCCTTTACCCCATTCAAGTCGAGTCAGCAATCACCTTCTCGTCATCCTCCTGCTCCAATCCCTCCTCTCCTTCGCCCTACTTGACTCCCATTCTCATCCCTCTTTCTCTAACCACCCCCCCCGCAATCCATGCATGCGTGTCCCCAGCTTGTCCTTCGGGAGTTGCCAACATCCCCTGTACTGCCATATGCCTGCACCGCCCTCGACCAAGCTTTCCGTGAGCCCTCATGCTTGCTCCCTCAGAATCCATGTCTGTAGATTCCTGTTTTCCCCAAATTCGTCTGTCGCCTTCCCTAAAGTCTCTTCTTACTGCTGAAATTTGCCTCTTCTCCCTCCAAACCTTCCCCTGGCCCCAACCCTTCCCCTTTCCCACCACTCTCCTTCTCCCCACTACCTTTCTCACCACTCCTCCTCACCACCCTTCCTGACCACCGTCCCCACCACCCCCCCAACCACCCTTCCTCCCTACCACCATCGCCCTCGTCCACGCCAGAGCTGGAGGAGGTGGAGGCGAAGCTAGAGGCAGTGCGTAATGCCATGCTCAACCTGCCTGCCTTCCCTCCCTTTCCTCCCCACCACCCCTCCGCCCAATCCCACCACCATCTCCCCCCTCGCCCCCACGCCAGAGCTGGAGGAGGTGGAGGCGAAGCTAGAGGCGGTGCGCAACGCCATGCTCAACCTGCCCGAGCCCAACCGCCGCCTGCTGCACCGGTATGCACTATGTGGTGCTGTGGGGGGCATGTGGGAGCGTGGGGGACATGGGGAGCATGGGTGGGAGCATCGGAGCATTAAGAGCTAGAGGCTGTGCGCAACGCCATGCTCAACCTGCCTGAGCCCAACGGGCCTGTTGCACCGGTAACCATGGATGGGCATGGGGCATTGGGCTCTGGTGTATGCTGTATTGGATTATGGGGTTATGGTGGGCCATGGGGTATGTATGGGGCATGGGGTAGGGAACATGGGGTATGGGGTATGATATGGTCATGGGCATGAGGTTCAGAAGCCTCGATTCTGTTCAAGGCAAACCGATTTTTATTGGACCTGACTAGTTCCACCCATATCTCTGCCTCCGCTCCTCTCACCTTGCCTTCCCTTCGTCCCACAGTGTGCTGCAGACCATGATCGCTATAACCAACAACGAGGCAGTCAATAGGATGAACGCTTCTGTCGTGACTCCCTCTTCCCCTTCCCTCTGCCCCCTATTCCTGCCTCCGCCACCCTCCCCTCCCTTCGTCCCACAGTGTGCTGCAGACCATGATCGCTATAACCAACAATGACGCAGTCAATAGGATGAACGTCTCTGCCTGTCTCCCTCTGCCCTTTGCCTCTGCCCCTTCCCTCTGCCCTGTCCCTCCGCGTCCACTCCTCTCCCCACCTCACAGTGTGCTGCAGACCATGATCGCTATAACCAACAACGAGGCAGTCAATAGGATGAACGCTTCTGTCGTGACTCCCTCTTCCCCTTCCCTCTGCCCCCTATTCCTGCCTCCGCTACCCTCCCCTCCCCTCGTCCCACAGTGTGCTGCAGACCATGATCGCTATAACCAACAACGAGGCAGTCAATAGGATGAACGCGTCCGCCGTCGCAGCCTGCATGGCGCCGCTGCTTTTTCGCCCTCTTTTCAGCGGGGAACTTCAAACATCGTCCAAGGGCGATGACGATGGGGAGGACGGTGCTGCTGCAGCGGCAGCTCAGATCATGGCTCTCACCATGGCCGCGAACCAGGCGCAGACCATGACGATTTACCTCATGGAGAATATCGATAAAGTGTTTGTGGTGAGTGGTTCCTTAATGGGTATTAAGCGGGTGTTGGTGCTGCTGCCAGTGCTGCTGCGGCTGCCGCTCAGATCATGGCTTTCACCATGGCAGCGAATCAAGCGCAGACCATGACCATCTATCTCATGGAGAATATCGATGAAGTGTTTGTGGTGAGTGCTGTGTGGTGTATGTGTGGGTGCTTGCTGTGTGAGCATTGAATGGGCAATGAGGATGGGGAGGACGGTGCTGCTGCAGCAGCTCCTCAGATCATGGCTCTCACGATGGTTGCCAACCAGGCTCAGACCATGACCATTCACCTCATGGAGAACATTGATAAAGTGTTCGTGGTGAGTGCTTTCTGTGCGGTCTTTGTGGTGAATGCTTGCTGAGTGCTACTTGATTGAGCATTGAATGGATGCGGTGCGGGGAATGGGAAGCATACCGCCTCTCCTGCTGCTGGCTGCAGCGACGGCTCTCAAATCATAGCTCTCACAATGGCAGGCAGCGAACCAGGACCATACCATGACGATTTACCTAATGGAGAAGATCGGCAAGGTCTTCGTGCGTGCTTCCTGGTGGATGATGATGACGATGTTGCTGTGCCTACCTGTCTTCCTCTCCTCCCGCACCCCTTTCCAGGGCGAGGCACTTGGCAGGGGTCTGGCACGCGGGGTATACAACGGGGCGGCATGGGACGATGAGGATGACGAAGAGGGCGAGCTGGTGGACGATGATTACAGACAAGACGGTTCTTCCACGTCTCATTTTTCTGTTGCCTCCCCACAAACTCCCTCCCCAATTCTTCCCTCCCAGGGCGAGGCTCTAGGTCGTGGGCTTACCAGGGGGGTTTACAGCGGGGCGGCGTGGGATGATGAGGATGACGAGGAGGGTGAGCTGGTGGATGATGATGACGATGCTGCTGTGCCTACCAGCCCTTTCTTCCTCACTCCCTGCTCTGCCTGAAACCCTGTCTCCCATCCCACTCCACCCCAGGGCGAGGCTTTAGGGCGTGGGCTTGCAAGGGGCGTTTACAGCGGGGCGGCATGGGATGATGAGGACGACGAGGAGGGCGAGCTGGTGGATGATGATGACAATGCCAAGAGATTCATCCCACCTCTTCCCTTTTTCACCCCCTCCCTCACCCGAACGCTCGCAGGGCGAGGCTCTGGGCCGGGGTTTGGCACGGGGTGTCTACAGCGGGGCAGCATGGGATGACGAAGACGACGAGGAGGGCGAGGCGAGCTGGTGGATGATGATGACGGTGACGTGAATGTTATCCCACCTCTCATTCACTTCTGCCTCCCTCACCAATCCTCCCCTCCCAGGGCGAGGCGCTAGGGCGTGGGCTTGCAAGGGGCGTTTACAGCGGGGCAGCATGGGATGACGAAGACGACGAGGAGGGCGAGGCGAGCTGGTGGATGATGATGACGGTGACGTGAATGTTATCCCACCTCTCATTCACTTCTGCCTCCCTCACCAATCCTCCCCTCCCAGGGCGAGGCGCTAGGGCGTGGGCTTGCAAGGGGCGTTTACAGCGGGGCAGCATGGGATGACGAAGACGACGAGGAGGGCGAGGCGAGCTGGTGGATGATGATGACGGTGACGTGAATGTTATCCCACCTCTCATTCACTTCTGCCTCCCTCACCAATCCTCCCCTCCCAGGGCGAGGCGCTAGGGCGTGGGCTTGCAAGGGGCGTTTACAGCGGGGCAGCATGGGATGACGAAGACGACGAGGAGGGTGAGCTGGTGGATGATGATGACGTGGACGAGGACAACGATGACGAGGACAGCGGCGCCCAGGTGGCGGTGCTGGAGGCGTCGCGTCAGGAGCTGCGCGCGTCACTAGCCAAGGAAGTGCGGGCGAACGAGATGCTGAAGGAGAGCTTGGTGCAGCGGAGGAAGACCCTGCAGGAGCTGAAGAAGGCGCTGCAGAGAGATGTGAGTGCAGTCAGGGGAGTTATTGTGCTGGGTGCAATTTGTCAGGCCAGGGTTGGGGGATGAAGGAAGTGCGGGCAGAGGAGGAAGACGCTGCAGGAGCTGAAGAAGGCGCTGCAGAGAGATGTGAGTGTGGGTGGGTGATTGTGGGTGGCTTGATTGGAGGTCGTGTGTGAATGGATGGGTGGAGTTGGCTTGGCTGCCAGGGAGGGAATGGGAGCTGCGCGCGTCGCTGGCCAAGGAAGTGCGGGCGAACGAGATGTTGAAGGAGAGCTTGGTGCAGCGGAGGAAGACGCTGCAGGAGCTGAAGAAGGCGCTGCAGAGAGATGTGAGTGTGGAGGGATCTGCAGGAGCAGAGGGAGCTGTATGCGCGCATGCAGATGGACATCAATCATCTCTGTGCTGCCCCTGACACTGAAACCCAGTAAAATTTCTAGGCACTGCTATGTTATAATTTAACATGAACCCCCCCTTTTCCCACCTCCGCTTCCCCATTGCCTTTCCCGTTCCTCTCGCCCCTTTTTTGTCTTCTCCAGGCGGCTCAGCTGCGGGTGGATCTGCAGGAGCAGAGGGAGCTGTATGCGCGCATGCAGACAGGCATCAAGGGACCCATGCCCGAGATAGAGCTTGAACCCGAGGTGAGTGCGTGTGGGGGGTATTGTGGGGTGAAAGGAGGTCAAATCTCAGGATCGATTCTCTGGAAAAGTCTTTTGTCCGTTGGCTATTCCTGAAGGACCTTTGGCTTTGCACCTGTTTTCTGAGGCGCCTGAAGAAAATGTCCTAATACCCTCCGCACTGCACCCCCCCCTCCCCCAGCTGAAGTCAGAAATCAAGGAGATTGAGTCGCTTGAAAAGTCAGTGGCCCTGCTCCGCACGGAAACAGAGGTGGCTTTTGAGTCGTCTCAGAAGTCTCCTTCTATCCTCCCCATTGCCCCCCCCAGCTGAAGGCAGAGATCAAGGAGATTGAGTCTTTGGAAAAGTCAGTGGCTCTGCTCCGCACAGAAACAGAGACTCTTCAACGGGAGCTGCTGCACGTGACGCACAAGCAGCAGCAGCTGGAGCAGCAGCAGAAGCAGCAGCAGCTGGCGGGTGTGGCAGCAGGCGGGGGAGTGGGAGTACCTTTGACTGGCGCGAGTGCGGAGCAGCGGCAGCGGATTGAGGCGCTGCGGTCGCTGCGGGCGCAGCTGAAACAGGAACTGGATAGGACCATGGCCATGTGCCTGGAGGAGCAGCAGAAGAACGCTGAGGTGAGAGATGGGGAGGGGGAAGGTGAATGATGGGGCGGGTCTCAGGAGAGGGGATGGATACGAACGCTCATGTGCCATGATGGTCCCGCGATTTTTTCTTCTTCTTCTTTTCTTTTTTCTTCTGTTCATATATATCCCTTCCAGCCATGTGCCATGCTGTTATTTATTCTCCCCTCTTCCCCTTTCCCGCCTTCTCCCCCTCTCCTTTGTTCCCCGCATCAGTTGGAAGAGAGGCGGCGTCAGGACGATCCAGTGGCGTTGGAGCAAGCAGTGATGCGACAGAAGGCAGCCGTGCAGCAGGCTCAGGTGAGATAAGGGCGAGGGGCATGGTAAAATGGCTTTTGGGTTTGAGATGATCCAGTGGCATTGGAGTAAGCAGTGATGCGACAGAAGGCAGCTGTGCAGCAGGCTCAGGTGAGATCAGGGCGAGGGGCATGGTAAAATGGCTTTTGGGTTTGAGATGATCCAGTGGCATTGGAGTAAGCAGTGATGCAACAGAAGGCAGCTCTGCAGCAGGCTCAAGTGAGAGGGACACCTAGGTGATGACAGGACTTGAAGTCGACTCAAGAGGCAGCAGTGCAGCAGGCTCAGGTGAGAGGGGGGCGACAGTAAGAAGGGGCATACCTAGGTGATGACAGGACTTAGAGTCGACAAAAGAGGCAGCAGTTCAACAGGCGCAGGTGAGAGGGGGGCGAGGCCAGATTGACCTTGTGAAATTTGAGACCTGTTCAGAAGGCCGTTGGAGGAAGCAGTGACGCGGTGGGTGGGAGGCAGTAGGGAGCAGTGCAGCGAGGCAGTGCAGTAGGGAGCAGTGCAGCGAGGCAGTGCAGTAGGGAGCAGTGCAGCGAGGCAGTGCAGTAGGGAGCAGTGCAGCGAGCTCAGGTGAGAGAGTTTGGACAGTCGTGCGCATGTCTCTTCTCAGACTCCTCAGTCATCTCACTTCTGTCCCCATACCCACCACCCCCTGTCCCCCTCGCTCCCCACCTTCCAGACGGTTGGATCAGAGATGGCAAGGGGCAAGTAGCTGAGTTGTAGGGTGTCTCACAAGCCCTCTCTCTTTCCCTCTTCCCCCTTTTCTCTCCCTTCCCCCTTTTCTCTCCCTTCCCCTTCCCCCTGTACCTCTCTCCCCCCTTCCTCCCAGGCGGCGTTTGAGGCTGAAATGGCAAGGGGCAAGGAGTTGAGGCGCAAGCTGCAGCTGGCCCAGCAGAGTGTTAGTTAAGGCACCTCACAAGCAATCTCTCTCCCCCCAATTCCTACCAGGCGGCATTTGAAGCTGAAATGGCAAGGGGCAAGGAGTTGAGGCGCAAGCTACAGCTGGCCCAGCAGAGTGTTAGTTAAGACACCTCACAAGCTTTCTCTCTCTCCCCATTTCCTCCCAGGCGGCATTTGAAGCTGAAATGGCAAGGGGCAAGGAGTTGAGGCGCAAGCTACAGCTGGCCCAGCAGAGTGTTAGTTAAGACACCTCACAAGCTTTCTCTCTCTCCCCATTTCCTCCCAGGCGGCATTTGAAGCTGAAATGGCAAGGGGCAAGGAGTTGAGGCGCAAGCTACAGCTGGCCCAGCAGAGGGCTGCTGCTGCTGCCCTTGCCAGTGCCAACGCCGCTGCGGCCACTGCCAGCACCACAGGCTCGGAAGGCTCCGGTTCGGCCGAACCTGCTGCCCAGGCCGGGCAGCAAGGCTCGGCTGAGGCTGACGCCCGGCCCGCACCTGATGGGGAGGCTCGTCCTGCAGGTCCGTCTGCCGCAGCTGCAGCAACGGCAGCAGCCGCGGTGGCTGCAGCAGGGGGTGCTGGTGAGCCTCCCTCAGCAGCGGCTGCTGCTGCTGCCTTTGCTGAGCTGACGGCCAGGCTGGAAGAATTCAAGAGGCAGCGCGCTGTGCTGATTCAGCGCCTCGCTGCGCTGTCCAATGAGACGGTGCCAGGTGGCGCACAGGGCATGGCTGGGCCTGGAGGGCCGCGGGTGTCTCAGTTGTCAAGGGATATTCCAAGTCACTAAGCGGGGGCATGGGCAAGAAGAGGGGGAGTAAGAAGGATGGAGAGAAGGGTAGCACCGAGGGTGGGGGGGTTTGTGGGGAAACAAAAGATAAGAAAATATTCATTCCTTGTCGTAGTACGGGTACGTGGAAGCTAGTAGGGCCACTTCATGACAGACGGCAAGAAATGTAGCTATTCCATTTTGAATATTTCTGTAGGTCGACTACATCCACAGTTTAATTGATGAGGCACTACATAAGCAATAGATACAGTCGAGTGTTTATTATCGTAAAACTGTTCATCAATCTCGACTCTTTGAATGACTTCTGTCAGACATATGGCGGTGTTTCCCGCGCAAACAGCCGCAACCATGATACTCCCGCGCTTCGGGGATGCTGTAACTTCTCTCACGAAACTTGTCGAAACTCGCGCAAATCAATCTTCCGGCAAGCGAAGGGAAAAAGGTTTCGGTTTCACGTAACTGAGGTTGTCCGCCGACAAGGCGGCGGCATCCAGGGCTGGAAAAGGGAAGTGAATGCTTCGCCCTCAAACATCCTCCTGCTCCATTACCCCTTGGTCTCACTTGCTTCAGTGGATCCCTGTAAACCGCTCTGAAACTCTCTGAAATCTCTGAAGTGCTTCACCAAACTCCTCTTTCACTTCTCCGAACGCCATTCTCACCATAATCACCGTAACTCGCTCAGGCTCCTAGACATTAGACTTGTTCGGTTCCTTGGAATCCATGGCTGCCGTCTGAAGTTCCGTCACCAATTACTAGGAATAATCCTTAATCTTCGTAGAAGCTTAATCTTAGTGGATATTGTGTTCGAGTTTCATGGTCTCGCATGACTTGGGAATACTGATGGCTCAACTCGTCTCAGCTATCCATGGCGGTCGTCTACCGTAATCCCAGACCGTTTAAAAAATAGTAAAGTGCTAATACGCTATTTAGTCTTTAAGAGTAGCTCGAACATAGAACTAATAGCATCTTTCTTTTATCAGATACGGTTTAGTGACGTCATTTAGGTTCGTCGTGATGCCTCTCAGCCCTTCTTCAGCCCGTCATGAAGCATGGTTCACTTGGCGACAGCCACAGCAACGTTCGGAAATCGTACGCGACCTAGGACTGAGACACAGACCGAGTCTGAGACATGGATTCTTGAAATCGTAAACGGTGTCTTTGGACGGGGACGACGGAGACGGCGAGTTCTGACGACAACGATAGAGATGAGAAGTGCTGCCGGCGACGTTCGAGACGTTAATTCCCGACGGACGATTGTGACGGCGACAATTGAGACATATCTGACGGTCAATATTTTGAGGAGAAGCTTCACCGGTTAAGTTAGACGTCTTCTAATGGTGACGACTATGCCTGACTGTGATTATTGTTTCCGCTGCTGTTCGATAATAAGTCTGAGTTTATGACGGCGTTCATCCCGTTGAGGAATTCTTACGGCTGATCGACGTCTTTGGGTTCAAAGCATGGAGTTCCGACGGTATCGGGGAGCTTTCACGTTGACGACGGAGGCTGCGTTGACGGCAAAGGAGAAGGCGAAGGCGAAGGCGAAGCTGAATCTGAAAAACTCCACGGCGATCCCAATACGGAGTCTGCAGAAATTTCCGGATATGATGGATGAACATCGTCTCGGAAACGCGTTGCCGACTGGATGGCGATCGAGACGCGAAATCTCGTTCCTAAATGTGATGGCAAGTCTTGAGGATTTGGGACTGCGTATTCTGAATCTTGACGTTGACGATCAAGACTGGGATTTCTGGCGGCGACATTGCGAAATCTCACGCGACTACGGATCACGGCCGTCGCATGGCATTGATGCTGACGATCCAGTCGCCGTCGCATGGCGTTGATGCTGACGATCCAGTCGCCGTCGCATGGCGTTGATGTTGTCGATCGCAAATGGGGTTTCGAAGGTGGCGAGTTCTGACTTGGACGGCTGACTCTGACGACGGCGCTTGTTGGCGGGAGGCGAAGGCGGAGGCGATCGGTGAAGCGCGGATCAATGCAGTGCACAACATGAGCGCAGAAGCTGCAGCGCGAATGGAGCGACGACCATCGCTGGCGGGAAGGCGAAGTTCGCCTTGAAGGCGGAGGCGATTGGTGGAGCGCGGATTATGGGGAGCTGCGCGGAACATGGGGAGCAGCGCGACACATGGGGAGCAGCGCGACACATGGGGACGACCGTCGCGGACGACCATCGCGGACGGTGCTGACGTTGGTGAAGGCGGAGGCGGAGGCTGAGGAGGAGGAAATCTCCTCGTACAGCTAAGTCCCCAACCCTCTTACTCGCTCCCTTGCCATCCGTACCGCTTCATTTTCTTGTTGCTTTGCTTTCTCGGTGCATGCTCGAAATCAAAACGTCAAAATCCGCGTGGCGATGGTAGCACATGGCACCGGGGCGGCTTGAGCTCACACTAGAGTTGTAGGGGGCTAGAATAGAATGCACTCATACACATGCTCGCGTCTCTCTCTTACCCCAGTCCACCCTCGCATGCTAGCTCGCTGCCCTAGTGCCTTGTGCTACCATTGCCTGTCGTGCGATCAGTTTGTTAGTTCTAATTCTGCATTTTCCGCTAAAACAAATCTCGTTCTCATACTTGTTTCTGCCTTCATTCCAATGCTTGCTCCTACTGGACCAGATTCATAATCTCCTTCCCCTCTGCCTTCTCTCCCCAGCCCATTGCCTTGTCCCAGGGTCAAAGCGGAGGGAGGGCGGTGGGATGACGCACGGCGTGAGTCCTGCATGCCCTGCTCACCACGCCACTCCCTCACGCGCCAAACGAGCTCCACTGGCGCTGCTGCTGCTGGGAGGGCTGCTGCTGGGAGTGCCGTTGATGATGGGAGTCACTCTGCTGCTGGCAACAACTGCTGCTGCTTCCGTCGCTCAACCCGTCGTACCGCTGCTAAGTCCCCTCTTAACCCCTCTGCTCACCCCCTTGCCATCCTTATCGCTTTCTGTCTTTGGTTCATTTTCTTGTCGCTTTGCTTTCTCGGCGCATTCTCGAAATCAAAACGTCAATTCCGTGTGGCGATGGTAGCACATGGCACCGGGGCGGCTTGAGCTCACACTAGAGTTGTAGGGGGCTAGAATAGAATGCACTCATACACATGCTCGCGTCTCTCTCTTACCCCAGTCCACCCTCGCATGCTAGCTCGCTGCCCTAGTGCCTTGTGCTACCATTACCTTTCATGTTCAGCTTGTTATTTCTTCTTCCGCATGTTTCTGCCTTCATTCCAATGCTTGCTCCTACTGGACCAGATTCATTTTTTCCTTCCCCTCTGCCTTCTCTCTCCAACCCACTTCCTTGTCCGAGGGTCAAAGCAGAGGGGAGGGCACTGGGACGCATAGACTGCCTCCTCCTCTCCAACCCACTTCCCTTTTCAGGCGCCCGTCCGTCCTCCAGTGTGTGCCTTGTAGGAGCAGCGCCTTGCAGCCGCCTTCTCCACTCTCCCGTTCTCCTCCCCCCCTTGTCACTCGCTCCTCCTTCTCCAGCTGCCAGCAGCTCTCCCATGGGGACCTCCCCATGTGACAGACAGACAGCAGCCGGTACAGGCAAGCTGTAAGTGCTGCTGCGGCTGCCACCACTCCCTCCCTCGCCACTGCTCCTAGAATTTCAACATCCGAGTGGCCCTGCCATTCCAACACACCACCAGCACCAGCTACAAGGTGGATGCCCCGAGAGTGAGCAAAAACACACCAAGCTGGATACCAAGAGGCGCCAACAGCACCAAGAGGCGCTGCCATGCCAACACACTGCCAGCACCAGCTACAAGGTGGATGTCCCGAGAGTGAGTAACAATGCTAGGGCAGTATCCCACACGCACTCATTCGTCCCTCCTTGCAGCATCTTGCCTCTCGTGCATCTCGTTTTGCACTCACGCATTCGCCTTTCCTTGCCGCCACTCTCGCTGCCTCTTCCACACCTGTGCCTCCCCCCCCCCCTCGCGTGTCCAGTAACCCATTTCCTTGTCGCAGGCCTAAGGAGTGAGGTGCGGGCACACCTGGTGTGAGCGAGGAGGGAGGGAAGCCGGACGACGCACAGCTGACCACGCCATTTCCTCACACGCCGAACGAGCTCACGGACGGAATCGACACCCCAAGAACCAGCACCAATCCACACTCCTTAGGGTGGTACTCCACACTCGCTCATCGTCCCTTCCTGCTGTTGCCCTGTGCCCTTCGTTTCGTGCTCATGCATCTGTCTCTCCTTGCTGTGCCTTGTGCCTCTCACTCCCCTACTCACTCCCTCTCCCTGCCTCCTCAGCTTGTTTCTCGCGCCTCCCATTCCGCTGCCCCTCTCCTCCCAGTAGCTGAAGGGAGCTGCTGCAACCCAAGAGAGCAAAGGCAAGCGGAGGGAGCAAAGGCAGGAGAGCGAGTGAGGCGCTGTGGTGCTTCGGTGGTGGCAACAGAAAGGTGTACAACAGCAACTGAGCATCTTGTGGTGTGAACTTTAATACCATGTCTTTGCTCCTGGCTTGCAATGCAAGATGCTGTTACGCTCTTTTAGTCCCATTCGCTTACCCTTTTCCTTCTCACGCTCCGTCCGCCTTTTTTTCGAATAGATTTACTTAATTGGTTCATTTCGTCCGCCTTCTTATCTCATATCAGGAGGCAAGCATGGGGGCGGCTTTTTAGGGAATACAAGCATTTGTGAGCCGTCTCCTTTGGTGAGTGTCCGCCTCGCCTCCTTCTCCTGCACCCATATCCTTCCAATCTGGCCTTTTCTCCATCTTCCTGCTGCCATCATCATCTTGCCGCTTCCGCTCTTCCACTTCCTGACACAATCTACTCGTCTTTCAACTCCGGCAGCCCTCATCTCTTCTGCCGCCCTCGTTTTTTTTTGGAGCAGCCAATGAGCAGAGGCAACACAAGAGAAGGGAGGCAGCCGAGACTACAAGTCAAGGCAATTCACCATGACGTAAGGCTCTCCGCTTGCTATCCCCTGTTATTTTGCCGCACAAGCTTTTGACCCAAGCCCTTGTTCCTCATGCTCCATCTTCGCGTGCTGAAATTGATCCTAAGCCCTGAACTCTGAACCCTTCGCTTGAGCCTGATTCCTCATGCCCTTGTCACCCTTTCCCATGCACTCATCGTTTTTCAGCAACAGCAGCGACAGCAGTAGTGGAGGTGACTCCTCAGGAGGCCAGGGAGGGACTACAGGCCCGAGAGGAATGGCAGGTAACTGTAAGTCTTTCTTGCTGTTTTTCGCTTTTGCTTGAGCAGCTGTGCCACTTGAACTTGCTTTTTTTTGCTTCTGCCTCTTTCACCTCCTTCGCGTATGTCTATGTACTTGCGCCTTTCACCGCCATAATAGTTTCCCATTGCATGGCCTATGTTTCTCCTGCTCTTTCTTCTTCGCTCTTGCAGATTTTCTCTTTCAATGGTCTTGAGCTTTGCCTTCAGGTGTGACGGACAAGTTTACGGTTGAGTGGAACCATCAACATGAAGTCACTCTGTGTCCACCCCAGGCTCATGCTTTCTCTAGCCCCTGTTTTGGGCACACTCTTTCTCTAGCCCCTATTTTTGGGCACATGCTTTCTCTAGCCCCTATTTTGGGCACATGCTTTCTCTAGCCCCTGTATAGGGCACACTCTTTCTCTAGCCCCTGTATAGGGCACACTCTTTCTCTAGCCCCTGTATAGGGCACACTCTTTCTCTAACTTCTATTTTGGGCACACGCTTTCTCTAGCCCCTGTTCTGGGCACATGCTTTCTCTAGCCCCTGTATAGGGCACACTCTTTTTCTAGCCCCTATTTCGGGCAGACGCTTTCTCTAGCCCCTGTTCTGGGCACATGCTTTCTCTAGCCCCTGTATAGGGCACACTCTTTCTCTACTAGCCCCTCTGTATGGGACACACGCTTTCTCTAGCCCCTGTTTGGGGCACATGCTTTCTCTAGCCCCTGTTTTGGGCACACGCTTTCTCTAGCCCCTGTTTTGGGCACTTGTTTTCTCTAGCCCCTGTTTAGGGCACACGCATTCTCTACTAGCCCCTGTTTTGAGCACATGCTTTCTCTAGCCCCTGTTTAGGGAACACTTTTTCTCTACTAGCCCCTGTTTTGGGCACTTGTTTTCTCTAGCCCCTGTTGAGGGCGCACGCTTTCTCGACTAGCCCTTATTTGAGCACATATTTTCTCTAGCCCCTGTTATGGGCACATGTTTTCACTAGCCCCTATTTAGGGCTCACTCTTTCTCGACTAGCCCTTATTTGAGCACATATTTTCTCTAGCCCCTTTTTTGGGCACACGCTTTCTCTAGCCCCTTTTTTGGGCACATGCTTTCTTCTCTAGCCCCTGTTTTGGGCACTTGTTTTCTCTGGCCCCTGTTTAGGGCACACATTTTCTCTACTAGCCCTGTTTTGGGCACATGCTTTCTCTAGCCCCTGTTTGGGGCACACCCTTTCTCCAACCCTGTTTTGGACACATATTTTCTCTAGCCCCTGTTCAGGGCAGATGTTTTCTCTAGCCCCTGTTTTGGGCACATGTTTTCTCTAGCCCCTTTTTACGGCGCACTCTTTCTTTACTAGCCCCTGTTAGGGCACTTGTTTTCTCTAGCCCCTGTTTAGTGCACACGCTTTCTCTACTACCCCCTGTTTGGGCATGTTTTCTCTAGCCCCTGGTTTGGGCACATGTTTTCTCTAGCCCCTTTTTAGGGCACACGCTTTCTCTATCCCCTGTTTTGAGCACATGCTTTATCTAGCCCCAATTTTGGGCACATGCCTTCTCTAGCCCATGATTTTGCGCATGTCTTTCTCTACATGTTAACCGTGGTAATTACTGTTTTGGGCCATGTTGTTCTTAGTAGCCCTTGATAGAGCACGAGCTTTTTCAGGGTGGTTTCCCACCTCACACTGGTGTCCAGGTGTAACGCTAGGATCATCATCATCTTCTGGAAGGGTCCTTGAGGGACCCAAGCTTTCGGCATTTAATTTCCCTCGTTTGTGCTTTTATTGTTTTGGGGACATTTGTCTCACAAAAGCAAGGTACCGCTCTGTACCAAACAGAACCGCTTTGTTAAAACATTTCGGTGCTTTTGGAGGGTCAAGGGGTCAATCAAACTCTACATTGGCAGGATGCCTTGCTTTCGGTACAGTATGTTGTCTAAAAACGTTTTGTTTAGACAAAGAGACACCTCCATAAGCCAGAAAATGTGCCTAGAACAAAGGCCTGGGGTGGAAGGGTATCTTGCCAAATCACAGGCCAGAGAAAAGCGGTTTTGCTCATAGAAAACCTGTCATCAGGGTTTTCTGATTCCGTGTACACTGAAACATAATTTTGTTAGGAATCTAGGTAAAAGATAATCAATAAATGATCAACTAGTTTAGCATCTCTAGCTGAGAGCTGATTTTTCAGCTCTCTCCCCAGAGCTGGAGTAGTGCATTGGTCATGAGACCAAGCCCTGCCACAAACCACTTGATGAACACCATCCACCACCTATCGTTGGCTCCTGGCTTCATGCCTTTGGCCAGCAAATGACCGAGAGCAATAAATATGAACACTCCAGCAGCCATGCCGTTTCCAAAAGCCTTCACCCAGTCCCGAGCCTCCTTGCCGCTTGCTGAGTCTATTGCGAGACCAATGGCGATTCCAGTGGGAGCGACGACGGAAGCTCCCAAGGCAAAGAGCAGGTGGTTGAGCCACGAGCGGGATGTGTCTTGAACGCGGAGCGTCACCCCAAGCGCCATGCCCTCAAAAAACTGCAAACACGTGAAAGACAAAATCGAATATTCCCAGTCAGATACCGGGAAAAGCAAAGTGAAACTGGACATGAAGGTAGGTTGGGTTGCAGTCATTACCTCATTGACACCAATCTGAGCAGTCATGGTCCAGACTCTCTGAACGGTGGACACAAGGCCGACAGCCATGCCCTCAAAGAAGGCGTGGAAGCAGAGGGCGAAGAGCACCACAATGACGTCGACGATGGAAAGCGCCTGCACGTCGATTTGCTTCTGATTCTCCGAGTCCGCGTCGACCACCTTGGTCTGGCCAGCACCAATGGCGCCAGCAACTGTTGGACCCAGCTCATCTTCCTGAGAAAACGGCAGAGAGGCGATGGAATGTCAGAGACATTTCTTTACACAACGTCTTTGTTCTGTGTACACAGCATTCTGTGTACTGTGTTTACTGAGAATTCATTCGCACCTTCTCCTCAAAGGAGCCGGATCGTTTCCGCCAGATCGTCTTCACAATAAGGTCGCAGAGCCACGTGAGGTAGATACCCATCACAATGACCAGCATTCCGTACGGATAATCTGTCATCAAACACAGAGACGCAGGATAGCAGAATGGCAAATCTGAAGCGAAACAAATGCACTTTTTTTTTTCTAGTACTCTGACACTACTGTTCTGATGACAGATAAACCTTAGGTGAGCGGACGGAGACAAGTGAGTGGCGAGAGAGAGAGAGTAAAAGAGCGGAGGCAAACGCTTACCTTTCCCAGCGAGCTCTTCGAACTCCTCAAATGTTTCCACTGCTAGATAAAGAAGTGACATGCCGATGAAGAGACCAGTCGAAAAGAGAATCCCGAACTTGAGAATGAGCTGGTGGATCGGAATGAAGTAGGGAAGCCATACGCCGAGAAAGCTGCATCCGAAGAAAACGAAAATGGCTCCCGCCTTGTTTGCGTTCAGAGTTTGTGTCGAGTCTTTTGATCCCTGAAACGAGAAATATCGAGGGAAAGGGGTTGAATGCAGTGTTGTAAGAAAAAGGCATGAGAAATAAAGATGCAGCACCGTCAGCAGATTGGCGACTACGATTTTTTAACAAATGGTTCTGTGGGATGAGGTAGGTGGAAAGTACGCATGGCATGACTTACCGAACTTGACTCGTCTTCATCCTCGGACGCAAGCGCGACTGTTACGAACAATGCGAGCAGCAAGAACGTGATCAGGTATCTCTTCCAAGCAGCCATGTTGATTGCACACGCAGGGTCGTGATGGCGACAAGAGAAAACTGTAGCTGATAAGACACTCCACTCGACTATGGAGAGTGGCTATCAGAAAAAATATAGACAGGGATTGCGAAGTGCGATCGCTAGACGGACAGGGTGACCAGATGCAGAAACCGTGAAGGGAAGGTTATCTCAGGAGGAGGACACGGGACTGACTTGATAAAACCTGAGACTGGCTTTCGTTTTTATCAGCAGACCCCCAAGATAAAAACGAACAATCCATTGCTCCCCGGAGCGAAGATGCTTCATAGACATACAGGCGGTCACCATACAGAGGCTGTGTGCCGCTGTAGCACCCAGCACACAGCCAGCAGTCCCTGTGCCTTGTCACCAGCCATGAAAAGCTGCATTCCGTGATCCACATATCGAAACCAGATTACGGTAACATGTCGCCTGTCATCTCCCCTACTTCATTGTTCAGACTGCTTGCTCACCCCTGGGAAGGCACAGGTGAAGGGGAAGAACGGATAACGGGGAAAGAAAATGTGGGGGGATCCTGCAACGGAATCTCGAGAGGGGTGTGGACCAGGCGTGGAGACGGCACGGAGGCGGTGTGGTGGAAGATTAGATGACACTGTCAGGGCGTACTCCTCATGGATATGAAACGGTGCAGAGGTACATCTAGGGACTGTTGGGCGCCGAAATCTGTTTCGCGTGTGTTGCGAGAACAAGTGCGGTGTGCTCTGGGCGTGGCCTTCACGGGCTGCACCGCGAACTGGGTGGTGGGGTGGGGAACTCTACAGGTGAAAGCTTCGGTTCGGTAGGTTCCGAATCCATTTGCTTCACTGCTACATTTCTTTTGCGCGTGTACACCACGATTTCTTCCTTACGGTATCTCATGTGTCACAAATGTTATCTCAATGATTTTACAAAACAATGCCAGAAAACTAAATGGCTCCACGGCATGAAATAAGTCAATCCTACCACAAGGCTGCGAGTGCGTATACGTCCATAATTCGTTGCACGTAGGATGGCATACACCTATATGAAGTGGTCATTGCGGCATTGACCAGCGACAGTGGGAAAATCTGTAATACACCCAACGAGGAGATTTATCCAACATGTCCAGAAACTCAGAAGTGGATCATTTTCTTTATATTACCCTCACGAATACTCTGTGCCTGCAGATGAACGAGACATTGGTGTTAGTTACTTAGGAAGTGGAAAAAACAGTAGCACGGTGCAATGCAGTGCCTGCGCAACAAGGCATTCAAAGTTGAGGCTCAATTGCTGAAGTGTGAACTTTGAGGCCTTACCGTCTTGAGCCTGATCCCTGCTTTAGTGAGGTCCGTGAACTGCGACACGAACCACACAGGGGAGGAAATGTAGATGGTATCATCCAACCGTTTAACCGTGGCAAATCCACGGGAAACCACACCAGTATTTTTGGGGGTGGGCTTGATGGCATGTCAAGAATGAAAGTTCAATAGATGCAAGCGCTATCTAAGTCTTACTGAACAGGGCACAATAAAACCTTGCAGAAAATGCAAAAGCAATACGCACCGCTTGAAAAGGAGTGGCTCCCGCGCCCGGAGTATTGCGGAAGTCACAAATTTTTGTTGCACGGGCTGGACCGATACCCTGTAAAGGGAAAGGATGGCTTTCAGCATGAAGTGTCTTACTCTTTGAAACAGCTACATTGAAAGTGGTCCGAAAAAGCGTGCCTTTTTACTGCTGAAACAAATGGCACCCTCACCTTCAGCTGCATTAGCTCCTCCCTGCATTGCACAAGAGTCCCATGTGCCGGAAAATTCCGAGAGTAGACATGAAGAGTGGCGAGGGAGGGAGGAAGGGAGGGAGGGAGGGGCAGATGTAGAGACGAGAGAGGGAGGAACGAAGGAGGAGAGAGAGAGGGAGGGAAAGAGGGGGGGAGTGAGTGAGTGAGTGAGTGAGAGAGGGAGGGAGGGAGGAAGAGAGGGAGATAGGAAGAGAGGTATGGATGGAGGAAGGGAGGGAGGAAACATGTGCGAATGCATTAGTAGCTGAGAGCACATAATAGGGCGGTGGACATTCACAAGGAAAGAATTGAACAGCATTTGTGGCTTTCTATAAGCTGCTTCCTGAGCACTTACTTGGTTGCTGTGTTGAATTTCTGAAGGAGCTCCGCCTCTGCAACAGCCTGCACAGGAGAAGAATCCGGGAACAATTGAGTTTATTTCAAGTGAACTAGAAACAATGTTGATAGCATGGCCAAACAGCACAAGTGAGGGACTAACCACGAACTGAGTCCCGACGTCCTTGGCACAGGCTGGGGTCAAGGGATCCACGATGCTAAGGCCCCTCATGGCACCCTCAAGCAACACATCCGGCGCTTCGCACGACACCTAGGACAGCAGAACAAACAAGCGTTTCATCAATATCAACCGTGCCACTTTATAAAACCCAGAGCGCCCTCCCTGAAATGCACGGCGTTGAATAGACAACACGTACCATGGCGTTAAGGAAGGCAGGCCGCTGTGATGACTGGTTGGTCGATACTGTGCTGAGGGGCTGCCTTGAAGGTGTCCCTGAGAGCACAGTCAACGGCTGCAGGGGCAATGGGCCATGGCCCTGCCCCTGTGCGTTCGGCACCTGGTCCCTCCCTCCCTCTCCCTGATCCTGAACATTCTTCTCCTGCGCTTCCTCTCCCTGGTCCTCCTCGCCCTCCTCTGCTACGCTCTCCCCTGCCACCGGAACCAAAGTGAGCGCAAAGACCCCGCATCCAGCACCCTCGCCCAATTTTTCCTCGTCCTCCTCCTCCATCGACCACACACTTGTAATGCGGTCTAGCTCCGAGGCTGCAGAAGAGGACTCTGCTGCTTTGAAACGTGCTGCAGCTTCTGCATGTGCTGTCTCTGCATCTACCGTGGAATCACTTGGAGCATCCTCACCAGCCATGCCCGAGACCTCCTCGTCTGTCCCTACCATCTTGGCCGCATATCCTTCATCTACTTCATCCCCACCCTCAACTTGCTGTCCACCCTCTGTTTCCTCCCCACCCTCCACCCCCACGCCGCCATCAACCTCCTCCTTCCCCTCGACCTCCTCACCGCCCTCAACCTCCTCGCCGACCTCAACTTGCTCACTGCTCGTCTCCCCACAACCTGCACCCTCAATGCCCACCACGCCGCCTTCCTCCTCCTGCACCTGGCCAATCCACTGACCTCGTTCCTGACCACTCAAGTCATCTTGTTCAACTGCCACGTGGCATTCCGCCTCCTCGTTCACCACCTCGTTCAGCTCCATCTCTCCCGTCCGCTCCTCCTCCTTGCTCTCAGCACTGTCTTGGTCAGCTGTGCTCACCTCCTCTCCCGACCCCGCGCTGCTGCCAGTGGTGCTGCCATTCGAGCTGCCATGGCACGTGGATGCTTCAAACGTGTCAGAGGCAGCAGCGGCGTTGTCCCTGTAGCATTCCCACAGCTTCTTCGGCGAAACCCCCCTGTCCCGCACACTCGTGCCTTCGTCCTCTCCCTCCACTTCACCTTCACTCTCTCCCACCACCTCCCCGTCACTAAGCCTCCTTCCAGAAGCCGCAAAGGACAATTCTTCCCCATCCTCCATCGAACCCTGCTCACTCTCCTCACCACTTTCACCACTATCCCCGTCCTCGTCAGCTGCGCCTACTCCATCAGGCGCATCTCCCACCCCCGCAGCTTGCACCCCGCCACCCCCACGCTGGCGCAGGGTGTCCATGAGGAGGAAATGCGCCTGCTGCGCATTCGGCGCAAGTGGACTCCCAGCAGCCGTCGCTGCTGCTGCCGCCACGCTCGCTGCTGCTGCTGCAGCGGACATAGCGGCAACGACTCCATCGCACGACCGCTGGCGCTGGAGCTCGTCTGCACGGTTTGCAGCGGACTGAACAACAGCATCCGCTGCAGCAGCCGCCCCCGACGACCCCTGGTTCTGAGGAATCCTGGCAGCCCTCTCAGTCGGCCCCCCAACAGCCATCCCAGAAGCATTTCCAGCAACCTTGTCAGAAGGCTGCGCCGACGCTTTCCCTGTAGGCTTCGCGTGGGATACGGATCCCGACTGCTTGACCATCCCCCTCTGCCTGGCGGCGGCGGCCCTCTTTGGCGACTGGTGCTTGGCCATGCTGCGCTTCAACGCGAGGGCCTGGCGAGCCTCGGATGCGGACGCCATCTTCGCCGCCATGCTCGCCGTCATCTTCTCCGCAATCCGCATCCTCCTCCCACCCCCGCTGCTCGCCCCCCTCTCTGCACCACCGCCCGCTGACGCTGACGCGGATGCTGAAGCCAATGCTGATGCCGATGCCGCCTCTGCCACAGCCACCGCCGCTGCTGCAGAATCAGGTTCCTCCAGTGCCTCTGCAGCATATCGCAGGAAGTCGCCGGGACGGCGGGTGAGCAATGAGGAGCGGGGCCGGGGGATGAGGCTGGGCGTGGAGTTGGCAGCGGAGGTGGCTCTGATGGGGCTCCTCTTGAAGCGAGTGGGGTCGAGGATGCGGTGAAGCTCCCCAGCCACTTGTTGCTGCACGCATGGGAGCACAACAGAGCACAGGACGTGAGTTTCGGGATCCAAGCAACAATACTACAATGCACCAGCCAACAATGCACCAACTGAGCAGTGCAGTGACTCAGGAATGGCCCAAACCAGCAACAGTCCATTACCTCTCGTGGAACTCGAGCAGGATAAGGGATGTAACCCTTCTGAGCACTGGAGGGCCCGCTGGCGCTGAAAGGAGACGGCCTGAACACACAATACCACCTTGCAAGCCATCAGGATCAGTGGTTTCAAGGAAAAACACGCCACGCCTTCTCATGTGATACGTCAGCGTGAGCATTGCTATGCTGTCAAATCATCCATGCTTCAATCTGCTCAGGCGCGGACTCACCCGGCAGAGTTGCTCTGGACGATCGCCTTGCTGGCGGCCCTCTTCGCCTTGAACGCGGAGAGCTGATTGCGCCGCTCCGCCACGGTCTGCTTCGGAGTAGCGGGCAGCACGGTCTTTGCGACGTTGTTGCGGATCAGGCGAGACTGCGCCGCCACCTCCAAAACCGCCATCGCCAGCTTGTCGTCATTTGGAGCCTGATGGATGGACAGAAAAGGAAAAGCGTTAATACAACCCAAACCATGGAACGCAACATGCCATCCCTCAATATTCTCGAACGCAGTGACGCAGTGTGTGGCGAGGACAGGACGGTCGGAGCTCATGCACGTGTAAGGAAACCGTCAATTCTGAAGGAGGTAGCGAACGGGATTGAGCAATTACCAGGCAGGCGATCATAACTCCTCGGCTGCTGCCTCCAAGCGAGTCTTGCAGGACCTTGGTGAGGTTGCTGCCACGGTAAGAGACGTGCTTGGCAGCAGGGTCGTTCAGCTGCTCTATAACGCGACTAAGCGCGGACAGAGACAGGTTGATGTCGCAGCTTTCCGTCATCCGCTGGCCCGTGTTGCCCGTCTCTTTGTTTTGCTCGCGACCTGCATTGAGGGGACAATAAACAGTAAAGATCGCACCGAAAACACGTTCAGCGGTCACGCGAGGAGCACGTGAGTGCTTGCAATAACGGCAGGTTCTCGTTCTCACTGGCTGGAAACGCTAAAAAAATCGGCTCGTTGGATATCTCGACGGTTTCGTATGCATCACGGTTGACGCACCTGCCAAGTCGACGAGCTTGAGACGGCCGACGATGCCAGGGTTGTCGTCCCGCCATATGTTAAACTGGAGAATGGCGTGCGAGCGGCTGGAGACGGCGTTGACCTCCGTCGCCGCGAGGTGTCGCCTTCCCTTGGCTCTTGAAAACGCCGCGAGGAACGACTCCAGTGAACCGAACTCTTCCTGCAACATTGACATGAAAAAGGAAATGAGTAAAACTGGTCGTGTACAAACAGCTTTTGCACGTCTCAGACTGTGAGGGAAGCAACAACCAGGTGCTCTTGATTCCTCGTGTGCAATGACAGGCAGCCGGTACTTTCGTCTGTGCTTACCTCATGCAACCCAGGAATTTGGAACACGTGATCCGAGTCTTCCATGATTTCGAGCTGCTGTGGCTGCAGCAGGTCGAAGACCTTGCTGCCGTACAACTCGGAATAGGAGAAGGACACCTGGCATCCGTCGCGCTGAAGCTGATTGGCTGCGATCCACGCTGCGCAGAGGGAGACCAACCCTGGAACGTCATCGCCATCTCCCTGCTCCACCAGAAACAGGGATAAGTTAGAAACTTGTAAAGCTAAAAGCATTCAGGAGAAACGGTAATGCTGCTCGTGCCGGAGTCTCAAGTATCCCAAAGTTGCCTCATCCTTCCTACCTTTGGTTGGGTTACAAAGTCCAACCAAGCTTCCTACCTTTGGTTTTGTCACTAACTCCAACCAACCTTCCTACTTATGAAACCTGTGGACCCTGTTCACTGAAGAATCAGACATACCTGCATGAGGTAGGTTTTTCCACTGCCGGAAGCACCGTAAACAAGGACGGTAAGGCTATAGCCGTCACTGAGCGACGACAGGCGTCGTTCGATCTCCTTGCCGAATATAGTCTGGCTCGTGTCAGTCTCGTCGTACAGAGAATCAAGGTTGAAACTCTTTCCAGGCCTGCAGGAAAGTAAGGTCCATTGAGTTAAGCCATCAAATGACACTGACAACACCACTTAACGAAGAAACGGAAAACAAAACCGAAGAAAGCGACAAATGAAGCTTCCTCACCAGGGATCAGGGAAGTTCAGGTTCACACTGTCCTCTTCACGCTCTATCACCATCCGCTCCTGGAACCCTTCCCGTGGCGGGTCAGACGGAATACGCGGACGAATCTTCGCGACGACTCGAACTCTCGTTTCTGCGTCGCTAATGACTCTTCTAGGAAGCGGTGTACTTCCGCCAGCCTGAACTGATTGACCCTCCATGATGTTTAAACAGCGACCTTTGGATAACTTGACTTGAGAACGGTCAAGCCTTTGCTTCTAAATGGCGAAAAGCAGATGTAAAACGATGTTGAGATACTCTGTTCGGTCTATGGCTGATGAATCTATGCCTCCTCTCGCGCGAACTCACGAAAGTCGTGACACGTGTAGCTTATCCAAGATGAGCCACTTGACGACGGTCGCCTTTTGCTCGACTACAGCTAGTCAAAACCTACTGATACCGCTTCCTGGTCTTACTGCCTTCCTTGTGCTTCAGAATGCTGGTGGGAGCTTACTCTATCAGGCGATTCTAAACCAGCCTTTCCGTGATTGACTGAACTAAGGATCGTCTGGTGTGGGTGCTGTTGCTACTGCTGTCACAGATAATGCAGTAGTTTAATGGCATTGTACGACATGAACCCCAACTTCGTCACTGCACTGCCATTCCCGTTGCCCTACTGCCTTCACTGAACGTCTAACTTGGGTTCCTCTTCCCTCTTTCCCAGATTCCCTTCTCAGTTCCCGTCACACCAGCATGTCAGGCACTGCTCTTCCGAGCAACATAGGCTTGGCTTGTCTGGTGGATGGGGCCGGGGCAATACCGAGGCGCGGGAAATTTTTGAAAGCGCGCGGGAAGTTCTGACAGCCTGCCAGGCGATTTTCCTCCGATAAGAAGGAAACCGCTTGCGTGAAAAAACATGTTGGTATGCTCGAGTTTCATTGGAGTGCAGTTTCAAATAGCTTACCCAGTTTGAAGCCTACCACTACATGGCTCAAAGAAAAAAGTGAGTGGAATAAATGCACAACAATTTTACAGTGGAAGGTGATGCGGGGCAGTATGCCAGTCAAACGGCAAACCTGCAAACCCACCAGGAGGTTGAGCACTAATTGCGGGCAGGCTCCTACGAGATGATGAAAATAATGCTCTTGATGACCGAGAAATAGATCTTGAATATTGTAATTCACCACTTTCCTTAGCTCTTCGGCTACTTCTCCAATATGCTCCCCATGCCCACTGAACGTATGTCCTGAAACCACAGATGACCGACATGGCAGTTCATGACATGGTGTAACCAAAATGGAATCACCGAGTAAAATTGGGCGCAATAAGAAAATGGATGCGATAGCCTACCATAGGCACACGGCCAATGCAACAGCAATGCCGAATGACACCTGAGTGATCTCATGAGGGATGAAAACAATCCACCTGCAAGGAAAACAAGACAGGTGATGAGTGCATAAAGGGCTCCAGCCAAAAACCCAGCCACTTCAACCAGACCCACAACTATCCCCGATTACTTACCCAACGGAGATCATGCTAATGAGAAATGCAGTCACACCTGCCAGGAGGAGCAGAAAAGGACGTCAGGATCGATAGACACATCGTGTACCAGCTCACAACCTTTTAACGACTCGCAATAAATCATCCTTTCAAGCAATGGTGCAAGAAATAGGAGATTTTACCAGATCATTGAATATAAAAACTCACCCAAGCAGCAGCATTGGAAGGCAAGTTGCCAGCTCCCCTCACACCTGAACATGCATCCCAAACAAAATATCCAATCAGACATGTTCCAGTGACACAATGATGTTCCAAAATATCCAATCACACACAATCTGTAAGACACATCCTTGGCATTCTCGCACCAAGTCCCAATACCCACCCTTACCCTCAAGAATCACCTGGAAGCCCAGAAGGCCTCAAAGGACTTGCGGGGGTGGGGAGGGCGGTCGCCCCTCTGGTAGAGCGCACAGAAGCGAAGGCAAGCCGCCATGACCTCCTGCTCCTCCTGAGAGACATTGAAGCATTCTGATATGTGTCTAACCTGGAAGCCCAGAAAGCCTCAAAGGACTTGCGGGGGTGGGGAGGGCGGTCGCCTCGCTGGTAGAGCGCACAGAAGCGAAGGCACGCCGCCATGAACTCCTGCTCCTCCCGCTCGCTCACAAAAGTCTTGCCGACCTTCAGGATGCTTCCTAGAAGCAGCGCACAGGTGACCATGGAGACAATCATAAGGCCCTCCTGAGGAGGAGGAAAGGGAGTGCGTGGGACATGGGCAGCGTGGGTGGCACAGGGAGGGTACATGAAAAGTGGGAGAGAAGAAGGAAAGAACTAAGGATGAGTGCAGAAACGATGGGTAGATAAGAATTAAAGACAAGTGTTGGCTACGTGCAGGAGTGAATCATGTACATAAAATGCATCCTCTGATTCCGTACGTTACGAATAGGTTGATCATGACAACTACTCAGGACGGAGAGAATGGCAATGGGAGGCGATGCAGATGTGAGTGGGCAAAATGAGAGAAGGTCCAAAGAATCAGTCTCACGGACCACTAGTGCTGTCGAGAGAGCATATAAAGCAATCAAGCCCTGCAAGGAAGAGAGGACACATACACATCCCGAAAAAAAAGTGTTCATGTAGCAAAAGCAGAAGACTACATCCAACAGAACGTGTAAACCACTGTCCAAATGAGCGTTGAAAAAAAGAATAGATAAAAATTACAGTTGGTGCGGAAGGCTCTCCCTCCTCATCCAGTTTGAGCTGAGTGAGTGTGACTATAGAACAAAGACCATAATACTGAGGAGCCTAAATAAAAGCATAATTACCATAGGTGCGGAAGGCTCTCCCTCCTCATCATCCAGTTTGAGCTGAGTGAGAGTGACTATCGCACATAGACCAAAGAGTGCCGAGATGCTGGATATGGCCTTCAGCTGCTCTGTCTTCTCCTCCACGTCGCGCCGATTCTTCTCAACGAACCTGGTGGCAGCACGAGGAGCGGGAAGAAATGAATGAGCTACTCCTGTGCCACGCCATGGCTCCTGACTATTTTTGACAACTCCCATGGCTCGTTTTGATGGGAAGCGAGAACAACATTGCATGTTAATACGAGGTTGGAAATTCAGAAGGAGCCTGAAGGTGATTGTTGATGGTGCTTACACTCACAGTAGCTCAGTACCTGTGTTACCTGAGCCATAATACCCTCGCATTTTCTAGGTTCATCTGGTCAATATCCTCTTGGTGCCACCTGCACACAGAGTAAGCGACGGGATAGAGGAGCAATAACTTCTTAGGAATGGAAAGGCTCAGGAACGGAGTAAGACGATTTTGAAACCACGAGACGACTCACGAGACGACGCAATTTGGACGAAAGATGGTCCCTTGGAGCGATGCACCGGAACTACCAGTCCAACCGAACTGATGAACTATGAGGGAACGAACGAACTGACTTTCGCAGTCGCGTCCTACGTTCGCCTTCCGCCTCGTAAACCGCCTTCTCCTCTCCCCGCCAGTCCAGGTCCTCCGCTCGCCACGTGGCGTCTTCCGCCCACCACGTGCGCTGCTCCTCCCTCGTCGCCGTCGCCATGCTCGTGCTGAACGACACCAGCACGCCTTGCATGATGTCGAGCACGGCCTTAGTCGCCATAGCGGGAAAGCGAATCTGCTGGTAACTGGACAAATCTTGGTTCTTGCTTCTCAAATCTATTCCAGCATGCCTCGCATGATTTGGAACACCTAATGCAAGTACACCTGATGCCTGTTTGAGCCCCTCCCGGTTGCCTTATGAAGGGGGCGTATAAGCTGTCACGAGCATTTCGCATAAGTTTCGTCAATTCGCAGCTAGCTAAAAAGGATTCGCATGTGCTTATAAACAAGATCTGTAACCTAGTTTGACTTCAGTCTCCTCTGCTTGACTTCGGTCTGTACCTAGTTTGACGTCGGTCTGTTCGTTACTACTGGTTGATAACCACGCGACGCGCTTGTAATGTAGGTGCATGAAGCTGGGGAAACAACCTCGGGTGCAGCGTATCCCTCCGGATAAGGCAAATTTGCGTGCATGGGGTGAGCATCAGCTGTATAAATCAGAGGGTAGACCTACCCTGATGATGATTCAATTACAGAGCGCACACCGCGCTTTACCATGCTCGTATCTGACCGCAACATACCAGACCGTTTTCAACCCCTATATTGGCGTGCTTTTTGGTTAGGGGCGTGTGGAATCTAACGGGCCTTTCGCGAAAACCCCGCTGGACGCTACGCGAGATGTGGCGACAGAAACTCACGGAAATCTGGTTTCCAGGAGCAGGTAACCAGATGGAACCCCATTATCCGTACCCCACATGAAGACACTTGATAACAGTTATGGAGAAATCTTTGTATGGATGAGAGTATGGAGGTGCTTTTGAATCGAGTGACTCCATATCGCACATTTTTCAAGCTCTGCCAGCCAATCACCCAACTTCTGATGAACTTGCTGCAAAGACGTGGGGCAATGAGCTACAGCCACGTATTCTAAGCATCCTGCCTGACGTGGTCGAAACATTCCCGTCTGGAACTTTGTTGCACGCAAGCTCACGAGAGCGACCATTTGGCGGGAACTGAACGTGGCAGTGTCTAGGCCACCTGGATATTCCCAACCCAATGCTCTCACCCCCTCTCCCGTCCAGCTTCAGGAGCAAGTTCCTTTCCCCCTCCCGCCCCTCCCCTCCAAATTTGGAAATTTCAATCCCAAGTGTAACCTACTTCAAGGCTGACTTCTCAATAATTATCAATTTCGTTACAGTTGAGATAGGACGCACTCCAGAGACATCTAGCTTTCTCAATCGTAATCGCTACCTGCAGTCATGGCCTCGTCCGTTGCCCTTCGTCAGGCACTCACCCCCTCTTCCTTCCTCACAGGAGCTCCCACCACCAGACTCTCACCCGCCAGAGCATCAGTGAGCAATGGCGTTTCGCTGTGCTCATTCCAGGCGACGTCCGCGCAATCTCAGTCTAGGTCGGTCGTCTGCTCCGCTGCCGGCACAGAAGTCACAGCAGCAGCAGCGTCCACTGACAACTGGGTGCCGGTAATCCCTATGGAGGCGCTTCCCAAGGGAGAGAGGCGCCTTATCAGGCAGGACGGCCAGGAGATTCTGCTCTTCTGGTACCGGAACGAGATTTACGCCGTGGAGAACGTTTCGCCTGCAGAGGGAGCGTACTCGGAGGGATTTCTCAACGCCAGGTTCACCCAGGTTGGTAACGGCAATATTCAGACTCGTTGCTTTTCCACACATTCTCTCTCATACAAAGAACAACAATAAGCGCTGCAAATTACACGCTATCCATCCGGTTCCGCTGATTTCCAGTGCAAGCGAGGAAACAATAGCTTTGAGATGTCTCCCAATTAGATTCCGGGCAGATCCTTTTCTCCCCCTACCCGCCCATCTTGACAGAATCAGGACGTCTAACACTGAACGCTGCTTTTTCCCTACCTCCCTCTCTTCCTCTTCTATCCCTCCCTCTCCTCATCTTCCAGGACGGCTGCATCGTGTGTCCGTCAACGGACACCACGTTCGACCTCAAGACGGGCGAGATCAGGGAGTGGTACCCCAAGAACCCCGTGCTGCGCGCGCTCACCAAGCCGCTGCGCCAGCTGGAGGTGTTCCCCGTGAAGCTCGAGGATTACCAAGTCTGCATCAACATGGGCCGCGGCTCCGCCGGTGCTGCTGAGGTGGTGGTGGGCGAGGCTTCCAAGGTCGGCCAAACGGTGTCTGACGTCAATGTGAACGAGGTGAGGAGAATGCTCCATCGTGTGCTTTTTCTACCCACATGGTGTGTCTGGTTTTACCTTATTGAAGTCCCATCACATTGTTGCCTGAATGCAAATCCCTTGCGTTAATGCAGAGAGATAAAACGGTTACGACTCCTAGAATGAACCGTTCATACCTTAATTGCGTACTTGGGATGCTATAATCTTGTAACTCCAGCATCAGCGTCTTCTCTCCCCTGATCATCCTCCCCCTTTCAACACTTACAGTTATGTTGTTTCCTGTTAATGCTCCCTCCCTGCCACAGACCAAGATGGTGGTGGATGAGTCAGCAGGCGGATTCGGATTCTCACCACAGAACGAGCTGCTCAACGGCCGAGCTGCAATGGCAGGCTTTGTGGGTCTACTGGTGATCGAGCTCGTCACTGGCAAGGGCTTGCTAAACGCCACTGGGTTCCTAGACTTCCTATACCGTGTTGGCCTCAATGGACCGCTTTTGTAGGAACTTAGTCTCTACAGCTGAAAACTACATACTACGGTACTGTTATGGTTTGTCCAAGCCTATCTTTTGCCATTTTTGTAAATTTACTTGCTCAAAAATATGTCAGTGAGACACATTGCGAAACAAGGGTCACTTTTGAAATCACTTCCCAAGACTACAAGAGAAGAGAGTGAATTTTTGAGACATTCCTCAACACTCAGTAACGAGAAGAGGACATTTTGTCATTTTTGTACCATGCTCAGACACATGTCAGTGTGACTGACACACTGTGAAACAAGGAACAATTCTGAAATCGCCTGACGAGACTCGCATGAGTTTTGAGATATCTCTCAAAACTCAATGACGAGAAGAGAAGCTAAACGGAACACTGCAGTGCGTTGCAGGTCACAACAGAACTGCCGCCGACATCTCACAACTGCATTTGAGGCGCCTCAAGCCAGCAAGCAAGGACCTCACCTCAGACACCTCACACCTCACACTCACTCTCACTCTCCTCTCTCTGCAGCCTGCTGCATGTCTCAACAATCCTCCCAACTCACTCAGCTCCCCAATTCACTCCCTCCTCCCAGCACGTGGCACCCGTCTCCTCCGCTCCTCTCCTCCCAGCACGTGGCACTTGTCTCCTCCCAAGTGCTTCTGTTCCTGCTGCTGCAGCCGTCACCTCCAGCCAGTATCTTCTCCTCTGCTCCTCTGCTCCATCTGCTCCACTAACCAAGGCAGAATCTGCAGCTGCCCCATCACTTCACAGCACTGGCGGCAGCACATGGGGGGGAGGGAGAGGGACTCAGCGCAAGGCAGCATAGAGTGCTGTCCCAGCACTTCACCAGCACCAAAAAGAGGTAGCAGCCTGCTGGAGTCAACTTTGGCGCTTTCTCTCCTGCGTACGGCCTCTTCCCCTCCGCCATCTCCTTCATATGGCCTTCTCCCCTCCGCCTTCTCTCCTTCATACGGCCTCCTCCCCTCAGCAATCTCCTTCATACGGCCTTCTCCCCTCCGCCATCTCCTTCATACGGCCTTCTCCCCTCCGCCATCTCCTTCATACGGCCTTCTCCCCTCCGCCTTCTCTCCTTCATATGGCCTTCTCCCCTCCGCCTGCTCTCCTTCATACGGCCTCCTTCCCTCAGCAATCTCCTTCATACGGCCTTCTCCCCTCCGCCATCTCCTTCATAAGGCCTTCTCCCCTCCGCCATCTCCTTCATACGGCCTTCTCCCCTCCGCCTTCTCTCCTTCATATGGCCTTCTCCCCTCCGCCTTCTCTCCTTCATACGGCCTCCTCCCCTCAGCAATCTCCTTCATACGGCCTTCTCCCCTCCGCCATCTCCTTCATACGGCCTTCTCCCCTCCGCCATCTCCTTCATACGGCCTTCTCCCCTCCGCCTTCTCTCCTTCATATGGCCTTCTCCCCTCCGCCTTCTCTCCTTCATACGGCCTCCTCCCCTCGGCAATCTCCTTCATACGGCCTTCTCCCCTCCGCCATCTCCTTCATACGGCCTTCTCCCCTCCGCCTTCTCTCCTTCATATGGCCTTCTCCCCTCCGCCTTCTCTCCTTCATACGGCCTCCTCCCCTCAGCAATCTCCTTCATACGGCCTTCTCCCCTCCGCCATCTCCTTCATACGGCCTTCTCCCCTCCGCCTTCTCCTCCATACGGCCTTCTCCCCTCCGCCTTCTCCTCCATACGGCCAGCAGAACCGCCATGAAGCGTAGGAAGGTCTCAGCAGGTCTTGTCTTCTCGTGTTGCTGCTTGTTCCTTAGCTGGTGGGACGATGTCAAGGCTGCTTCTGCCACTACGGCTGCCACTACGGCTGCTACTGCAGCTGCTTCTACTCCTGTCACTGGTGCTTCTTCTGGTGTTGCTGATGGTTCCACTTCTGATGCTGCTACAGCTGCAGCCTCTGCCGCTCTCCTCCTGCTGCCACTGCCGATGCTGCTCCTTTGCTGTTGCTCCGACTTCCCGCCAACGCCTCAACGTTCTCTACACAGAGTAGAGGTGCATTGAACAGAGTGGGGTTGACACAGAGCAATCACCATAGAGAATTGAACGTTAATCCCACAGAGGAAGGTTACTTAAAGTAAGGAATAAAAAAACGGAAACAGCAAAGTGGTTGTCATGACTCGATGTAGTGAAGAATACAAAATGCAGAAGAAGAACACGAAAGTCATCGAAGCAACGAAGGCAGACGTAAACGCGAATGAGGAGGGGGAAGGGAGGGGGAGCAGAAGAAAGGAAACGGCGGTGTTCTGTCATGGTTCCAGTTACTTACTTCTTTCTCTGGTTGTTGCTGCTCCAGTTGCTGCTGCTCCAGTTGATGCTGCTGCTCCAGTTGCTGCTGCCACTCCAGTTGCCTCCAGTGCACCAGCACTGCTCCACTTCCCAGCCCTTAACGTCCCTGCTCAAGGGATAGGGAGATCCAACCCCTACTGCAGAGAGGTTACAAAAAAAAGACAAAGCGTTAGGAGAACAAAGAATTGCGAAATGTAACAAAGACTGAAAGCAAAAAGGATGGCAAGCGGGCAAGTAAAGGGGTTAAGAGGGGACTTAGCAGCAGCAGTTGTTCCCCGCAGCAGAGTGACTTCCATCATCAACGGCACTCTCAGCAACAGCAGCGCCGTGAGGTAGTGGCATGGTCAGCAGGGCATGCGTGAGGAAGTGGCGTGAAGGAGAGGAAGAAAACAGAGCAGGGGAAAGGAACCCAAGTAGCCGTATGGGGGTGCTTGCAGGACAGTGGCGTCAGGCTTCCAGGAGGCTCGCACACCGCTGTGACTGCCTGCCGTGCGTCATCCCACCGCCCTCCCTCCCCGCACCACGCTGCCATAGCACCAGACGAGATGGGAAGGAGAGCAAGAAAACAGAGCAGGGGAAAGGGACCGAAGTAGTCAGTAGAAGCATGAAAGTAGTGAAATGCATGCAAGGAGGCAGAGATAACAAGAACGATGAGTAGAGGAAACGAAAGTTGAAGATAAAAAGCACGTGGCACTGTGACGCTGTGAAAGGGGAGGCGATGGTAGCACACAGCACTAGGGCGCCGAGCTAGCAGGCAAATAAGGAAGGGACGCAGCATGATTATGAATGCATTCTACTCTAACCCCCTACGACTCTAGTATGAGCTCAAGCCGCCCCAGTGCCATGCGCTACCATCGCCAAACGCCGCTCATCTCTCACTCAACTTTTGATCGCTCCCATTCGAAAATGGGCTCATTTGTTTCGAGCACGCGGTGACGGAAGAATGCGGTACAAAAGTGGGCAATGATAAACACGAAGCAGAAGCGGTAACGATGGCTAGGGCGAAGGGAGAGGGAACTTAGCCGTATGGGGGTGCTTGCAGGACAGTGGCGTCAGGCTTCCAGGAGGCTCGCACACCGCTGTGACTGCCTGCCGTGCGTCATCCCACCGCCCTCCCTCCCCGCACCACGCTGCCATAGCACCAGACGAGATGGGAAGGAGAGGAATAAAACAGAGCAGGGGTGGAGCGGGAGGCTCCCCGGTGCAGAAGGGGTGGAGAAAAACAAGTATGAAAACGAGAATTTGTCAGCAATCAATCCAAAAGAAAAACAAGCAAGCTGAACAACAGAAAAGGCAATGGTAGCACAAGGCACTAGGGCAGCGAGCTAGCATGCGAGGGTGGACTGGGGTAAGAGAGAGACGCGAGCATGTGTATGAGTGCATTCTATTCTAGCCCCCTACAACTCTAGTGTGAGCTCAAGCCGCCCCAGTGCCATGTGCTACCATCGCCACGCGGAATTGACGTTTTGATTTCGAGCATGCGCCGAGAAAGCAAAGCGACAAGAAAACGAACCAAAGACAGAAAGCGATAAGGATGGCAAGGGGGTGACTAGAGGGGTTAAGAGGGGACTTAGCAGCGGTACGACGGGTTGAGCGACGGAAGCAGCAGCAGTTGTTGCCAGCAGCAGAGTGACTCCCATCATCAACGGCACTCCCAGCAGCAGCCCTCCCAGCAGCAGCAGCGCCAGTGGAGCTCGTTTGGCGCGTGAGTGAGTGGCGTGGTCAGCAGGGAACGCAGGACTCAGGCCGTGCGTCATCCCACTGCCCTCCCTCCGCTCTGACCCTGGGACAAGGATATGGGCTCGGGAGAGAAGGCAGAGGGGAAGGAGATTAAGAATCTGGCCCAGTAGGAGCAAGCATTGGAGCGAAGGCAGAAACAAGTATGAAAACGAGAATTCCTTCAGCGCTTACAAGCTGAACAAAACGAAAGGCAATGGTAGCACAAGGCACTAGGGCAGCGAGCTAGCATGCGAGGGTGGACTGGGGTAAGAGAGAGACGCGAGCATGTGTATGAGTGCATTCTATTCTAGCCCCCTACAACTCTAGTGTGAGCTCAAGCCGCCCCGGTGCCATGTGCTACCATCGCCACGCGGAATTGACGTTTTGATTTCGAGCATGCGCCGAGAAAGCAAAGCGACAAGAAAATGAACCGATGACATAAAGCAATAAGGTTGGCCAGGGGGTGAGTAGAGGAGTTAAGTGGGGACTTAGCAGCGGTACGACGGGTTGAGCGACGGAAGCAGCAGCAGTTGTTGCCAGCAGCAGAGTGACTCCCATCATCAACGGCACTCCCAGCAGCAGCCCTCCCAGCAGCAGCAGCGCCAGTGGAGCTCGTTTGGCGCGTGAAGGAGTGGCGTGGTCAGCAGGGCATGCAGGACTCACGCCATGCGTCATCCCACTGCCCTCCCTCCGCTTTGATTCTGGGACAAGGAAATGGGCTGGAGAGAGAAGGCAGAGGGGAAGGAGATAAAGAATCCGGTTCAGTACGAGCAAGCATTGAAAGGAAGGCACATAAAAGTATGAAAAGGAAAATTCCTTCAGCGAATAATGCAGAAGAAGAGCTAACAAGCTGAACAAGACGAAAGGCAATGGTAGCACAAGGCACTAGGGCAGCGAGCTAGCATGCGAGGGTGGACTGGGGTAAGAGAGAGACGCGAGCATGTGTATGAGTGCATTCTATTCTAGCCCCCTACAACTCTAGTGTGAGCTCAAGCCGCCCCGGTGCCATGTGCTACCATCGCCACGCGGAATTGATGTTTTGATTTCGAGCATGCGCCGAGAAAGCAAAGCGACAAGAAAATGGCAATTACCTCCGCGGTAACACTCATTGAGCTCGTTCGCATGGAAGGTAAGCCACGTGTCCAGATCGTAACAAAGGTATCTTCTCATCGCCACCGTGGTAACCAACATTTCCGAAATGGTCAACATTATTGCCTGAATGGTAATGAACAGTGCTTCCGGAATTCCTGGCTGGTAACTTCGCGTTCGAACTAAGCTGTACACCGTACAAGTAGGGCTTGACTCAGCAAAACTGAAACTGATGTCACGGTACAACACAGAATGCACATGAACGCTTACAAACGCAAAGCGTTACATGCAAGTATGCGATACAATCAACTATGACAACAAAATCAAGATAAAAAAAAAACTTAAATAAACATTCTTAACAAAGCATATCATGCAATATTTGATACTTTGGAAAATATTTTTTTTGTCTTTTTATACAACTTTCACAGTCTTTATGCAAAATCTGAAAAACTCACATCGATATTGTAATTTTTGTATATTGATTTAGATCGAGCTCTGAAGATTCTTAAATAAAAGTCTTGTTGAGTAAAATAATCTGCTTTATAATAGTTCTCACTATCATAGTTTTGCGTTTTGACATAGTTCGTTATTTTTTGTGGCGTTTGTTTGGTAATAATGCATTCGGTTTTTAATCAGATTTCGAGCTAGCATATGGAGTTTTAACGTGCGGGATTATAAACGCCAGTATTATAACCCGAAATGCGCATTTTGTGGAGTACATGTGGACAATCAGTTTCGTTTCGGCTGAGTCAAACCCTACTTGTACGGTGTACAGTTTAGTACGAACGCGAAGTTACCAGCCAGGAATCCTGGAAGCACTGTTCATTACCATTCAGGCAATAATGTTGACCATTTCGGAAATGTTGGTTACCACGGTGGCGATGAGAAGATACCTTTGTTACGATTTGGACACGTGACTTATCTCCCGTGCAAACGAGCTCAATAAGTGTTACCGCGGAAGTAATTGCCCACAAGAAAATGAACGCAATGGGGTGAGTAAGGAGAGAGAGTAATGGGGCAGGAAGGGACTTAGCTGCACAGGATGCATCGCCTCCGCCTTGGCTTTCATCGTCAGCGCCGCCGGCGTCCGTCGGCGACGGTCACCTCCGCCGCTTCCACTCCACCAGCCCCGTCAGAACTCGTCACCTTCGAAACCCTCCTTCGCATTCGCCTCCGCCTCCGCCTCCGCCTTCGTCTTCGCTGCAGCTTCTGCGCTCATCATGTTCCACCAATCGCCTCGGCCTTAGCCTTCCAACCAACAAGCGCCGTCGTCAGCGTCAGCGTCCCCGTCAGAACTCACGACGTTCGAAACCCTTCGTCGCGATCGTCAGCATCAACGCCATCATGCGACGGCGACTGGATCGTCAGCATCAACGCATGCGACGGCGACTGGATCATCAGCATCAACGCCATGCGACGGCGATCGTCGACGATCAGCATCAACGACACGTCGCATGCGTTCCAATCATCAAGACTCGCCATCGAACTCGGGAACGCGATTTCGCGATCGTCGCCGTCAGAACTCCGAGTCGTCCTGGCCACCATTCCGAGTGGAGTCAACGCCCTGGTCGCCGCTCAGGTTCAGCTTCGCCTTCGCCTTCGCCTTCGCCTTGCC